TATTTCATAACATAGTAAATGGAAGAAAGACGGGTAAAAACTTTGATAAAGTTTCCTTTGACAACCCTTTAGCAATCAATAGGACAAAAATCAAAGGAATTAGAACTTTCCTCGAACTTTAAATCTTGCGTTTTTAGGCAATATTTTATTTCGCAAGTTGATGTTCAAGTTACCCATTAACAATGAGCAGTATTGTTCATTAGACTTATATTTATCCTTTAACAATTATCCTTGCTTTTATTCATTAGTACATTATGCAAGTCAGTTATTTCATTCCAATGCTCATGATTAGACTTCATACAGTCTAAACAAAATATTACAATATTTAACAGTTGCTAAATGATGAATCATTCAATTAACTAATTTTTATTCATTTATCGATTTATTCATTCTCTTCTTTTTTCAATTGAAAACTCAATTATCAAAACAATAAACATTCCCTTGAATAACAAAGAGGCTCTTCTGGTCAACTAAGTCAACCAACTTGGTCAAACAAAACTTTCAGATTAAACCGGAACAAAAGAGAGTCAAATAAAGTTTCCGTTTCGGAAGTTAATCTTGAAACTATTCTCATGAGCAAAAGATTAAAAAAGAGTTTCGAACAAAAGTTGAAAAAACTTTTCACCTTCAAACTGGTCTTTACTATTTGCTTTACTGAAAACACTTTATTTACTTCAACAAAAACTTATTTTTGATAAACCAATAATGAAATGAAACGATTACAAATTCAATTTTCAAATATAATATCAAACAAATGCAAGGGAACTTAAAAGTTGAGAAATTTTTGTATCGAAATCAATTCTTGCAAATTTGGTCCAAAAATTAAAACCTTAAATTGATGTTCATTTAAATCATTGAATGAAATAAAAGTTAAATTGGCTTAAATTGAAGTTTAAATTTTTCCTCTTTACTTGCTGTTTCTTGCTCTTAAACTTGCATACTCTTGACTTTATCGCTATACCTGGGAGGTTCTTTGGTTTTTTGAATAATATGAAAGGTTGAATACAACATTAATGTAAAGAAGGCAAAAAAAACAGAAAGATTTCAAATCTAGTTTAACATTATATAGTTTAATATGTTGTTGAGCGACTTATTTTTATATCCAATTTGATCCAATCTATTTTGCTTTCTTCATCTTTTTGGTTCCTCTTGATTTCATTTTGCTTCTCTCAATAACATGAAATTACTAATTCATACAAGATATTTTTCTACTTCTTTTTTCTTTCCTTTTTTTGTGTTCCTGAACTCCACCCAAAATCATCTGATCAATATGGTTGAAGAGAGAAAGCAAAAAACTATCATGAATTTTGAACTCAACTGAAAAGTTGATAACTTGTAACCTCCCTTCAACATTTCAATCTTTAATATCTTATCCAATTGATTGTTGAAAGGGAAGAAGCAAAGCATTTTTTAGATCCAGAATAAGAATCAATTTTCCAACGGAAAATAATTGTAAACTTGAATTAGAATCGAATCCAAGACAATCGACTAATTGTGTCTTGATCGAGTTCGAATAAAATATCACTTGATCAAAATCCACGAGAAATTTTTTGGAAAAATCATTTATTCGTTTGGAAAATTATGCGAGTTTCTAAAGCTTGGAAAATGCTAAAGGAAACATTTTACATAAATTCATGTTCGACCTTTTATATGATTTGAATGGCAATGAATTTTATCAAAATGTTCATCTTTTTATTGAACAATACGATTGCAATAAACTAGCTATAAATGGTACAAATTGTTTATTTGTTGATTCATTTCTTGTGCCAATAAAAGTGACAACCAAAAGGCAGCTTTAAAATGAAACTTTTATTCAATGGTTAATATTTTCTCATCAATTTCATGATGTAAAACTATCTTCTTTCCATCTTTCATTATTTCAATGTTTACCTCATTTTGATTGTCTTACATTTGAAAATTGGATTGGAAACAAATGGACTTGATGATAATCATCTGAAAAGATGAAAATAAAGATGAAGTGAAACAGTTTAACATTGGCATCAACTATTCAACAGTTGAACAACATTAAATGTTGAATTATTGTTCCAAAGGGAATTGCATTTATATAAATTTTGATTCAACTTTTGCATCTTTATCCAAACTTTATCACTCTATTTAAACTCGAGATAATCGTCAATTTATCAACAAATAATGGCTTTCCGATGAAACTCTCATTTGAAAAGAAAATTATTGTAAAGTGTTTAGTCTTGATCGGGCAAAAAGTTATCGATTGAAGGTTCAATCTCAAGTCAGATATTAATATCAAGTTTACTCATTACCAAAGTCTATCATTATACTTGTAAATTGTTAATAAGTTGATTGAAAAAAGGTACAACTTTCTCTCCGCCAAATGCTAAAGATTATGTTTATTTTTACCTCAAAATATTGTTAATCTTTGATTGCGTGATTTAAGGTAATCAGCATCTCAATAAAAACGTAACAACAAGATCAACTTATTTTCGTTTCTTTCCTTTTCTCCATTTTGCCATGTTTATCATCATAAAACATCATCCATTCATCTTCACCTTTAATCTTCATCTTGTTCTTTCAACTTGTTTTCTATCACTGAATATCACGAACAGGAAAACTTGAAAATCAAGTTGATTTTTACTCTTCTTTTCATGAGCATTTCAAGAGAGAGAATGATAGTTGATAAATGTTGAGAATGTGAATGAAAAGGAAAAAATATTTTCTTCAGATGGTTCGACTCATGATGTTTATTGAATCAACAATTTCGTTTTTCACTTTCACAACTTTTATCCTGAAAATGAAATGAAATTTGAAAATATTGCTAATCAAAAAGATCGTTTTCGCAAGCAAGTTCTTGATTAATAAGCTCAAACATTCTGTTCTTTCAGAATTGAAGATCACTAAAATTGCTAAACATTTGTTTTCAAAACTCAGTCACAAACCATTAAAATCTTATTTCGATTACCTTCATAATGTGTCAAGAATTTATGATCATGAAATATATATTTAGGTATCAAGCTATCGCTTAGCCAAAGAACTTTCAGTTTGACAGTCAGTTCTGTAAAAACTTAAACGCCTTAGGAATAGCTAATGAAACAAAAAGCTCGACAGCAAAAGTTACTAAAAGTATTCATAAAAATCTATTTTAATTCGATGATCATTTTTAGGCAACGATAATCTGAAGTATGATCGACTGATCGAAACTTTTCTGTTCGAAAATTTCATTTAATTCCTTAATATCAATTTTTACACCTAAAAGTATCAAAGAAATGAACTTGAGTAAAATGCGAATCGAAAAATTGCTTAGTTTCTCAAATCTACTGAAAAACTCTCAAATCTTGAGTTTCACTCCCAGCCGCACTCCAAGCAAAAAGTTGATATTTCTTGCCAATGAGAGGCAATTGAGAAAAGAATGCAAAATTTTGTTGATAATTTTTGTAACTTTGATTGGAATGAAAACGGCATCAATTAACTTGACTAACCATTTACTCAACTTGTGTCAAATAATGAAATGTTGAACCGATGAGGGTGACATTCAATGACAGAAGAGGCAAACGACTGGCAAAGTTCAGAAAAAAATGAAAGCAACTCAGGTGAAGTCCATCAATCAAATTATCATAAACTTGCGATTGTGTCAAATTTAGTCTTGTTCATCTTATATTCATCATTCCCTATCATCATTGATGATCATGTTAACTCCTCAACAGAAACAACTTTCTTACCTCAACACAATAAGGTTCATGTTGATGGTTCATGATAGTGATAAAACGCCCAAGTTTTACCTCACAATTCATACGAAGAAGGCAAAAAATCTCAAGAAAATTGTTCAAGCAACTGTAAACATCATGAATAGTTTATTGATGATGAACAATTTAATGCTCAAAGCAATAAAAAAACTAAACTTTTCTCACTTTTATTCATAAACTGAAATCGAATGTTCATTTGATAATTAGAAACAATCAATGAACATTGATCATTCAATAGTTTAATATCAATTTTTATATCGAAACTAAAGTTATCAATAATTCCACAAATTCATTCATTATTAATTGCCCAACAATTGCAACTCTTTTCCTTCATTGATTCTTTGATTAATTATTGATTCGAGTTTAAATTGTCACTTCGATCATTTATTTACTCAAATGCTTATGAAAAATGTCAACCTTTTTCAACCGACAAGGCTCTTGATTGATGAATGATCAATCATAATCGTTCAAAATTTACATTTTTAATGTTGAATTTGGAAAGAAGAAAATAATTTTTTCAAATTTTTCTCTTTTCCTTTTCTCATGAAAATTGAAAGTTTCCTCAAAAAACGATTCAAATTATAATTAGTAATTAATTGGGCAAATTGAAGGGAATTTTATTCATCGATTTAAAAGTAAATCAATTTTTCTGTAACAAGACAATAATTTAACCATTAAAATGTCGTTAATCATCAATATGTTTTTACTTTACTTGTGTCAATAAATTTTCAAATCGATAACAATTAAGGTTGAAAAAGGTTCAATGTAAATTGTAATTACTTTGGTAACAAGGTAATGATTAATTGTGGTTGGAAAACAAGTTCAAGTATCGATCATTTCTCGACTTTCTCAAGTTAGAAATTAAATTTCCATTGTCGACTTTTAATTGTCTATTGTTCAGCTTGTCAATGATTAACTGTTAAATGTTATTATTTTAGACTTGATTCTGTAATTGACTTTGACTTTTAAAGTTGTCTTTAGGCAAAAGTGTAACACAATTTGAATGATATTTTTCACTCCAAGAGTTTACTGTTTCTATGATTTAGTAATTTCTCGAGAATTGAATAACTTTTCTTATTAAGTGGCAATTTGTGAATCTGATTTGCGATCTCAAGCATCAATCAATTAAATTGCTTTTTTCTTTAGTTCTTTTTTACCTGCAATAATCAATATTTTGAACAATGAGGTTGCGAATTTAATAAAAGAGCAAAAGAGTTTTGACTAATTTGGGAAAATTTGTTTGATTTCTTGTGTTTTTAACGATCATTTTTGCTTTTTCAACAGGTAAAACTGTCCATGGTTTAAGGATAAATAAACTTGAGGTTCCATCCTCAGTTCCAAATGGAACCAGCATTGTGTTATATTGTGATTATGATTTAGAAGGTCTTGGACTTTATTCAGTTAAATGGTATAAGAATTACGTTGAATTTTTTCGCTACATTCCTTCAGAGGATGAAAAAGTAGCTACATTTAAACTCGATGGTGCCTATGTTGATGTAAGTATTCATTTACCTTTCCAATTCCAAGAATATATTAAAACGAGAAGAATGCGTTTCTTCAAACCTGAAAATTTGAGATCATCATCTTCTAATTTGAATAATCTTAAGCTAAGATTCAGTCAATTTAATAAATTCAGTTGTTGGAAGGTTGTTCAGTATACATACAGATACAGATTGACTTACACTTGCAAAACTTACTTAAAACTTACTTGTTTTACTTAAGATCTTTACTTTTGATACTTCATTTACAAACTAAAGATCGAGTCAGTTATTACCAGTCAAATAATACCCAAAAGTTCAATGGTACTTGTCGAGCAAACTTAAGCAGTTCAGATTAGATGATTTGACAAACGAATGCTACGGCAACAAGATGCATGATTAACAATTTAGACGGTCGATTCCTTCACTAAATCCTGCGGTAACTTGCAAAACAATCGCAGATCTTTTCGATTGCTTCAGACAAACTTTGACTAAAGATCAACTGATTTAAAAGGTTTAATCTATCTCTGCTTTAGCATTTCAAGTCCATTATGATGTTCTGCAGATAGGTTATATGCAGATTAAGCATCGCTATACTAATTGAAAGCATTAGTTTTACAAATTTGAACCAAATTGAACCATGTTCGAATGATAGAATCAATTACTTCTGTAACCATTATGTTATTCACAGCATTTCTGTAACCAACTGAATGTTGAAAGGAATAGCGAAAGTAAGTAAACCTTATAAGTAGCCGAAACTCATTTGATTTTCAATAAATTGTTAATAATAGAATAATGTGAAATATGAGAAACAATTAGTTGATTGGTGAATCTTTAATTTAATCATGTTGGTTATTGAAGAGTTTAAATATTCTCATCATGCCTATTTTATAGACTGTTCATTGAGTTATCCCTAGAACTTAATCGTAACTTTATTTCCATGTTAATCAATGCGAAAGCCTTGCGGTTAAATTGTTACTATTCTGGTTAATTTGATGATAATAATTTATCGAAACAGTGAATAAAGTGAATGGAAATCCAGAAAAAAAGAACCCACCAAAATTTTCGTTTCACACTCTTTTTCCAGTCAATTTGGATACAATAGCAATCAGTTTAGTGCCATAGTCAAACCAGCTCGCCAGCATCACAATTAGGTAGCTAAACCCAAGTTTAATGCAACTTCAAAAGTAGGTTTGGTTGTAATTGCTGGTGAAAATGATGGAAATGAAAATGAGGCTGAAAAAGGCAAAACAAGTTAAATTGATAACCTTGCTCGAATTGGTAAAACGATGTTAAATCACGTTATTATTAGATTTAATGTTGAATCTCTTTGTTCATCTTTATTGGTTTGAATGAAAAGGATAATTGGTTAATAACAGAATGAAAATGTAAACCTTGATTTCAGGTTAATTAAGATGCTAATTAAAGTTTCTTTTTACCCTCTAATGTATATTGTTAACTTTTTAACCAACCTAATTAAATATTAATAATTTAGTTCTCTTCCTTTTAGTTAAAGTTTCTTCTTCTTTTCTTGTTCGCCTTGATTTATGTGCAAAAACTGAAATGAACATTGTTCAACCTCTAAATTTCAACGTTAACATTAAGATTTCTTAATGAGAATGATTAATCTTGCAAATTTACTTCATTTTGTCAAACTATTCAACTCGCAATTGCTTTTACCTTTGACTATGTGTTAAAAAGATTGAGTTAACAGAAGGCAAAAGATGAATAATTTTCATTTGTAAAACTGCATTACACTTAATTATGGTTCACTTGACAAAGAACAATTTGTTAATAATTAAAAATTAAAAGAAAAGGTTCTCATCATGTTCAACTTTAATTACGGGTGTGTTTCAGTTTGGCTCATGTAATGTCTTAATGATATGCATTTATTCAATGTCAATAATGTCTCTTGCAATCGATTTTCGTCTTTTGTCTTTGCATTGATGTGCGAGTTACTCGATTAATCCATTTGGTTATTTGATAATTTTCATCATTTCCCATCTTTTCGATTGCTTCTGTGAATAATTTTACTCACTTCATTATGTTCAACAGATTGATGCATCCAATGCAACCCATGTAGCCTTGGCGAGGACCGATTTAAACTCCGAAGGATCATATGCTTGTGAAGTATCAACAGATCAAATGTACACCACAATTAGAGCAGAAAGACAAATGAAAATCTATGGTAAATAAACACTCTTCCCATCCATCAATATTAACATCAAAAGGTTTAACACTTAATTCACCAAATGGCATTCATTTGAGGTGCAAAAGTCAAACACAGAGCAGCTGCTTTAACCGAAACTGAATCAACAAAAGTGACTTCAAAACGCACTCAATCCCTAATTAATATTGCAACCTTCATCTATTTGTCAACAAAGCAAATTTCGGTTTCGATTTTTTCGACTTATTTCTGTACAGAATTTAAAATGTTTTGTTTCTTGCAAATTCATTTTCTCATCGATCGAAATCTCATCGCTTTCGGTTTTTAAATGCATAACTTAGACTTGAAATTGTCCGAATCTAAATTCACTTGTTTGCTGATCTTTACCATTTTGTTTCATGAGTTTGTTCAAGTTAATTGAAAGCTGTTGGAGAAAAATTGAAACATCAAACGCACGAAACAACTAATTACTAATCAAATGGCATGATTATCATGTAAATGTGAATTCATGAATAGATTGACAGTAAATTGGATAAATCAGTGAATGCTAAGTATTCAATTAAAGACGGCAAATGTTCACCATTTATTATTAATAGTTTATCGTGATTGAAAGATTGCAATGAAAGTTGATGAAAGGTGAAAAGAGAATGAAAAAATTTGAACCTTTTCCATGTGAATAATTGAACTTGTTTGTAATATCATTATTAAGGTTAAATGTAGGTAAAAAGAGGTAAAAGTAAGGTGAAGGGAATGAGAATGGGAATCGAGTGAAAATAAAGCAAATGAGAGTAAAGTTTTAGTCCAAGTTTGTAAAATGAAATGAACTTTTCCATTATCAATTTTATCTAATTAAAATGTGATTAGCAAAAAAGAAGACAAAATTGACTTGAAAGGGTTAACCCGAAATGAAAGTGGACCAAAAGAGTTGATTCAATGAAAGTTACTTGTGAATGATGACTGTTTGATGGACATTCAATGATGATAATAGTTGCGCTTTAAAAGGATGAGAAAAAGTGGAACCTTTAGTCTTCAACTTTATTCATCCAAATGTTAATGTTGAAACTGTTCAACTCAGGAAGCTTTTACCTTTACTGTTACATTGAAAGTCGAGCAAAAAAAAGGTAATCATGTTTAATGAGACTAGATGAAGGTAAGTGTTGAGTAGGTTGTTGTATCCAATCAGGATGATGATGATGGGAGTGGAAGAGGAAGGAAAAGTCACAAAAGATTCAAAAGTCATGTTTGATCAAAATAAAGTTAAGATATATGGTTAAAAGATTTTACCTTTGAACCAGAAAAGGCCATTTAATGACCAATATATTTATTGCAATACTTGAATTAAACAATCATCGTTCAAGAGTCAAGTGTAATTTCATCCTGTTATCTCATCCAAGTGACCTAACAATTCTGATAATGATATTGACATTTGCCTCATGAGATGCAAACTTTTCTCAATTTTTCTCCTTCTCCTTTACACCAGAAAAGTCTGTTGTTCTGAATCGAACTTTTAAATCTTTTTCTCTCGACATTTTCATGGGATAATCTTGAAAGTTCATTTCCATTCTTCTTTCTGTTTTTCATTTTTTCAACTTCTTTTTTCCAATTCTTTTCATTTTTCTTTTCTGACCGACTGTTCATGTTTTCACTGTAGTTGGACCAATCGATGAACCAGTAGGAAATGAGTAGCTCATGATCATTTTGATGAACTATGAGAAAATAACCTTATTTTTCTTTCTCACCTTGAGGATATATTTTTTGTTCCTTTGCCAAATTATCATCAACTTAAGAGGGCAAAATAAAAGAGACTCATAAAGATATACTTTTGGGAGTTTTTCACTCCAATACAAAAGCTTGCAACTAGACATTTAATGATTGTCATCTTAAGACTATTAAACAACAAGTTGACAAAAAATGGGTAAAAAGTGTTTTCTGGTTGAGAAAGGAAAACAAAATTTCCATCAAATTAATTGTTGTCATTAGAATCAATTTTAAAGTCACTTTAAGACCATTTGATGTTTAATTTGATGAACTTTTCAAACATTTGAATTAATCAAAGACTTTCTTTCCTTTACCAAGTTCTGTCCGATGAAAAGATAACCATTGAAGGAAAGGAATCGGAATATGATGTTAACCGTGATATTAATTTAACTTGTATTTCTGGTCCAACCAAGCCAGCCGCACGATTAGTTTGGTACATAAATGATCGAAGGGTAAATCAAGTTGAAACTTTTTCTGTTTTAGTTTCTCATTCAATCTTTTTCACTATCAGGCTGAAGCTCATCAAATGGTGATCCAACCAGTGTTCAACACTTCAAACGGACTGTTTGTTACTCGATTAGGTCTAGTCTTCCATGCTGATCGTCGATTTTTTATTCGAGGTTTACTCAAGTTACAGTGTACAGCCGGTGTTATACTTACATTCCAATTTGAATCCAGTGAGTTTCCACTTGGTGATGGTTCAAGAAGTAAACCTCATAAACAGCTTCATGGTGAGTCTCGAGACCAACAATCACGATTAACCTTAAAAACCTTTCTTCTTTAAACATCATTTACTTTTCCCTTTTCATACTTTTATCATTTGTCTTTTTTTTTCTCTATTTTTCGTGTTTTCCATCAAACAATATTTTACATTGAAACTAATTAATCTGAAACTTTTGTTTCTTCCTTTTCGACCTGAAAACTCAATTGCAAGCTTATTCATCATAAATTCATTTCCCTCCCAATTCCATGTTTAACTTGGTTTCTTTTCTTGACTTTTCCCTCTCTCTAATGGTATGGAAACTCATAATGACAATTATAATGTGCTTATAATGATTTTTCATAATGAATTGAATAGAATGCAAATTGAGCTAAAAAGTTTTCTCTCCTCTAACATTACCTTTTGTGGTTCCTTTTCAGGAGCTGAGGTTAAAGTTGAAAAAGAAACGCCAATAATTACCAAAAAGGATAATCACAAATACAGAGTTGGTGATACTCTTTACCTTAATTGTACATCTCAATCAAAAGTTGCTCACCTCATGTGGTTTATCAATGAAGATAAGGTAAGAATTTTGTTCATTCCCTGAATCGCTTTATAACTTGAAATTTCAACTTGAATCAAGTTTATTTGAACTCAGCAAAAGTTGGTTGAAACAAAAGAGTAACAATTTTTGGACAAAATTGTCGTGTTTGGAGGAAATTTAAAAAATCATTTTCTTCATCTTTTGTTTGTCTTGAACATTCATAGTTTTCACATTATTTTTGCTTCTTTATTTAATCATCGATTTAATCAATTGATCAATCATGATCAGATGAGCATGCAAGCATGATGAATACGACTTGAATCTTGTTGGGTTAAAAAGCAGGTAAAAGATGAATAAGAATAATTTTGAGAATCAAATGATAACAAGAATTTAAGATGAAATGAAGAGAAAAATTGAGCTGAAAAAGATTGATTCTTACGCCAAGTAGAATGGTTTTACGCTTCAATCTACCTCAACATGGATTTATATAAATTTTTTTTCTTCTCTCTTTTTTTTTCTTTCCATGATGAACCTGAATAACTCTGGTCTGGTTGATTGTGAAATGTTTCTGAACTGGTGAACGCTTGTTTGGCTTGCATTCAGTTTCAAGATGATGATGTATAAATATAATTCAGAAGGGAATATCCTTAGGCTGTGAGAATGGATAGCAAAAATTCTTGAGTAAACTAAGAAAGAAAAGATTCTGATTTGATAACATAAAAGAAATGTTTACAAAGATAAATGATAACCTGGTAATAGTACAATGAATAGCAAGAGTAGAGAAAAAAAACTTTAAAAGTTATCACATTTTCAACATCAAGTATGATTATCATCTTTACCTTTCCAGGGAGTGAAACATTCTCACTCCCTGTTAGATTAACTGACATAAGTGATGATAGCAGAAAATTTGATGCATTATTATTGGATGAAATTGTAAAATATTAGACACGAGAAAATGCTGATGCTTGATTGGCAAAAGGGCGAGTGCAATCTGTCAATGTTATTAGGTTCAAGCTAATATCGATTATAACAGTTCTGATGCAATGAATTTATCAAATCTAAAAAATCGATTATCAAAATCGATTTCAGTAACAAAATTAGGAGTAATTTTGCATCAGGATTACTCGAGGATAATCGAATGTTCATTGATCGATTAAAAATTGCGTCTTTTTCGAATAATCGATTTTTATTAGCGTTTTAAGCTCGTTTACATATTGAGTTGAGTCTTTGTGTTAATAATGAACTGTCAGTCTATGAAGTGAAGTGAAGTGATTTTCATTTACAAAACGATTTTTTTAGAATCAAATTTATTCTATTCATTAAATTACAACAGACTCGATTGGTGCAAATAATGGATTTTTAGATTAATATTTAAGAATCGATTTTTCGATCGATTGATATGTTTCATTTGAGTTTTTTATTTGCATTGTTTGTCAGCTATTAACATTGTTATTAGGTTATATGGGTTTAAATCAGGCCATATTTGATCGAGTTAATCGACTAAAATTACGCAATTCGATAAGTTTGATAGTTGAACAATTTTCTCTGGATTATATTTAGATCGATAGCATTCGAAATATGACTTCAATCAAAATGACAGACAAGATAAAATAATGTATTCATATGACACCTTCGCTGTGTCAAAACGACGGACTGAATTTCTGTTTACTTGAAATGCAGTTGAAAACCACCAGAGACTTTTAACCTTTCAAAAGTTGAATAATGTGAAAATGGTTGAGAAAAGGTGAAAACTGCATTTCAGCTGTTTAATACATTTTTAGACAAAACAAGATTTGTAAAACAATGAATAGCGTAACCCTTTGAAAAAGTAAAAGTTTTGTTGATATAAAAAAGTTAGCAAAAGATAATGCCTTTCATGATGTCTGAAGATGAAACTACAGAAATGAGAAAATAAAATGAAACAGAAAAAGAAGAAGAAAATGTTTGACGACAAAAGCAAAGTTGAGCCAAAAGCTGAATGAAAAGATGAGATGAAAAAGATGAGGAAAGGATGAGGAAAATATGATGTGAAATGGCGAGGAAGACAAATGGAAGAGGAGTGAAGATGGTGATGAATAAAGGTAAAGCTCGTGACTATTCATTACGTACAAATTGTTGATCATAAGTAGCATGTTAGGAGTGGGCAAGTGATGGGGAAAAGGTTGGATGAAGAGGTTGAAGGAAAGTTGGTTGATGAAGGTTCATCAAGGTAATGAAGTAACATTGATAAAATGAAAAAGGTTAGGATGAGTGAGCGAGACTGGAAGAGAGACAGAAAAGAAGAAGAAGAAATGATGAGAAATGATGAGCAAGTGAGAGACTGTTAGAGGAGGAAAAATGTTTTTAGGTAAAAATGAAAAAGATATTAACTAAATTGGATCATCTCAAGAGTAAAGATTGAAGGAAGAAGAAGAAGAATTTTTCTCTTTTTTTGTTGCCATTTCTTCTGTTTTTGGTGAGAATTGTAAGATGAAATTCATGAAGATAAGGATCAAGAGGAGGAAAAGATTCATCATTAAACTTGTTTCTTCCTATTATCAACTCATCAACATGATAATACTTCATTTTCATTATTATCATCGCCATCATCGTACACTTGTTTAATTCAATCTCACTTTTCACTATTTTTTTCTTATAACATCTTCTTCAATCCCAAAAGAGTTCAAGTTGAATTTCATTTGAAAATGAATTGAAAATTTTTCTCTTTTATTCCATTTTTTTCATGATAATTTTCGCTTCCCTTTACAGGCCAATGCAAGTCAATTAAAGTCTTTTACTGGACGTAAAACTGGATCGCCACCAATTCTTGGACTTATACTAAACATTGAACAGCAACACTTTCAACTGCCCGAGTTTAAGGTTAGATGTGTTGCCACAATCCATGAAAGGATTGTCGATTATTATTCAGAAGAGATTCAAATTCGTACAGAAAATCAAGAATCTTGGGAAGCCAAATCATCTTATGATCCAACCTTTGCCAATTACGCCAAAAAAGGTAACTTATTACCTTATGATTATCATATCATAACTATCCTTTCAACATTCCCTGAGAAGAACAATTTTTCTTCTTTTTTATCATGTATATTTATATTATTATTATATATCTATTTCCTTCCTTATTTCACTTGTTTCAGCCTTTCTTTCCAATGATATCCTTTCAATCTTCAATCATCATCATTATCATCACAATTCTTTGTTTTTTTTCCTCCTCTTGTTGTTGCTGTTTTTTTCCCTGTTTACTTCTTGATGTTTCCTTGTTTACTTTACGGATTGTTATTACCTTAACACCACTTTAACCTCCCAAAGGATTTGCTTTTCTCGTTTATCCAATTCCAAGGGTATTATCGTATTCTTTCACAGTCTTTACTATGATAACAACATTCAAGGAATAGGCATAAGCAACAAGAATCATCAACATTAAACAGGGTAAACAGAAGAAAGGAATAGAGAGAATCACATGAAAAGCTGGAAACTCTAAAAAAAACTTTACTTGCTAAATGACACTTATTGTGATAAACATTTTCTGATGAAAATGGGCGAAAAGCGAAAAACAAATGATTTGATAAACTTTCATTTATCACAATAAATAAGGTTAAATTATTGAGGCCAAATAAAAAGATCACAATGAATATTTTTCAACTTCGACATTGACTTCAGTTTACTTCCATTTTGAAAGATGTTCAAGATGAAATTTTCAGAGTTGTTCAGTATTTCTGTTACAAAAACTCTGACCTCACTTTGATGGGTAACACTTGGTATCACAATCAACCCTTTAGTTTAATTGTATTGGCAAATGAATGAACCAAATAAGTTGATCTGAATTTGTGCTGAAATTACAAAATTGCAAAATAATGATTGAAAAAACTGTTTAAACACACAAAAGCAAATGCATGCTAAAATTAGAAAGGTTAATGAAAAGCTACAATAATGATGAATATTTCAATTAGAAAAGTTCATTTCTCTTTTTTTTCTCTCGCCATGATTTCCTCTCAACTCCTTGTTCCTCTTTGCCTTCATCTTTTCAGATAAAGGGTATCTGAATGAGAAACATGAGTAGGTGTGGTGGTGGTCCATTGAATGGTCAACAATTTTGATTGATACCATTGAGAATGGTGGAATGATAATTGCTAATGATTTGCAATTGATACTCATTGTCGGTTGATAACAATATAATGATCAGTCACGTCAAAAGCAATTGTGAAAACTCCTCTTGTGTTCATTGTCTGTGTTAAATGATGATGATATTGAAAGGCCAGACTAATATGATAATAATGATAATAAACCTCTAAATTGGTGAATTGTGAACATAAAGTTACCAGTTAAATGGCAACTCAAGATAAACACTGGATTCGGGTTGAAAGGCAGAGTTTCAGGGGGAAAAGGCATATGGAATGGAAAAGAGTTAATCAGTTATCTATTAATAATTTACACTGTTAATGAGCACATTTTTGTGGTCAAAAATTGGTCAAGCCAAGAGAAGAGGAAAAATAGTAATCATTATTTATCGTCAATTAATCAACTGAAATCAATGTAAAGGATAAGAAGACAGTAAAATGTATAAATCAAATCATGTTATCAATCGAACCAGTTTTACTTGGATAATCAAGTTGAACATTATTTATCCATATTTTATCCATTCATTGATATTCAATTATATTCATTTTGTATTCATGATGTTATCCAAAAGAGAAAAAAAAACGAAAATTATTGTTTTTCTTATCAACTTCATGCAAGATTAATGTTCAATATTGATCTATTCATTGACTATTTTAGACTTTTTTAGTTGAGTTGAAATTGTTTTACTCGTTGAATCTCGTTTGCTGTTGAATCTAATCAACCAAATTGAAGGAATTAGTTTGTCTGTTAAAGATTAATTCATGATGATGCTTTAATCATCAACTTGAATGGTCAATTGCACCTTCAACTTGTCTAATTTGACCTTTCAAATCTCTTTTTATTCTTGTTCTTTTTCTTTCTTCTGGCCATTATCTGATTACAATTAAAAGGTTTCCTTTGCTGTTCAGCCAACACTTGATAATCTGTTTAAACCTAATCCAATTGCAATTTCATTGTTGAATCACAAGATGAGTTGATGAGTCCATCAACCATTGATCTAACAATTGGTTAATCTGTTGATTATCGTTAACCTAATCCTTGCCATTTCAATCAGTGTCAATTGACTATTGTGATTGAACCTTGCATATTATATGATTAAAGCAACATTAATATTGGAATCTCGAGAGATTTTTTAATACATTTTATGGTGGAAAAGCTTTCATTTGATGAATCTTCCATTCACTGTAATTGAATTTTATATCAATTTTGTTTCACTTTTACTAGTCTTTAATGTAAATAAAAATTGATGTTGCCGCAAGGTTTCACCAAATCAACCAATTCTAATTGTTTAATAGCAACAAGGAGAATAAAATGGTTCCAATTTCAATTGTTGATTAAGTTTTTTTCTTCACTTTTCACAGTTTCCACCTTTTCATGGTAACCAATTTTTTCGTCCAATTTTATAATACAATTTTCACGATTGTCCTTTAAATCAGCTAATAATAATGATAATGATAAACATTGAAACTCGATTCCCAGTTGCATTCAATTTTCCCACAAGTTTCCATGCTAATGAAATGTGAATCAAGAGTTGTTACCAAAAAGCAAAAAATGAAGGTTAAATGGTTATGGTAATAATGTTTGTTTTCAGCTTTTCAACACTTCAACTAATCAACCCAATATTTTCTGGTTCAGATTTTTCCATTTTCACTCATTCGTTACAAAGACAAGTTCAATGTTGAACGATTTGCTATTTAAAGATTATCATTCCCTTAAACTTTGATAACATTTACTAAATTCAACTCATCTCAACATCTAATTAACCCAAAATTTTCTGGTTAACATTTTTCTAGAAATTATTATTTCCATTTTTCTTTCCATTCTTTTCAATGAAAGTGAAGACATTTTTCAATGTTGAACTCATTTACTATTTAAACTATCATTCCCTTACAATTTGATAACATTTACTCGATATTTATTGTCACTTATTAAAACTCTTTACCTTGTCTCATCCTTAGTAACGGAGAGTGGCCTTATCATGTGGACTCAACTTGTGGCGGTCATCTTGTATAGTTGCAATGTTTACACTTATTCCTAGCCAATGTAAACAAAACTGGTTAACCTGATTCATCTTTTCATTTTCATCTTTCACTTTTTGTCAACCTCTTCATCAAAGTTAAAATTTTACAATAAAAATTATGCTTTTTATTCAACACTAAATAACTCCAAAAAAAGACCAAAACTTGTAATAATACTTTTAATTGAAAAATGCTTAGTAAAATGAAATAAAATGTTAATAGAGTTGATTATTGAAATGTATTTTTCGTCTTGCTTTCTTTCCCTTTCCATATCAAGAGTAAAATTAGATTCAAAAGTGATTCCTGATAATAGATGAACCTTGATGAGCCTGTTAAAGGGACATTATTAGCCTTTTAGTAGATACCTGTCAACAGTTGTAGTCTTATAAATGATACTTGATACTCCTGAAAGAGCATGGAAAAAGTTCATCCCTGAAGCATCTTTTGAGTCACTCAACTCCCACTAATCATCCTCATGTTAGTCTCTCTCTCTCTCTTTATCTTTCATGGTCATCATACATGATATAATCTTGATCCCTTTGAATAATACTCTGGAGAGTTTTGGCAACAGAAGTAAAGGAAAGAAAGAAAAAGTTAAACGATTTTACTTCTCTTCTTCCAGGTAAGAGTAATGATGATGAGTTGCACTGGTTGGGATGATGAAAGCATGAGATGGTGAGTCGAGGGTGGATAAGGTAAGGATGGACAATATTTATCCTCTTTAAATGGAAAACCATTAATGGCTGGTAGAAAGGAATTGTTATGATAATTTGATGATTTACTCTGCATTTTCATCTTCACTCTCATCATTATCATCATTAAAATTATTTCTTACTCCAAGTCTGTTATTAGGACGGAAACATGGACAAAACCATTTATGTAATCAAATTAGTTGCATTATTATTATCCGTTTAATGGGCAGCTCGAGCTTGTACAACCTGCAATTATAAACATCACAAGTGACCTAATAATGAATTTCATTCTCATTCATATTCAATTTTCACTCGAATCGACTTTTCTCAAAATATCAATTTTCGCCATTCTATTGGAACAATTATTCTTTTGTTTCAACTTTTTTTTGGACTTTAATGCTTCTTTGAGTTCGACAGTTTTTGAACATTTTTAGTTTTTTATTCATTCATGATGATGGATAATGAAAAGAGAAATAAAAATTTCGATTCATTGTTTGCTCTTCTAATGAATCATTTTCCCTTTACTTCTCATTTCACAAAGTATTTTCATTTCCATCTTAAGGTTCAATTTAACGTTAATCTTTTCACTCTCAAGATCATTAAATGTCAATGCATTTGTTGCTTCTAATCATGAAAATGACCCAGGGTCACTTAGTGAAAAGCATGGACTGGAAAGAGCAAAAAGACTAAACTAAATTAAACTAAAGACCCACTACAAATGCAGCCAAATGAATGAATTTATTCTGAAATGAAGGGAGGAAAAAAATAGTTCTGGTTCCTTTCAATCGACTTTTATTGTTATTAGAAAGTCTTTAAAGGTTATTTCTGTTTTTCCCTTGTCTGATGCTTCTGTAACAATTAGTAGGAAAATAAAACAAAAAAAAGACGGTCATGATTTTAAATGATAGTTGAATGATACCAATGGTCATCCTCATCATCTTCATCATGAACATCATACCATTATCATCACCATAAGTCTCATCTGTTTCACCAACAGGAGACTGTATGCCCATCACTGTATGACCAACATTGACAAAGTTCACATCAACATCTCTTAATAAACCATTTTGGTCAATAAGCTAGTAGACACCAGAAATTATCATTATCATCTTCATCACAAGATCATTACCATTATCTTCCGAATTGACCATTTAAAGATAAATTTCCTTCTCAGAAGTGAACCTGCGAAAGACGTTACAGTAACTGCCTCTTAACCTTAACCTAGAGACTCAACCATTGCCCATCAAAACTAACATCTTGAGTTGGTCCAATGAATGATCTTTAAACGCTTTTTTATTGTTATTTCATTTTCATCTTTGATTGTGGAATATTGTAAAGTAAATTGAGTTTTTTTATCAAGAGAAGCTTATTAAGCTCTGAGTTGATCTTTTGATTGATTTCACTTAATTGTGATTAAACTTCAATTTGAATTATGTAAAATGAAAAGAGATTTTGATTCAATGGATTGGCTCTCATCAAAGTGAACCGATGATTGATGCATTTGTGTTTGCGCTAATCAAACTAATCAAGAAATAATTTATTCATCTCAATATGAGGCCAATTAATTCTCTAATGCATTTAAACATGAACTAATTAAAGATAATTATATATACATCAATTATCATCTTTAACCATATTGATGTTGTAACTACATTGTAATCAAAATTCATTAAATTGTCTATTCTTTTGTAATAAACAAAACTCTTCATTCAATCCATTTCAACGTTTCTTTTGTTGCAACTCACTGTTTCAACTAAATCTATACATTTATTTCAATTCATTTTGATTACTTTTAATCATAAAGATATAATTTTTTCTTCTTCGCCTTTACTTTTCTTTATCATTCTATCCGTTTTCATACTCGAGGAAACTCCCTGTTTTCAACTGGGAGTGAATATTATTGTTGAGATTGTTTGCATTATATCGTGATAATTGTCTCGTTTTTTTGTCAAGTGATAAAAGATGATAGAAATTAAAAATTGGCAATTTGAATTTTGTTTGCAATTTTCAAACTTGAAGGTGAACAAGGAATTAGATTAGTTCTGTAAAGATTCTCATGAAATTCTGGCAAAAATTTTTCATTTTGATTTATACATTTCCATCAACAACTCAAAATATAAATTACAAAAGTATATTTTCAAGAAAGTTTTCAGCTGAGGAACAAAAGGATTCTAAACTGAAACGAGATTTCATGGTTATGAAACTGTCAAGGGAAATGTTTATGGGAACAAGTTATCAAGAGTTAAGTTGATGTATGATTTAATAATCAGATTAAAGGTATCAACATGTTTATAATAAAATCTGTTGGTTTTTGTTAACGTTCACAATTAATTCAGCTCATACACGAAAACAATACACTTGGTTGAAAGATTTATTAAAAAAGTGTTAATCAATTGAAAAGAACTAAGACATTCACACTCGATATTTTCAATTTTCTCGTTCAAATTAAGCTTGGGTTGTTTATGAATGACCTTTCACATTGAATAACTATCATGTTTAATAATGCTTCCATTAACAGTTTACATTACAGTAGTTATAAAAAGTCCTCTTCTGGACCAACTTGTCCCACCTGGACCAACTTTAGGTGCCTCTTCTGGACCAACATAAAGTCCTCTTCTGGACCAAATTGTCCTCTTCTGAACCAAATTTTATTCTCAATTTTTTCTTTTTCTAAAACAAAGTGTCCCCTCTGGACATGTCCGGGTCTGGACCAACATAGAGTATATAAGACTAAGTTGAACACAATCTTTCTAAAAATGGACCCTGAGACTTATAAGAATATAATCAAGATCTTATTAGTCTTGATAATCATTATTGTTATTTTTTTACGTACTTTCTACCGACCTACAAGTGAATATGTCATCAAACTCGCTTAATTATTCAATAGCTAATATTGTAAGTTTATGGAAGATAATCGGGCCTTTCAAATTAGAGATTGACAATACTAATAGAAAAAAGAGATTCAATGCTCAAATCTTAAGGAAAAAAGGTGTATTTCTTGTTTTTGGATCAGGAAAAGTAATCGCTACTGGATTTAAAGAAGTTCAGCTAGTTCCTCATCACCATCTACTTCATCACCATCTCCATTACCATCTCTTTCAACAAACCCCATTGAGCGTTTCTATCAAAGAATGATGACACCTGGTCCATTAGGTGGTAAAGTGAAGGATTTATTTACCCTTATGGAAACATATTCATCGTATGATGAAAGTGAAAAAGACAAGGTGAAAACCGTTGTAAAATCTGTTCTTTATAATATGTTAAAAAACGGAATCGACCAGAATGGATTTCATGAGGTAAAAAAACTGAAAAAAGAAATAAGCGATATCGACAAAAAAGTGAACAAGGAGGCGAAAAAGGTTGAAAAGATTTTCAACGTAAATATGCAGCTAAAAGAAATGTTGGCAATTAAAAACAATAGTGATTTAGGATTTGCTCAATATGCACTTAAAGAGCTACAAAGATTAACAAAAGTTCCTCACGATTTGCTCGAAGAAAGAAGTAGAGGATTATAATTTTATGTATTTAAATAGGTCAATTCAATGTAAAATTGATAAAAAAATCCAGCAGAAAATTCATTGTTTAATTGCAAAATAAAGGTTAAATTTGATAAACAAAATTGATAAACAAAAGTTTTCCCCTTGAAAATTAATTAAAATTTGGTCCAGAAGAGGACAAGAGGAATAATGAAAAATTAAGCAAAAAATTTGGTCCAGAAGAGGCACCTAAAGTTGGTCCAGGTGGGACAAGTTGGTCCAGAAGAGGACTTTTTATAACTACTCATTACAATTATATTCAATAATTTACTATTTATTAGCGAGATACAGGAACCATGATCAAATAAAATTTTTATCGGTACTGAATTGATACAACCCTGTATGCGAACGTGGAAAGTTTTATTAGATTAGGCTGATAGTTAAAATCGTCTTCATTTTGGGTGAAAGAAGAAGAGTAGTGAGTAAAAGTCCGGTTCCAGGACAAAAAGGTGTCGGGCAAATGACAAGAAAAGACAATGAGATTGAGAGTGCGAAATAACAACACTAGCACTAATGGAATCGATTTTATGGCCTAATAAACCCACAAAGTTCAAGTCTGATTCCGGACACTTTGCTCTTCTCTAATATGCTAGCTTGTGTCGTCCAATAAAGAGATGCTCAATATCTTGTTGCCATTCTCATTGACTTTTACTCTCTTTGTTAATCAAAATAAAAAATTTGTCAAAATGGATGTTATTCACTCGTATATTATTAAACAATAAAAGTAAAAATAACAGCATGAGGCTCATACTTGGACAAGCATGAAATATACGTTTTGAATTTACTGGTTGGGTAAAAATTGATCTTGCCGTTGTCAATTTGACCATCTTAGACTTGATGAAAGAGCGAGTCATCTTTGCTGTTGAACAAGTGAAATTTGGCTTTTGCAATATGTTTTGATTTAAACTATCAAGTATCTAGATGATCAATCTCAATGGACCATGATGATCATTGGCTATTGTTATACAGAAACATTTTCAATGGTTCATTTGATGGAAACAAATAATAAACAAAAATATTTATCAAGCAACAAAAAAGCAAGTATTCAAGATAAAAATGAAAGATCAATAGAGGAGACAACAAAAGAATGAATATAAAAATGAAAGTAATATGAAATTATTCAAACATTCATGTCGATTATAATCATTCGCATGAAGTATCATTTGTATTACAACAAACGGAAACATTGAGTGCGAAATTGACCCGAAATCTGATTGACTCTTTACAATTGACCATAAAAAAGCAAATCAAATTAACCATCATTATGTATCATCAGCTATTTAATAAAACAAGAGACAATCTAAAGGACAAATTAACTTGAACCATTTGAACCCAGTAAATGGTTATGAATAATTATTACACAGGCAACAATAAGAAGCAAACAATTTACAGAGATTTACCTTTTTCGTCCTCATTTTAATAGTAAACCTTTAATCTTGTTTCACCTTTTATTATTTAATAATTGGTGCTTCTGTTGATTCACTTGTTAACCTAATAATATTTAATATTAATAATGATTTGGCATTAAAAGTTAATCCAATTCTGTTGAGGTTAAGTCGACTGCTTGTTAAGGTACATCATTATATCTTGCAAATGAATCTCAATTGTTTTCACTCTTTTCACTTTTAATCATTAATAATCAACTCATTTTCAACTCTTTTTTTTCCTCGTCATTTTATATTCTCATTTTGCCCTTGCAAAGGTAACAATAGGTAAAGTCTCAAAGGATTGTATCATCATTTGGATAATAATCATTGCTCTTTCCAAGTTGAATGTGACCTCAACGACAACAATTTTCATGCAATTATAAACATCGAATGGTAAAAGGTGAGATTGGAGAAGAAGAAGAAGAAATGAAAATAAGATTCCATGATAGTCATGATAACTGTTATTTATTATAATTTAACGATAACCCGATTCTGTTGCTGTCTAAACCTTTCGATGGAAACCATTTTGTCTCATTTATTTGGCTATTTATTTGTATTGATGTGCTTTAAAATACAAAGTAAAGTGTAAGGATCGGTTGACAGGAGAAACATGAATTACAATTTACCTTCAATATTGATAGTGATTCTGGAAACACCATTTAGTAACCATTTGAGTTTGACTTGGAAATGGTTTGGCAAACGAAACATTTACCATTTACCTTTCAAGCAAAATTATTTTTTTACCTTTACACTTTAATTTTCACAGTTGCTCCAAATGCCTATTAACCAGCAAATCTTAATCACTATTTAATAACCCAAAATGTTCATCTCGCCTTGAGCTGTTATTACCATTCTGTTCAATTATACTCTTTTAGATTGAAATTGAATCTACAGTTGAATCTCACACTTTACTGAGTATAAAGTTGAAATATCTGTAAAAGATATTCAGTTAACTGTATTAATTAACAAGTCTGTTTACAGTTTAATTTTGAAGTTACAATTAAATTTAAACCTTGCTTCAAGGGAAAGGAAAATGATTAAAAAGCAAATCAATTTGAGTCGTCATTAAAGTCGTCATTTTGTGTAAAATTGAAAATTCAATATTGAAAAGTGAATCTCATCAAATTGCCTTGATTTTGTTTGCCTTTTTTTTCCTTGTATCTCAAATTTCAAGCCAAGTTCAACAACCAATTGATCATGACTTAATCATTATTTTGTTTCACAATGAAAGAGATTCAAGGAATTAAAAGTTGAAATCTTTTGTTCTATTGATTTTTCAGCTTTTTGCTGACACAATCTTCAGCTTGATCCTTTGCTTTCCTGTTGATATTTTCATCTATTCCTCTTGTTGAACAAAAAAAAGCTGGAAAACCTCAGACTTGAAAAAATATGATAAAGATGAGAAGGAAGAAGAAGGAGGGAAAATTTTCCGGACAAAACTTCCTATTTGTGAATGGAATCCATTGAAAGTCTTATACTGTAACATGAAAGTGAAGAAAATCTCATTGAAATGCTGAATTATTAAAAGGTTGGAAAAGTGAATGAATTATTATTTTAAAATGAGTTAACATTGTGATTATGATTGGTGAAAATGTTGAAAATTACGAAAAAAGGTTCAACAATTTAGCTTATAAATTGATTTATAAAGCTGCCAGAAGCTTTAAAAGACTGTCAATCTTTGAAAGATTTACCAGTTTTAAGGAAACTATTGTTTCACTTTTAGCTTTTTAGTCCGTTATTTCCGTTAAATTGTCAACAATTTAGCCTTTAAATAATGTTTCCAGTGATAATAATGCGTATCAAAGCATCAATTTAAGTCTGTTTGTCATTAACTACAGTCAATGGTTCAGTTTTTATCCCAATCTGGACGTTAGTTTTTTTTCCTGGTAATGATTCAATTGAATGAATTTTTCCACTTTCATTATCACTGTTGAAATGGTTAATAAAGTTGATTGATTTGAACACCATTTTGTATCCAAAAATAAGTTACCTTGCAATGGTAAAGGCATGAAACTCGTCAAACTGTAAATCCATTATAAAATCACTATTTATTTGAATTATTATTATGTACTAATGCATATTTTCAACCAGTTTATTGGTACAATGTAATGGTCAATGTGAATGTTTTCAATGTCCTTTTCTTATGTTTTTTTACACTTTGATGGTCACTTTAACGCTATTTTTTGCTCCTATTAACATATCACTTATCTTTAAATTAACTTGCTTCAATAAATATAAATCAGCAAGGTTAATAGAGCTTTGACCATTTGGTTTTCAAAATTGGTTTGTCAAATGGTTTTCAATTTAAATTGTAAATTGATCCATTTATACTTGACTGTATTATGAGAGATGAAAATGCATAATACTTGATATCATGTTTGATTTCACAGTTGTTTGCTTACATTTGTGTATTCATCTGGTTTGTGGAAGATCAGTTTATTCCTGAATATCTGACCAACAGAGAGATAGATTCATCAAAATGCCAATTGAATTATCTTTTAACTTCAAGTCTAACATCTTGTACTCATTACGATGAAAAGTAAAATAAATTTGAGATCTAAATTCATTTCCACTTGCAGTTAACAAGATGTTAATTGAAAATAATCCAACACTAAATCAATTTGTGACTTAATAAAGTTAATCAACTGGTTTAGGTTTCATGATTTTTTTGCTGTAAGATTTGTTGGAAAATTTTTCAGTGGTGAGGACGCCATCTAGTAGTTTGGTGAAACGTCATCTGGAAATTGCAAGAAATTGGTTTTGCTTGGGTTTGTTTTGGTTTCCCTGTTAGCTTTGATCAATTTATTAATCGTTATTTATCATGTCTTTGTCGCGAGGTTTTAATTTAGTACGTAGTTTAACTTCTGTACGTCGTTTGACTACCTCTACTCCACGATTAAGTGATAAATTATTTGTTCATCGAAACACTGATCCAGATGTGGATAAATTTGAATGGAATGCTGAAAACAAAAAGGTATGTTAACTCTTATGATTTTCAATTTTTAATTCATCGTTTTTGGACAAATCAGTCTTTTTCGCAGACCATTCTGCTCTTGAACTTATAGCTGTGTGACTAACTTTTCTGTAAAAATTGTATTTACAGAAAGCTGAAGAGATTACTTCAATATATCCTGAAGGACACAAAGCCGGAGCTATAATGCCTTTACTTGATTTAGCACAACGTCAACATGATAATTGGCTGCCTTTAAAGGCTATGAATTTCGTTGCTGACTATCTTAAAGTACCCAGAATGAGAGTTTATGAAGTAGCTACTTTCTACACCATGTACAACCGTCAGCCAGTTGGTAAGTTGTAATATTATATTTTTGAACCAAGAAATGCAATATTACTGTTATAAACACATGATAATATATTTTGTTTAACCATTTCTTGTCTTTGTAGGTAAATATTTTGTTCAAGTTTGTACTACAACTCCATGTATGCTTCGAGGTGGTGATGATTTATTTCATCATGTTAAAGAAATTTGCAAAGACGACAAGTTGTTTACAGTAATCGAAGTCGAATGTTTGGGTGCTTGCGTAAATGCTCCCATGTTGCAAATTAACGATGATTATTACGAAGACTTGACCTTGGATGAAGCAACTCAAATCATTAACGATCTCAGGGCCGGTAAAAAGCCCAAAATAGGTCCCGCAGCAAGTAGTGGTAGACAAAACTGCGAACCAAAAGGTGGTTTAACATCATTAACATCGCCACCTCCTGGTCCAGGCTTTAAAGTAAGGCCTGACCTTTAATTTTATCGGTTTACATTCACAATTTTTTGTTGTCTTTAGTCCTTAGATTGTAAGTTAATTTCAAATGATTGAAAAAAACTATTATATCGTTTGTTCAAGAAATCAAATTCGAGATGTACATTAAACATTGTAAAACAAAAAATTGATAATAATAATTTTAAGTTAAGTTCATTCTAATTTGTTACATCGTTTTGCACAACAAAGGGATTGCTTTTGAAAAAATCATTGGCGAAAGAAACTGATTTCATGGTAAGATTGAAGACAGGATGAACAGGGACCTGAAATTAAAATAAAACAAATTAGAGTTTTTCTTTGATTGGCGTTCTATAATATAAATCTTACCAATTTATTTGTACTTGAACCAACTACCATGTCTTCTATGAAAGCAAACTGGGCAATCGAAAGGCCTGATAAATCATAACAAGTATGGTAAAAATCAGGAACCCGCCCTGGTTTATCGATTAACCCACCGCGAGGAGATTGACAACAACACAATAAATATTCTTGTAGCGCTTGTTGATTAAAGGTCCATCTTCGATAATTAAGTACATGAGAATCTATAAAATCAAGAGAAATCATGAGTAAAAAAATTGTCTATGCATAAGCATTTGAATAAATGTAAAGTAATATTATAAATACAGCGTACTTTGTTTTGCAAGGTGTGATTCAATAATAACTATCGCTGCTGCTTGCCAGAAAGAATAACATCCGTCGACCAACTTGTTGGTTCGACCGCAAAATCCTCCCTCAATAGGCTTTTGTTTCATTACAGTCCATCTTAATAAAGCTTTCAGGTCACATTGATGTGCTTTTCCAAACAATGTTAAAGCTGCAAGAGCACAAAAAGAGTATCCACCGTGAGCTTCCTCATCTGGCATAGCACCAAAGCCACCCTCATAAGTTTGACATTTTAATATCCATTCGGCTGAACCTTCAAATAATTCAGGTGTGTTGATTCCAGTAATGTAAGCAACTGCAGCGGCACAATAAATCCCTCTAACGTCACTTTCACCATCTTCATGCATAATGAATGAACCATTGGGTTGACGCATTTTCATCAAAAATTTGTACAAAGCTGCCCTATCAATTGACTGTAATGCTTCAGTGTCGCATAACGTAACCAAAGCATTGATTGCACCATAAGTTGTAGCTAAATGTGGAATTTGATCAGGACCTCCTCCATAACCACCATCAAGGCGACAGCATCGATTGAGGAAGGTGATCACATCATGATGAGAATTGTTAAGCAATGCATCTTCACCTAGTAAATAAATTGAATGTATAATCCAGTAAATCATCCATGGTTTTGCTGCATCGAGAGATTGATAAAAGACATCCGGTTGAAATAATCCTCCCATTAACCAGCTACTAATTTGAGATCGATTAAGTTCAAGTTGATCTGGGTTTGCAGAAAATCGAGTACGAGCTTGACGATAACATTTAAGAATTTTCATGAGTACTTTGTGTTCTTCTGAACTAGTTTTGGTGGGAAATTTTTCAGAACTGGCGAAAAGAGGAAAATCAGGCTGACAACATCGCAATGAATTATCTGTCAAGTAAGAAATATACAAGGAATAAGATAAACGATAAACAATAGACGTACCACTGATCAGATTAAAGATTGCAAGATTTTTGAAAAAAAATAGAGAAATTCGGACATCAATCATTCTTACCGATTGTATCCCATTGTTCCGGTTCATCAATATCTGAAGACATCATTAAGCTATGTTTTTTAAACAGACAACGTGAAAAGGTTCAAATAATTCACAAATGTAAACTAGAAATAAGATTTCAAACAGAACCGTAAACATTGACTAAAAACCACCTAAAGTTCACCAATCAACAATCTCGATCCATGGTTACTATGGATACCATCCAATTCACTGAAAGCAAATTTACTGCTTTTCGGTTTTTTTCTGCATTGGCTGATTGTGTGTGACAAATAGCTTCATGTATTTTGATTGACATTGTTCTGGTGACAGCTTGAGCTCTAATTTGTAATTTATGAAATATTGATTAAATTTTGTTTATTTAGTTTTAGAAGCTTATTTTCTTTTAATTATAGACCATCTACTCTTGGGGTGTGATTTTCTTGACTGGTCACTTGGGTAAATCAAAATGTCGGCTGCTTTTTTACCCAGCCAACGTGCCCGTGGCCCAACAAATTCAGCTCAAATCCAAAAGGTAAACTTTTTTATTAACTCACACATTTTTAACTATTTCCTTGCCATTTAGCCTCTCCTTTGTGCCCTGACTTACTCAGAGTTTCTTCTGTTGAAGAGTTGTATTGTCAATTGGTATTTTTAAAGCAGTCAAACATTTAACATATGCAATTTTTTTATCATTCTCTTTTCAGATGCTTGATGAAAATTCAAATTTGATTCAGGCAGTGATGGAAGCTCAAAACAAGGGTGAAGCACAAAAAAGTGTTCATTTAATAAGCACTATTCATCGTAACTTGCTTTACTTGGGAAGTTTGAGTGAATCTAATCCAAATTTAGCACAAATCATTCCACCTCCACCTACTTTCGGACAACCTCAGCCTCAACAGTCACAGGGCAATATGCCACCTCAACCTTCTGGTAAGAACCGAAATTAATCATTTGATTTTTTAATTGTTTTTATATTTCATCTAATTTTTTGTCTTTTTAAACAATTTCTAGAATGCATGCCACCGCCTCCACCGCCAGCACCACATTCTCAAGGTCCTCCGACGAGCGCACCAGCTGGTCAACCAACCATTCCTAATCCTAACAGTGGCCCTCCACAGCCTACTACGTCTCCACCGTCATCCAGCAGTGGACCTAATGTTCCACCTCATCAATACGTAGGAAACATGATGCCCCCTCCTCGACCTCCATCTTCAAGTACTCAACTTCCCAATTCATATGGTAACTACCAGATGCCTTCAAATCAACAATACAACCAAGGGCAGTACCCTCCATCTTCAGGTTATTCTGGTTATGGTAGCTACAACCAAGGACCTCCAGCATCTCCTCAAGGACCTGCGCCAAATGCACCCTACCCAACTCCACCACTATCCTCTCAACAATATGGATCTTATCCTAACTATCCACAACCAGGCTACTCCAACGCGCCACCTCAACCACCTCCCGGTTCAGCTCAAGGATCAGGTCCTACAAATTGGTATCCTCCAACAGGTTCTCATCAATCTCCAGGTTACTCTTCAACTAATCCAGTCCATCCTGGACCTACAGGACCAGGTAGTGGACCCACTCCAGCCGCTGGGCCGCAACAAAATTATCCAGGTTATGGTGGTTATAATCAAGGTTCTCAGTATTCACAACCAGGTTATGGTGTAAATTATGGGTCACCTAATCCCGGTCCTTCCCCACCATCTAGTGGAGGTTATGTTTCTCCAGCTCCATCAGGTCCTGCACAGCCATCAGGAGCTCAAGCACGCCCCGGCTATCATCAACAAGCCGGTTATGGACATTTCTCAGCTCGTGGTCCCGCTCCTATGGGTGCATACCCTGGTTATGATCAATCTTCACAAGGTTACCCCGGTTATGGTCCACCTCAGCCTCAATAAAGTCGCTTCTGTAGCCCAAACTTCCTAATTCCTTCTTCTAAGTTAATTTTTCCGCTATTCTAATTGTTGCTATTAACTAAAATGTTTTAGCATCAAAGAGCAGTTGGATCGGCAGCGTCAAAATACAATTTCCAGTTAGGTGGAAGACTATTCACAATTATAAGAAAAAAATGCACTTAATAGTGTAGAGATTTGCTTTCAATTGATAAGAATATATATTGACATCAGGTGAAAAAATGAATGTAAATTTCGAGATTAATTAATTTTGATGTGTTAAACTGATGTCTGTTGCTATAATGAACAATTAAATTTAACTTGACCAAAGTAATAACAGAAAAGTTTCTCATTTATCCAAATCTCATTGAATGAACAACCATAGATGGCATCAAGTTTGCCAAAAAAAGGATATCATAAAACCTAACAGAGTTGGATGATAAGGAAGATGTTACATGAAGCAAACTCTCACCTCTATAACAGTTTAGTTAACATTTCTTGAGCATTTTATCCAGTCAACAGTTTCTTATTTCTCATTAGTTACTCCCAATTAACAGTTGATATAACTATTGTCAAACTGCAACTTTTAATCTTGATCAACAGTTAATAGTTTCAAATGTTACACTCAATTCAATTTCAAACTAAACATTTCTCAGTGCAATAAAAGTACAATTGAAAAGTTTTCCCTCTAAACAGTGGATAAACTGAACTTTTTTTCAAACCAAACATTGGATTTTTCACAATTTAAACATCAAGCAAAACTTGATTAACCAACAAAATCATCATCAATCAGTGATAAAAATGACCTTAAGAATCACCTTAAGACATTCAGTTGTTACCTTTACCTCGATATTATTTTCATCATTCATAAGTATACAATTCAATTCAGGTAAGTTTAACAGATAATCTCAACTTAAATAAATCAGTCTATAAGCGAATAAAGAAAGCAAATAACAATTCATATCATCAAGAATACAATTAGTAAATTGAACAACTAAAAAGCATAAATTGACTATTGATCGTCCATTTCAATTGATTGTTGATTTTGTTGGAATCTCACTTTTAAATTGAATTAACAGAGTTACTTTCAACTTGTCTGACCATCAATTCATATTACAAAGTTATCAGTATTTTTACGAGTTTCATGTTTATTTCATAACAAGTGAATCAAGAATCACGTTCATTTCAATAAGATAACCTAAAGTAAAGCCATTTGTGAATAATTAAAACTGTTAAACATAAACTAATCACAACCAGAAAACCATAAAGTTTGCCTAGCAAAATGCATTCTACAATTGAATACCTGAAGAAGGAAAAAAAGTCTTTCAAAAAATATCATCATTTTTACTCTAATTTTCAATGGTTTCTTTTTAAAGTGCTTTTTCTTACAAAATTCAGCCAGAAAAAAGATTCAACTTTTCATGTTGCTTCATCATTTCCATCATCTTCCCTGTTAAAGTGATTTTTACATTTGTAAATGAAATTAGATGTGAATCGCAAGAAGAAGGCAAAAAAAGCCAACAACTTAACCTTTTTTTACCCAACTGTGTTTAATGTAAATTGCAACTCAGATTATAACATTTACTAAATTTGATTAACTTGACAAGGAATCTTAAAGTGAACAAAAAAAATGTTCAATCATTAATGTCATGGAATGAGAAATGAATAGTTGACTAATTGAAAGAGACAATTGATAATAAAAGTTGGGTCAATCAAGTGGACCATTAAACTGTTTTGGGCCAAAGAAGAGAGAAAGAAAAACATTGAAAAACATTAATTCAAGTGAATACATTATAAATACTTGAATGAATTGAGAAAGGAAACCCAAAATTTACAAATGTTATTCAATGTTATTGTTTACATATGTGTATCTCTGTGTTTTTTTGTGGTTCCTTTGCTTGTTTAAACCCTCAAGCAGCTTACCTAAATTAGATGAATACGATAAAATGAACTCATCATTTGCTTTAAATAACTCAACCTCAACCCAGAACCTTTTGTTCACATTGACTTTTAACTTGAACCAGAAGATGAAAAAAAAAATAAATATAATTGATGTTCAACTACTAACATACCAAACAAATCATTCATTGAAATAGATGCAAATTGATTATTAACTTTTACCATTTACTTTCATCTCTTATTATGCCTTCACTTAGTTATCGTTTTCATGGAAACGGATTATTTATCAGTAAATATTCACCTGCAAGGAATGTAAATGTTCAAATTGTACATTCCTATTATCAGGTTTAACCTTTTTTCAAAGAGTAGACTTGAGAAGCAAAAAAATTATTCAAACCTAAAAGTAGCTTGAAACTTGTCAGAACCAAACACTTTAACATCTCCAAATGTTTCACTCTTTACCAGTTTTTATACTTTGTTGTTGCTTCAGGTTAAATTGTGATTCAAATTAGGCTTCAGTTTAATCAACCAATCAACTAACCAACAATATTAACAATTTGACAATACTTTCAGATAAACTCATCTATTGATTGAATGTGATCGGGCGCACAGCGTAAAGGCTGTTAATCAAATAAATTCATCTAATTATGATTGTAATTGAGACAATTCATGTTTACCTTTTAGAAACAAATCAACGAGTTTAACTAAATTTTGATTTCTATTTACCTTTAGTTAGCTTTTCTTCCTTTGAAGCAAATTTTGCTCACTTACTGATTCCAATTAAGATGAACGTCTTAGCTGATCAACCTTCAAGTTAATCATTATGAATCTTGTCAAGTTTACTTTAAGCTTAAAGTTGACAATTATATCAACAGTAAACAATCAGACTTTTATTAAGTTTACCGCTTTTCACCGGCAATTAAACCCTTTCAATCGTAGTGCCTTTCGAGGTAAACAATGGATCAAGATTAAGACCTTCATTAAGAAGCTGTGGACAAAGGGTTTTACAGATGAAAAATGATAGAGTTGAAAGTTTTCCCTGTTAATCAAACATTCAGACGAAACAAGTAAACCCTAACTTAAACATTGATAACTGATTGATCGTCTTTTTTTGGTTAAAACCTTGACAATTAACATTGGGATGAACCTCAACTTTGGTCCAATGTTATCATGATAATAATGGTTTAATAAAAAAAGCCTCCCAGTTGTGATTCCCTGTCAATTGATTCAACCATTAACATGGTAAAAGGTTAAATCACTGTAATACGCCTTCTGATATCATGCTTATTCAATTTTTACCTGTCTGTCGATAATTACAGTTCAAGAACTGTAGGAATGAAAGTAAATCTATTTTTTAGCTTTTTTTGAGAAACAATTTAATCTGTTGATCAAAAATTTCAACCAGATGTTGAGCTTAAAATGAATACATTTTAATATTCATTTCACTTTATTATTATTGATAATCTAATCATGAAAGGGCTGAAATTTTGGTGATTCTTGTGAATTCTGGGAGTTATTTGAATGTTAATGCTTCTACTTTTTATGTTATTTGTAATTAAAAGTTGCATCTTTGAAAAGTGCTTTTTAATTGGAGCCAATTTAATTTGGTCAGTGAAACATTTCAATGATTTATTCAATGCTTTACGTGTTCAACTGGACAACTGTGTTTAAATTTTTAACTAAACTTTATTTGATTAAAGTCATAGAAAGTGAATTAACTTTATCAAACTAGTTTTGGAGTAAACATTATTTTGGAAAAGTAACTTTTCTAAATGTAAATTGAACGTGAAAAATGAAATGCAAATTTTCACGATCAATTTAATGGTTAATCTTTTGAAAAACTTGATTGTCTATTAAATAATTAAAGGTTTAATCAAAGATTTCTGTCAATCCTGTTTTACAATAAATAAATCAGACTTTAAATCAACATTTACTGTTCACTGTTTCAGTTTAAAGTATCTTTTACTTTCAACATTTTCTGCTCATTTTAAATGAACCTTTAACCTTAATTTTTAAACGAAACCAAAAGCCTTTTACACTTTTCAAATTAATGTGTTTCCGTATTAAATTGTTACAAATTGCTTGGGTTAACCAGTGAAAACAAAAGGTTAAATCGGCAATTTACCTGATTTAAGAGAAACATTTATATCTATTATTGAAACTCGTCTTGAGTTTGTTAATTTTTTCACTCCTTAAACTAACATTGGATTGATCTTAATGGACTTTTTTGATAGCGTTAGTTAATCAATTTACAATTGTGACAAGCTTGATCAAATTGCAAATAATGATTGAATGATCAAGTCAAGAGTCATTTGAATAGAGTCAATTTAATTTGACTTTTTTGTCTGTGCTTCCAATTTTGCCTTTTCAAATCTAAATTTGATCAACTCACCGTTTCTGATAAACTCAATTATAATTAATTTCTAATGATATTTTAGGCTCATAAGACAGTCTAAATTAGCGTAATGTTGATTAAAATGTTCATCAGTCCATAAAAATATTATGACAACACTAATTCATCTTTAACAATAATTTGAACACTGTTTAAACAAAAATAGATTGTTACTTTGCTTCTGTTTATCAATTTCATTTTCACCCATTTTTAGCTTCTATTAAATTAACGCAGCTTTTTTACCTTATTTTCATTAACTTAAATGGTTTGATGAACAAACAAACAAAAAACATCATCAAAATTGACAATTAACAAGCATTGTCTTCTCACCTTGTTATACGGAAACTCACATTTCCAAAACAATTTTCACCAGAAAATGAAAATTTGATTCTTTTCAATCATTTCAGATTCAATTGTATCAAGAAACTAAACTGAAAAGATCAATCGAGTAAATTGAGTTGCTTTAAATTGTCAAAAAGTGTTGATTATTTTAATTTTAGACTCTAGGAATCATTGAATCAGCAAAATCATTTTAGCCATTCATTTCAATCTAAATCGGTGTTGATCTAAAGTGTTTAAATGATTAAATCTCACAAGTAGAAATTGTGAAAACTGAATTTAAGGCAAAAAAGCAGAATTTGTTTCGAGATAAAACAGAAATATTCAGATAATTCAACTCTAAAACATTCAAAGGTTTCATAAAATTGGGTTTCAGCCCATTTTTCCAGTTTATTGGAAAAGGATTTTTGAAGCAATTTTAAATAGCGAAATTATTTTGATAATTAAAGGCAATATTTAGATTCTGAGGCTGATGAAATAGAAATAAAATTCTTTATGAATTTTAACTCATTTGGATGAAAAATTCAATGTTATTTAGGTATTTTCAAAACAAATCTTATTTCAGGTTAAGACTGTTCTTTTTGCTTCTGATTGCCAAGTCAATTAAAGTAGCATGTTATTCAATGGATAACACGCAAATTTTAATTCACTCCCAATCACATGTTATTATTATTTTTATTATAACTCAATGAACACCAATGCAGTGACAAAGGTATTACAAGGTAGAGAGTGAGGTTTGAAGTGAAAAGGTTCATCAATTTTGGCTGAACCAGCAAAATCAAAAAAAAATCCAAATAATGCTGAACCATCACATTGGATTTACTGATTGTATCGAGAAAAAGCAAAATATCTAACCGTTGAATGTTGATTATTCTGGTTATTTTCCCTACTTTTCAACATGCAATAGTCATCATGATCATGATCATCATCGTTATAATTATAATCTTACCTTTGAACATTCAAATTAATACTTAATTATTGTACATTCATTATTGTGCTTTATAAGCGGACATCAGTTGAATGCAAAAACCAGAAAACCAGATTTAGTAACAGTCAACATAAACCTAAATGAGAATGGAAAATGATTATTAAAAAAAAAATGTTTAACGAACAACTATCAACTAATTGTTGAAATGAATGTTGATGAAAAGATATTCATTGTTAATGGGAATAATAAGAGTTGAATGTTGATGGTTGTAACTCAATTGATTAAAAGTGTAATAATCGATCTTGATAATAATAAAGATAATGATAATCTTAATACACTGTTTAGATTGGGTGTGATAGTGAAAGTGTCCCAAGGTTTTTTCCTGGTTACCTGGGTTTTTTGTTTGTTACCTTTCAACCTTTCAAGACGTACAGGTTATTATGAAAGAAATGTGATTAATACAATTGCTGCAACAATGGGCTGCGTTAATTTTAGACCATAGTCAATCACTTGCAATCAATAATTCAACAATGACAATCAAGTTAAACACCAATTGATTCAATTTTTGGATAAGTATTATTATGTGTCTTGCATCCAATTTGTGAGGCTTTTTTTTCTTGGACTTGGCTTCATTGTTCCTCCATTGGACTTGTTTGCTTTAAGGTTCACTTTTAATCTATTTAGTTTATGTTTGATGATGGCTGATTATTTACAATTAAAGTTAATTGTAAATCTAACTTTAATTAGGGAAAGATTGACTCTTTACTTACCATAAGTCGTTTCACCTTTGATGTACAGTTAATGAAGATTATGTCGCTTGCGTGATTGATATCAATTTTTTACTTTACCATTTTCATTCTCGTCAGTGGCACTGGTTAGGGTTGGTTAATTGTATTATTGTTGGTATTAGGATTATTACTGGTATTATTATTACGGTTGTAGCTTTTTCTGTGAATAATTGTCATCATTTAATGGTGTCATGTCAACACTGACAATTAAAATTTTTACCAGTTCTATTCATAATTTAGTTGACTCATTAAAAATGAAAATGAGGGAAGACGATTAAACAGTAACAACCTAGAAAAACCTATGATTATGTTATTACCACAATCATAACCACACAGTATCTATGTTAATGTATAATGTTGATGAAACCTGAAAAATGATACCAAAATTTCAACCACCGGTATAAGTATAAAGGTTGCACGTTTAGGTTAATATTAAAGCGGCAAGATTTTTGATGTTTATCCAAATAGATTGGTTGATTAGTTTGAATAATCACGATTAATTTAAATATTTAATTTCAATAAGATCACAATCAATAGTTTAAGGGTGAAGAGACGATCAGTTTGAGTTGTAATCAATTTTTTTAGTGGTGAAACAGGGTTGAATTAGACAAAAAAATCACTTTTGCTTTTCTGGTGACACTTAATTAACCTAGTAAATTAGATTTAATAATTAAACTGATAAAAAAGCTTGATACACATTTTAATTGGTATTATACTCTCATCACAGTTTACTTTATAAAACAATAATGTGATAAATTGTTGACAATTAATTTAAAAAATAAAGAAGACTCATTACATAGAGAAGGTAAAAAAAGTCAAGGCTTAAGGGTAAAGACGCGGCTAAAACAATTGTTTTAATTAATAGATACAAAAACAATCCAAAGATGGCGACTTTAAAATTTTCAAAATTTGCTTTCTTTTAAATTAACGTCTGATTTGCCTTTGAGTTAACGTCTTTTCATTAACGGTTTATTTCAATTTTATTAGGAACAATTGAATCAATTAAATTACGAAGATTTGGAGTTCCTGGTGCTGTAGCTAATGGTTCATCTGTCTGGTTACACTGTGATTATGATTTGGAAAACGATTCGTTATATTCCGTTAAATGGTATAAAAATTATGAAGAGTTTTATGGTTATTTGCCAAGCTCAAACGGGATTCAACATAAAGTCTTTCCTCAACGAGGAATCAATATTGATGTAAGTTTAATCATTTTACATACATATTTATTTATATTATACGATGTTAACTATTATGGTCAACAATCAATTAAGACAACAAGACACTTTACAAGTGAGAAAGAGACAAAAAAAGTACAAAACATGTAACAAATACGGTGATAGAAGTGAATGAAGAGAAAAGTAAAAGGTGAAGACAAGAAGATGAGAAATAAAAGGAGAGATTATAATAGCATTATAAATACTTTGTATGCTTTTTTCATCAACATTATTTTTTGATAATGACAATGTCCCATCCATTTATCATCCATCGTCATCTTCTTTCTTTCTCAACCAGCCGTTGTCTTCCATAATATTGTTTATTCACATTGCCTCCTTTTTTTATATCCTTCCTGTTTTCATTCAGTAGTAGTATCATCATCATCTTATATTTGTTTTACGTGTTCCTAATCAGAATCTTATCATCAAGAATTATCATCTTTATCATTATCAATCCTTTTACCTCTTCTTCTTTTCTTCTTCTTAAAGCCTTCTCATCTTACATCTCTCATAGTACATGTCAATGTCAATAACATTGTCTTTCGTAAGCAAGAAAAACGTTCCCAATCAATTCACTTTGGGTAAACATAATGTAACATGAATATTACCAACATTAGACTTGGAAATATTTTCATTATTACTCAGCTCCATCATGCTCATCAACATAACATATTTTCTCACTTGCTCAGTTATCAATATTTTCAATTAACTGATAAATTGTCTTGTTGATAATTGTTGTTAGCACATAAAGGAGGAAACTTATTGGAAAGATCATATTTTTGCAAATAGATTTACCAAATCTATTGCTTTCACTCCAAATTTTTGAGATAACTAGTCAAACTGATTCTAATTAATTTTTTCTTCTTTTCTTATCATGTTACAGTTGCTTAAATCAAATTCAACCCATGTTTGCTTGGAAAGTATTGACTTAAATACTGAAGGTACATTTGGTTGTGAAGTTTCAACGGAAGCTCCAGTTTTCAGGACAGTTAAAGCTGAAAAAGATCTTCGTATTTACGGTGAGTTTACACTCAGCCATAACAACCAGGATGGGGTTGAACATTATTACCTGGACAATATATGAATAACCATTTGTTCAACGCCATTTGAAGACTTGTAAAAAGACAAAAGTAAACATTGAAAGGAACAAAATTTATTTATAGATGGAAAGAATTTACATTTACCAGATGAATCGTTATTATCGATGATTATACCGATTGTTATACCTTTTCACTGGTAACTTGGATAATACAACAAAATCAATGATATTTAATCATTCAAGAAATATCTTTCCAGCTATTGAATTGCAAATATCAGCCAAAATTGAGCTCGGAATGAAATTTCTTGTCAATAGTCCGATGGAAGCAAATTGTTTACAAATGTGGCGCAAGTTATCATTTTTAATTGTTAATCATAATGTATAGCCTATTATTTGTTGTACTCATTAGTTGAGATGATAAATGTTGTCTAGCTTTCATTTACAGGTAACCAAATGCTTTGGACATGTTAATTTAATCCTGCAAGATTGAGTAAGACACCCAAGATTCTAATAAGATTTGACAGCCTAAAGAGTTGCCTAGCTTTATCCAGTTTTGTTGCTTTTTACTTTCCTCTCAATCAACTTGATTAACTATGATCATTCATTTGGTGATAGTTAATTGTCACATCATATATTATCAGTGTATTAAACACTGCACCATTAAAGTATCATCAGCATTACCCACCAAAAACAAACTCAAGACTAGAATTTGAAATTTCTATCTCTCTCTATCAATCGATTTCAAATGCAATTTGTTTTCCCATCAAACTGTTTACACTGATCTTTACAACAAAATACAATTGATAATAAGTTATCTGATAATTCTGATTGAACTATTTCACCATTCAATTTACCTTAGCTGTGCAATTGTAAAGATTACAATTTTAAAACAGAAATTGAGACGGAAAAAGCAAATCATCTGATTTAACAGGAACCAGATTAGCTAATAGGATTAACTGTCCTCCAAGTCAAAACTGATATTATATTGGTGAGTGAATTAAGGATGATAAGGGATGATTAAAACTGGATGAGAGAAAAGTTTTTGTATCAGAATCAAGTAAAACTGTTTACCAACTGTTTAACTGTCAGGTACAAGAAAAAGGAAACCCAAAAGGATAAAAGTAACCCAAAGAAAAAAGGGTTTCTTTTTCTCATTCCAAGACTTTTCATTTCATCCATTCTCTTTTTTTTCCCCAAATTTTCCTCTTTTTTTGGCCCACTTTTTGGCAACCTTCATGTTCTTCCCTGAATTAACCTTGATCTGATCGATAAAAACAGAAGAACCCAAAAATAGTGTTTCCATTTGAAGGGTAAACTCGCAAAAATTATTTCATCTTCAACATCATTTTTCCCCTCAAAGCTTCTACTGGCTATTGTTTTCGTTGTTTTTACCCGTTAATTGACAAGTGGTCGCTCCAATCATTAATTTGACCTTCAATCAATTTAACTTTCCATTCTCATGATTATCATCTTGAGTAACATGATTGTTATCATCAACCAATCCAGTGAAAACGTTGAAACTGGTAATGATGAGAAACTGGTGAAAATGGATTGTAAATGTAAAGATTCAACTATTTTGCTGAGCAAAAGGTTAACCAGAAAAGATTCCCACTTTTCATCAATTTTCATTCATCAAATCAATCAATTGATTTTGTTTCAATTTAATCTCAATTTCAAGAATCAGATTTCACTATTATTACAAGTGTTTTCATTTTTTCAATGTTTACTCGTCGACTCAATTAGATTGACGTTTTCAGCTTTTGCAGTTTACAATTTCAATTGTTACATTTGATTGTTCAATTGGAGTTAATTGCCACCGTTATTTGCTAATCATTGATACCTTTTAAAACAGATGAAACAATTGACAAATCATCAGTTTATTGAAATGCTTTGTTACATTGACAAACAATGGCAAGAGTTAATTTTGCCAATCATCTTATAGTGGTTGTTGAGCTCAATTTAAATTTTTTTAGATTAAATTGTTTGTTAATTTTGTTCACAATTTAACCTGAAGCAATCTAACCTAATCCTGAACAACTCTTGAACAAGTGATCTTGACTCCAATTTAAATTGTTCAATTGATTGATTGAATCTAATATCTGTTTATTACCTGCAAATGCTGTTATTCCCTCCCTGGTTAACATGATAGTTGATAACCCAAAGGCATTATGATTATTATCATCCAAGGAATAAGAGAAGAGGGAAAAATGATAAAAATCTGCAAAATTGAGTTTCTTTTTTCTTCCTTTTCTAAACCATTTTTTTCTTTCTCTCTTCTTGCCATTTAATTGTTTGGTAATCAATTTGACTTCAATAACGGTTCAATTCACAATATAATTGTACAAGTTAATGATAATGATTCACTCTCAGAAATGGCTTTTTTTGGTGCAAAGGAGAAAAAAAATTGACTATTTTCTCGTTGATTTCAGTTGATCTTTTCAATTGGTGCTTTTGGGTTCCTTTTTTATGTTTACCTCATGTGTGCATTGAATTGTCAAACAATCAGCAAACATTTTGTTTCATTTTGTTTCAATCAAATTGTTTATTTTACAACAAAAACAAATGTTATCAGCCAATATGAATTCAACATTTTTGGAAACTTGTTTAGCTTTGCAAATTGAACCCAAACTCAATCGTCAGTCAATAATTGTCAATGTTTTTACTCTGAACCGATCACAAAATTATAAAAAATCTTGATCTTATTTCAATTTTGCCATTGATTCTGATCGAAACAAACTGATCTTTTAGCCTGTGATTCAATAGTGACTGGTTCAACCACCTATTGTTACTATCATTGAGTTGTAATTAATCTTGATAATTATCAATCTGGAACAATTGATATTGAGAATCATTTTGAAATAATTATGGAATTAATTATGTACTTGATCTGTGATGATAATTATTATTCCGACTACTTCAAGTTGAGCTTAATTTTGATGGTTTTTTTGTCATAATTAGTCCAATGAGTTTATCCATTAAAAGCTGTACAAGATTTTCAATTAAAAGACGATCCGTTAACAATCATTTATCATTAAAAAGTTGACCATTAAATGGTTAATCAATATTAAGATTGAACCAGAAAAGGAAACATTTGTAACCAATAATAACCAGAAACAAAGCAAAGTTACAAGTCCATTACCAACATGTTGACTTCAATCCAATTTGAAGTTAAGGTTTAAATTTGGTTTCTATTTTTTTAACCAAATTAGAGATTGAATGGTCAGTTTGAATTGTTGGGTTGAATGTAAAAATTGTTGCTGATATAATCAAACATTTCTTACAAGAATCATCTTCTTTAACCTTGCATGTTCAGAATTCATAAACAGCAATTGATCTGATAGAGTAAACTGATAATAATAAATATTGTACTACTGATCAACCCAAGGAAAGATCAAGAATAAGAAACAATTTTATTCCCTTACATTCATTTTACATTCAAATTGATTCCCAGCAGGTTTTCCTGATCCAAACTTTCAGTTTACAGATAAACTCAACAAAATATGCTTTTAAATTCATCAGCAAATGATATCTAATTGTCAATAAACCTGAAAATTTAGCTAAGAAAACATTTAGCTTTTGCCTTTTCACACTTTTCAACTCCGTTCAGTCATTTTACTGAAAGTATTTTAAAATTTACCAAAAATTTTGATTCCTTTTTAAATCTTTTCTCACAGTTTCACCGACATCGCATTTAAAAGTATTTGGACTTCAAGAGCATTATAATATTCATGATACAATCAACTTGACTTGTATTGGTGGACCATCAAAGCCTCCCATGTTAATAGCTTGGTTTATCAATGATAAAAAGGTAAGCCTAGCGATTTATGAGGATAAACAGTGATTGACTTGTTTAGTTATGCAGTGATGAGGTAAAATTTGATTACCTAAACTTGCATAAGCTGGTTAATGAATATCTAGATGAAGACAATGAAACCTTTCAGCCTTAAACACTCACATAGTTAGGATCAGACATTTCAGATAAGATCATATGAATTGACTGTAAAAATTCATCGACAGTCATTTGTATCCAAAGCTAAAGTCAATTAATGTGATCGGTTAATGACTGGCTGTGCATAAACAGCAAAGAGTTTTCTGGTTTTATTTGGTATCTCAATTGGAGCATCAATCTAGACATCAACCGATCCGGTACTTGAATTGTTTTCCAATCAACATCAAAAATCAATCAAATATTTGTTGTTACATTTTTCTCCCTCACCTGAGCCATTGAAATGTTTGAAATGAGTTACATGGAAGCAAATTTTCGTTATTTTCCCCTTGATTCTGTAACAAAATCTGTTTCTTAAAATACATGAAAGTTAATAACGATTCTTGCCCAAAGCTAGTTTTTCAAATGTAACTTAACATAATTATTCGTTCATCCTTTTAGTCAAGCATAACATAAAATTAATCATTATCAAGTTAACTCTTGTTACAGCTTATGACACATTTTTCACTCAATTATTCCTCATCTAATTACGTTAATTTAAGTAACAATTAACCAAATAGCCAGAAATAAAGATCAGGTTTACAGCCAAACTAGATGAAATGTAATTACAAAGCTAAACTACCTTAAAGGTTTTAAACGATTGAATGAAAACCAAAAAAATTGATACAAAATCTGAAATCTCAAGCAAAATCCAAAAATTTACTAAATAACTTTTAGACAAATGCTATTGAGACTTACATGAGATTTACATGTTGAACCAAATGCAGGAAAGGTTGTGATAGATCATTTGTTTCAACCCATTGATTGTATTATTTGTTAAGAAACCGTAAAAAGCTGACAAAATACAAATTAAACATACATTTTGATGGAAAGCTACATTAAAGTACGAGTTAGTTGTACATATATTAAAGGGAAAATGTTAGTGATTTGGAAACACTTTTTTCTCGTACTTTTTTTTCTTGCTTATGTTACCTTTGGGAAAAGGTTAGTAGGAAAAGTAAAACTTTGAACCGTAAATCTTTTCTTCCCTCCCTTCAATGGTCATCTTGTTGGCTCATTGAGTTACCTAATTGGACCTTATTTCAGGCCTTATTTAGCCAGGAACCTTAATCTTGATTCTCTATCTTTCTTCTTCATCTTCTTCTTCTTCTTCTTCTTTTGTATTATTTGTCTGTCAAGCTCACCTTATACCCATGCAATCTCAACAAATCATTACAATTTTAATCAATCTTGTTCATTAATGATTCTGTTATCATTATTATTACCTGTCGATATTGATTTTGTGCTTAAATTTGAATAGTTTTCACGTTTCTCGAAATGATACCAAAATCTCAAAAGTTGATTCAATATTTAACATTTTCATCAGATTTTGAGACTTCTTGACTTTATTGATTCACAATTTTCTGGCTTCAAAGCAACATTTGATGGAAATGGAAATCTTGCCTTTGACATCAAACTTTGCATAATTAAGTCCAATCATGTTTACCGATGATTAAAGCAATTTCAAAGTCGATTATAATTTTGAGCATTTTCAGATCCGTTCATTTCAAATTGACTTAACAATGTTAACATCTTGATATTAACATTTCCTCAAACCTGTGTTTTAAATCAACATTTATCATTTGGAGTTATTTTGATTTCTGTTATTGTTTTTACTCAACATTTTTCACTCAACTTTACTGTTTAATTTCATTGGTAATTGTTGGTAAATAGTGAAAATCAATTTGCATAAAAGCATCGATTCATTTAATTTAAACAGGTAAATTCAGTTAAAAGCAGATGAAGAAGAAGAAGCTAGAAAAAAAACCAGAATTTAAAAGTTATCTTAATGTTGATAGGAAAGGTTCATTTGATTAACCTTTCAATTTACTCTGGTTTTTTCAAACTTCCAGTTGCAGGAACAACAATTTGCTTGTTCAAAGATTCTGATAACAATAATAATCATGAATTAACAGTTAATATTATTGATGATTGGAAGCTGAGATGAGGATGAAAAAAAGACATTAATATGATTCCATGAATTTATAATTTACCATTTCTCTTGAGTCTAAATAATTTACAATATTAACCGAAACTTGCCTTTTACAAAATTGGAGTAAAAATGATAATTTATTTTGTAACTTTTATAATGATAATCATTTAACGGTTAATTTGTACTCCATTTCAGGGGAAACATTAATTCAATTGAAATATTAATCAAGTTAAACAAAAAGATTGATAAGTCCAGGGAACAACAGAAAAAACAACAGAAAATAAGAAAAGTTACAATGAGCTTTGATTGTCAACCCTTAACCACAATTAAAATTGATTTAGGTTAACATTAAAAAAAAGGTTAAATTTCAGCTTAATTTATTCAAATTACGTGAGACTGTTCCAGTCTACTAACTCATCTTAACCAATTATGAAAGCAACATTGAATGCTGGGAGTTGAAATATTTTTTCAAGGGAATCCTAATTTTGGGATTGATTCTTCAGAATCATTTTTCTGGTCATTTCTTTAACCAGTTTCAGCTATTGACCAGTTTATTGATCATTTTGATTATTCGCTTTTTTTATCAACTCAATTAACTCATTTTGTGTCAAACTTGCGACAGTTAAACAACAATAATGATTGGTCAGGTAAATAATGATGGTAATTGTTTGTTGTTGGATAATTTTATTTACAGTTTGGACCGTAAACGTTGAAAGATTTAATCAATCAACCCAATGAATCAATAGCAATAAAATTAACTTGCAATGGTTGAAATAAAATTAAGTGAAAGTCAACATTAGTAGAGTAAAATCACAAGTGAAAGGTTAATTATTACAATTGTGTTGATTTTTATTCCTCATTGAAAGCTTTCTTGATTGTTCATTTTGTATTTATCTATTGATTTATTAATCAAGCGAGCGTCTCTAATCATCATCATTGTTTCCTCGTTTTTGTAACCTTTATTATTAATAATAAATCATGATCAAGTGAAACCCAAATCTCAATTGTTTATCAAGTTATTTAATTTATCTTTTTGTCTCTTCTCTCACCTTTAGGTTGACCCTTCATCTCGTCTTATACAATCCATTAGTTCAACCCGAGATATTGATGGACTTTACCTTTCTTTAACCACTTTGACCTTTCCCCTCAAGTCCACTTCAATATCCAACGGTGATCTTATTATCAGTTGTGAAGCTTTGTTCACAACCATTTATGGTGTAACCTACAAGGAACTGATTATCGAAGAGAAAAGTCCATCTTCTTCTTCATCTTCATCTTCCTACTCAACCTTTGATTCAACCAATGAACAAAGTGAACATGAAAATGAACATCATCATGGACATCAACTTCACCCTTCCCCATCATCACAGACACCTCATCATCATTCACTTGACACTGATTATCCAGTTACCTCAGAGAGTTTCCCTGATTCAGATTCACACTCAATCTTGAGATCACCTTCAATCACTGGTTTCTCATCCATTTATTCAATTGGAACCATTTTACAAGTTAATTGTTCAACTGAACCCTCGCACCCACCGGCCTACCTTGAATGGTTCATCAATGATAGAGAGGTGAGCTAATTATGCAAAACATTAACCCAAAATGAACCAGAAAATTTTCTTCCTTTTCTTTCTAATTAATTATCCGATTGTTGATTAAACTTTCAATTTTGAGTGAACCGGATTTGAGATTGAAAATAGTCTTTAAAGCAACTTCCTGATCACTTATTGTCTTTCAGTTTAATCATTTCCCATTCATTTTCAATAATGATATTGAGTTTCCTTAATGATTTATATTCACTAACCATTATGATAACGGTCCAGTAATGAATGTGTTTTGACCAACTTTTAAACTGATTGAAGGCAACCATTTGCATATGAAAACACTTATGACGAAAAGTAATCAAAGTTTATCCAATATGAGAATCAAAATTAATAAAGGTTTGATAATGAAAATGAAAATATCAAATTGAAACAATTAATCTTGATTTAGTCTGCGTTTCAATTCCTTCTGATGAACCAATTTCCTGACTGAAAAGGTAAACATTTACCTTTTGATTATTTTTTTGTGTCTCTTTATTATTTATCTCTTTCAATATCCGTACAAAATGTGTCTCAGCATGAGTCTCTACAATTGATAACTTGCAATTGCCAATAATTACAAAAATACAATGATGAGTTTAATATTGAAAATGATGTCTTTTTATTGGATTAACTTGATCACCAAACTGTGAATGATGAGCTTTTAAAACTTTAATCAACTTACAATGTAATACAAGTAAGTCAAGTTAACAATTTAAACACAAAAATGACTCAAAATTTTGATTGATTGCGATTAAGTTAACAAAAATATTCGAACTTTTTCCTTTCAAATCACACAGAATACATTGATAAATGGATTGACCAAGTTAATTAACAACTTCGTCAAGTTAATGATAAAAGCTTACAATTTTTACCGAACCCAACAACAGAATAGGAAATCTCAATAATGAAATTGAACGATAAAGAATTGGAAAATATAAAAGTAAAAAGAGAACTGATCGAAGAAAAATCTCGATACTTTGAGTATGTTAACAAACGAATGAAAAAAGTGGTCTTCCCACAGGAAGAGTTCATCGAACAATTTATCGACAATCTTGAAAAAAGCGTTGATAACCTCAATAATTTTTGTTTTTTCTTCCGATTTCATTTCTTTATTATTTTGTTATTTTGAGATACTTTTTTCCATCACTTTTAAAGGGCTTTTCCCCGCCGTTACATTTACAAAAATATTAAGGTTCCGTTGGCCAGTACTAAATACTGTATCCATGAGAGAGAGATTGAAAAGTGGTGGAAAAAAGCCGGTCCCGTTATTTTCATATCAAAATCAAAAGTTAAATTCATGTTTCTAATATTTTTGACCTAAAGTCAATAAAAACTTTCATAAGAAATTAAGAAAGAAATATTTTATTCTAAAAAGCTAGAAATAGCTATCTTAATTTTGATTAAAAAAAAGCCATGTTGGCTTTGACTCGCAGATAGCCCAGAGTGGACAAGTTATCAAGAATAGGATTTTTTTATACTTCTCAAGGAATTAATTCTTGTCTACAATACATGTATATTGATTTACGGTGTGAAGGTATTTTGGAACTTCTCAAGATGAATTCATTGTTAGATACACAAGATGGACTTAGGCCAATCAGCAACAAAATCAAAAACGAACCTTATGATTAGTGCAAATTATCAATTTGGAAAAGCAAAATTACCATTGAAAGTTTATTTCTTCATAAGAAAAATTGTTCTAAATTGATTTGTCTCAGACCCGAACAAATGTCCCAAACTTGAAAAGGTTGTGACCCAGACCCGGACTTGTTAAATACTGTTGTTAATAATTTTAGGCAACAAAATTCGACTAAAAAATTTGATTGATTGCTATCAAGTTAACAAAAATATTGAAACCTTTTCCTTTCAAATCTTATTGAATGCTTTGCGCCAAAACATTGATAAATGGATTGACCAAGTTAATTAACAACTCTGTCAAGTTGAACATTGTAATGATAAAAGTTGATTAAGGTTGATGAAAGTTGGTTAAAGTTGAAAGGTAATAAATGATGGACAAAATGCAATTGCTTTCACTGTTTTAATCATATTTGATAGGAAAACAAAAATATCTAATTGACAAGTTTAACCTTTTAAATTGCCCTTTCATTTATAACAATTTTAATGATTGTAACCTGTAAAAAGACAATCAATATATCATTGAGTTGATTGTTAAAGGTTCAGGTTTTGGGTTCGATTTTTTGCTCTACCGTCCAATGAAATGTAAATTGATTAATTGTGTGTCTCTTCACTATCACTGTGTGTGTGTGTGTTTGAATGAAGAGCCAAAAAATAACAGTCAACCACTTATCATTTACATTGTGAGTCTTAATACAATCAATCTTTCCATGTTATCTTCTGGTTAGAAGTAGATTTATAATTGCTGTTTTCATTTTCATTGCCATCATCATCATCATGCTTTCCCATGAAGATGATCAGGACGATACTTAATGTTTTTCCTAACTCAACTAACTAACTAACTAATCAACATACAATCTAATTTACTTTAAATTAATGGCTGGATCAAGATGAAAATTAGATGAAGAGTGGAAACCTTTTTAATACAATTTGCTTGTTTCTCCAAACCTTTTTTTCTCTGCCTTTTGCTTTGACATGTTTTGAATTTTGATTAGCATTGGACTTGTTCAGTTAATACATTAAATTGTACCTTTCGTTTTATATTCATTTATATCTACATATTAATGTTAATTTATAATAATGATGAGTCTAATTGTGAATATAATATGGTTTTGGGTTTCACTGGCTCTCAATCTCAATCTTTCATCTTCAACAATCTTGATAATAACAGGAGAGAGAGAAGAAGAAACAAAATGAATTAATCAATGGATGAATCGAGTAATCATAAATAGTTAATCATTTTCACTTCTAATAGACATTCATAATTGCTTTAAACATCAATTAGGTAAAAAATGATCATTTTTTAAAAGCCAATTCAATTGTCAACAACATTTAAAGTGACAACTCCAATCTCCTTGGAGTAATCATAACAATTTTGCTGAACATTTTTTAATTTCATTTACAGGCTTTAAAAGAGGAATTGGTTCATTTCAATCAACCTGAAACAATTAAACTGACTTCATCCATTTATGATAATTTCGGTGTCTTTGGAGATTCCCAGCCAAAAGCATCACAATTAGGATTACAATTAAAAATTGCCAAAGAACATTATCAAGTAAGAATTTTGACTTTTCCATATTTTCAATATTTCTCACAATCTCCCAGGAATCATGTAAAGCTGGCAAATTGTTTGATATTGAAATTAACCTTAACAGTTGAATAAAATGTTTTTAATCTCACCCTTAACATTAATTTTAATTAACATGAAACTCTCAGATGAGTTGAGTTTCATTGTAATGGGTAAAAAAGAGTAGCTCAAAGAGTTAATGAATTTGATTATTCAATGTTTTCATCTTTTCGTTTCTTTCATTTCCATATTTCAATTGAATTGCCATTTTTCAATAGTTTGACAAATTAATTTACTTGTTGATATGATATTAGCTGATCAACCATTGATAAACATGATAAACATGATAAATGGAATGAAATATTTTACTCTTTTTTTCTGTAGCTTCAGTTGTTGTTGTTGTTTTTTTCAATGGAAATGTAAATAAAGGGAAAAATGAAAATTGAAATTGTAATCAGTGAAAGTGATTTGAATGTGATTCAGGGTGTGGTTTGATTGAGGTGAACATGATTTTTGGGTGAAAATGCAAATCTGTTTACCTGATTGTTGCCATTATTCTTGAGATAACAATTGTTTCGAGGAAAGCTTTGAAAGATTATTTCTCTCACTCTTCATATTGATATAAACATCGATTTAACTTTACTTCATATCAAAATTATTGCAAGTAATTTCATTGTTCTTTACCTATTCATTCAAAGTAATCCATTGGGTGGAATTATTATCATTATTATTATTGTTGTATTGTTAGCATCGTCTTTTTATTAACGGGAAAGTTGCTATTTTTTGGGATAAAAAATGACTTGAATCACGTTAATGTTTTCAACTGGTTAATACATTTAATGAAAACAATTGATTTACACTCAATATTTTTTACATTATCTTTTCCCATTTTTGTGTGTTACCTTTTCATAATCATTTTTTATCTCTTAATTGTTACCAGACTTCTGATGGGTTCCTCAGGATTCGGTGTAAGGCGACTCATGCCAAGATAATTAGCTGGGAAAAGTCACAATTAGTTATATCCAGTAATGGTAAACAAAGCTCACAATTGTATGCTTCACATCCAGTTACATCAGGTAAGATATTGGGTTAACTGTTGAGTTCAATGTTTAATCTTGAAATGATTAAAAGCATTTCAACTTTTCAAGTGTGCCTTTCACCTTGTATTAACATTAAATAATAATAAATCACTGGGAATCACTGGGAATGATAATGATGATGATGATAGGCTTTAGGATTGTATTAGTTTTGTCAATGTTTTTTCTGGTGTTTCTGCTTCTTCTCTTTGATATCTAATGTTTATACATTTATCTCAATTAAACAAATGATTTCAAGTCAATTGAAGATAAAATTAATCGATTGTGATGATAATCTAGATTATAATTTGATACTCAGACAATAAGTTGATTTTGTTGGTTCACTTGAAACTCTCTGGTTAATTTCATTTCACCCATTTTCTCAATCCTTTTGTTTCGTTGTTAGATTCACCTTATAATTAATCTTATTTACCTTTCACTAGATTTTGTTGTTAAAAGACAATTTATAATTCCTTTGTTAATCATCTTAGGCCTTTAGGCTTAATTCAGTTTAAATGGTAAACCATGTTTAACAAAATTAACTCACAATCAGTGTTAACCAAGATATTATTTTCAATGTTGCTCTTGTGTTCATCTCCCAACTGGTAATGAAAGCCACTTTGAAAATTCTGGTTTAATCGCAACTCTACTTCAACATTAAACTTGAACATTAAATTGTGTTAATATTAACCTCTATTGTAATCATAATAATAGTTAAATCTTCATTTTTAATCATTTTAACACTTTTCTTTTCATCTTTTTCAGATTCACTGGAAATCATTTCTTCTTGGTTATTGTCCATACTACTAGCTGTGTCATTAAGCCTTTCATCTTGATTATTTGCATCTTTTTCAGCTCATTTTTTTCTTCTTCTTGTCTTTTATATTATTATTTAAATCCGCCCAAAAACAATGTAAATTAATTAATTGACTTGCTGAGTGTTAATGTTGCCTTGATGATTATCCCATTGATCACACATAAACACACACATTCAGCTCATTTGCTATGTAATTAAGATGTAAATTTTTAGTAACTTGAGTTTAGATTTGATGGTAATCATTATGATTGGTGTACATACTATTAATTATTGATTATTGTTATCACAATGGTCCAACCTTTATTGTTCACTTTGTTAATTAGGGAAGCATAAAATTAATTAACCATGTAGTTACTATTGAAAACATTGTAATGTAAAGACTAAAACATGATGACGGTAATCACATTTGTTGAAGGAAACATTGTCAAACTCAAGATTATCTGTCGCCATCGTTTGTTTCTCAGTTATAAGCTAATTGTAATCATAATGTTCATGTAATATAATGTAATTTAACGTTTCCAGATAGACTTCCTTTCTCAATTGTAAATACATTGGTGATAAACGAGGTGAAAAGTTAAACCTTGCATTGTTATATTTTTATATTGAAATGAATACAATAAAATAAACTATTTATTCCTGATCAATTGATTTACTCTCCTAACTGCTTTCTTTACATTGACCATCATTTGTGATTTCAATTTTCATTCCTTGTATTTAGCATGTCTGCTTCTGGTTAATTGCAGTTTAAAATCCACAGATATGGCACTGTATTAGGAATGACCGGGACTTTGGAAGCGAATGTATTCATTGAAAATAAATGTAGGCAGACATGACTTACAAACAGCATTGAAGCTTCAAAATGAAGATACACTTCTCAATAGGAATTAGGAAAAGTCAAGATTTTTTTATATGGATTCGTGAATTTATGGTCCAAAATAGACAATGTATCAAAGACTTGTTATGACTTGTTTCTTCTTCGTGAAATATCACATTAACCTCACTTTAAAGCTGCGTTTAAACACTTGAAAATGCTGTCTGTCTAAAAAAGGCATGAGGCTGGCTACATAAAGGTTAGAAATAATTATCAAAATTTCTGATCAAAAGACTTCAAAAAGGGAAAAGATTGGTTATTGAGATTGGATCAACGAGAGATGGGCTCAATTCCGAGGAAATTTAGCAGCTATATTTGACTTTTATTGAAAAATTGTTTGGTAATTTTGGAAAAAGTCGGTTTAATGACTGAAAAATAGCCGATAATTTATAAATATATCAATACTTCTGGTCAATAAGAGCTTCAGCGACAAGTGTTTGAGATTTTTGGCTGCAATTTAATTCAATTTTTAAGTAAAAAAGGTACAATCGAGAGGAATGAATATGATTTCACATTATATGATAAGCTCATTAAGTTATTGATGTCAGTTATCCAGCTCGATTTGATGTTGACTTGACCCTAGAACGATGGTCATCAATTAGTCTCAATCAAGGAAGATATTTCACAAAATTGACTTTGTTTAGACTGTTTTGTCACACTTCCAGAACCAGGTTAGAAGTAGAAACAGATGCTACATTAAACAAACCTCTTCAAAAATAAAAATATTGAAAATTTCGATAGCATAATAGATTAATAAAGAACTAATTGCAAAATCAAAAGCTGAAACTTTTTTTTATGTAATTCATTATAATTGTTCATTTTCAAATCTTGGCGCTTTAAATTATGTGATCTCAAAATATCCGGTAATTTGTAACTAGCCACGGTTACTGATTATAACCATTTGACGGGTGAGCGAAGCATCTTTGGCCTTGCGAAGATTTAACCTGAATGTAAGAATTCGATTTTTCACTATTTTTTCATTAAGTGTCTAAATATTGGTATTCGCCATCAGGATGAAAGAGAACTGAGTTGGGGTCTGTTTCGAGACTGCTTGGTTACTGGAAACCGGTTATTGGTAACTGGGGGTGAAAGAACCGCAGTTACTGGTTATACTAACCAAACTAGCGTGTAACCAACGTATCTCTACATATGTTTAGTTGTTGTACATAATTGTAATCATTTTTTTCACAGAGAATAACTAATTTTAGTTAAGTGATTTATCTGTTTACTGGTGAAAGCCTGTTTCAATAGTTACTTGCCAAAATTCAATAAGTGATCAGCAAGATGTCAACATCACTGGATCAATTTGCTAGTAGTGTTCGTAATCTCTCGGCAACCGGTCAGTATTTTGATACTCCATTCTTTTGTTTCATTGTGTTCTGCTTATTTAAAGATGGGCAACCTTTTAATTGTATTATTTTTATCTTTGTTCAGGTAATTTTGAAAAATTGAATGAACTATGTAATAAAAGTAAAGATTTATTAAGCAAAAATTATGGCCAGTTGGACGATATTTTACAAACATTTGATCTGCAAGAACATTCTCTCGGAATATTAACAATTTTGTAAGTTTCATGCATTATCTATAAATTATGCCATGATTCTTTCATTTGATTTAGCGTCTTTAATCCTGTTAATAATGAAAACTTTATATTTGATTTTATAGGGTTTGTAAAGCTGCTTTAGATGGGGCCAAAGATGATGAAGCACTTCTGCATTTGATTGAAGATTTCATTGCTGGCTGTTCTTCTGAACAAGTTAAATCTGCTCTTGATAATTGTGAGTTATTCAACTATTAACAAAATTAATTGCCACTGCAATTTTATCTTGAGTTCATTCTTCCTCTTAATACTAACTTAAATCTTTTCTCTTCCCAGATAACTCTTTGATTCATTCTTACACTAATTTTCTGGTCCTTAAAAAGCAAGCCATTAGAGGAATCATCCACTTACAGAAAGCTATAACCAAAATTCGACTTCATCAAAGCCAACTAACTTTTATTCATGCCGATCTTTGCCAACTGTGTATATTGGCTAAGTGCTTCAAGCCAGCCTTAAAATTTCTCGATGTTGAAATTAACAGTATTGCCAAAGATGCGGGACCATCGGAGGTGAAATACTTTTTACTCTATTATTACTATGGCGGTATGATATACGCTTCTCTCAAAAACTGGGACAGGTCGTTGTACTTTTTCGAAGTAGCACTAACCACACCAAGTATGGCTATCAGTATGATAATGGTCGAAGCATATAAAAAATACATCTTGGTATCTCTCATATTGGATGGAAAATTTCCAAGTCTTCCTAAATACACATCAAGCATTATCACCCGTTTCAGTAAAAATTTCAGTTCGCCGTATAAAAATTTAGCAACAGCTTATGCAACACATGACTCGAATGAAGTTTCAAATGTTATTCAAAAATATTCTGCAACTTTCAATGCTGTAAGTTCCGACTATTTCATCTCAAAAACTTGACTAATACCTGAATTTTATTTTTTATTAGGATAACAATATGGGTTTAGTTAAACAATGTTTAGTTTCTTTGCACAAGAAAAATATTCAGAAACTGACGAAAACATTTCTGACTCTTTCTCTCAATGATATGGCTGATCGGGTCCAACTCTCTAGTGCCAAGGAAGCTGAATTTTATGTTCTCAAAATGGTAGGTAGAATTAGCTGCGTTAACCAACATTTCTATTTACATTATCCTCTTTTATATAATTATTTACAGATCGAAGATGGAGAAATATTTGCTTCTATTAACCAAAAAGATGGCATGGTTGTTTTCCTGGACAATCCTGAGAAATTCAACTCTGCTAAAGTCTTCCGTAAGCTGGAAGATGAGGTAATTATTCAACTGATTTATTAATTTATTTATTCAACTTTATCTCAACTAACGATTGTTTTCAAATTTTCTTATTTTATCCAGATGAAAACTTGTATAGCACTGGATGAAAATCTCCGTAAAATGAACCATGAGATTGCAATTAATCCTAAATATCTTCACAAAATCCGTGTCGAGCCCGAATGAAGATCAAAAATTAATTTTGAAAAATAAATAAGTTTTTTTTCTATATTCTTTATGAACAACTGTAATAAAAGAATTCCTTCGTTTACTTTAACTCTTCTGTTTACCTTCTGAGAATAAAGCATCTTCATGCTCTGTGAGCAAATACATTGCATATTATTGTATGAATCACCTATTTTTTAAGTGTATATTAATTTCAGCTAAAATTGAAACAAACACAATTCGTATGTAATGAAAAGTCAACAATATGTATAAGTAATGGGAAACTTGGGCATTTAGTTGATGAGTTTCTAGAAAGTAAAGAAATTATTTAACAATTATTTATTATCGCCTTTGGATGACTTATCACTTTGACCTGGATTTGTCTCCACACTTGAATATTTTGGATAACTAGAGTTAAATTCATTGAATTTATTTCTAGCCTCTTCCTCTCTTCTTCTCATTAAGATTTCAGCATGTTTATCAATTAATTGTTGGTTCTTTTCAGCGGCATTCTTCTTTTTGAGTTGACTCAATTTCACGTTTTTCATGACTTCATCTTCGCTTGGTGGATCCATCCGTCTATATCTATAGTTTTCAAAAATAAAATCATTATTGGTTACATGAAAGTAATTTACAGTAAATTGTTCAATTAACCTTAACCATGCATCCCATTCTGGTGATATTTTATTAAGAAAGTCTTGAGCGCCATAAGGCATATGAAACCTTGATGGTTGTCCTCTGAAATTGCGCTTATTGCTTTCATAGAAGAGGTTTCCATAAACATCTTTACCTACTATTTTCTCTTCGTATCGTTCACTTTTTTTGGTCAGCTGTTTCCAAATTAGCGAGAGTAATCCTGGCCTAGAATATAAAATAAAAATGATATTTAGTCGGTGAAAGAGTAAATTAGGAAGATTAGTAAGTCATTTGATCTGCTTAGTTTCAATGCATAAGCAAGTTTAAAAGATTTAAATATCATAACTAACCTTCTGTTCATTTTATCATTTGTCAGTAGCTGGACATTAAGGACCACGAATCCGTTTTAATTGACGAGTTGTTTTCAAAACAAAATAGAGTGACGCAATGAAGGTAAACATCAGGACTTTTAAATCAATTTATCGATATGTATTCCAATACAATCGATAACTAAATTTAATGGTCTAAAATCTTTAATTTTTGTTTCTCACAATGTCAGTGACAATTAATCAATAAGTCATTCAGTCTGTTCCTTTGGTACTTAGCTAGTGTATCATAACCGATTCCTGATTCTCTTCGAAATGAGTTTCTGCAATTCAATTGTTATCAATGCTGCAACCTAGGATTGGAAAATTCACTAAAAGAATGAGGGAATTGTTAAACTTAATTAGCTAATTAACTCGGTGTTATCAAGATATCATACGATATTAAGACTGTACGTTATGGTCACTTTTTTGATGTTTCATTATTCATATGCAAATATTTTCTTTCGCTTGAAACATTTCATCAGAAGGGTGACAAAAATTTGAAAAAGCATTGCAGATATTACTCACGATGTAAAGTTGTTCTGTCATGGATTTTCATAATATTGTAATAAATACATCTTCAGAACATGAAGTTTTCTGAAGAAAATAATCAAACAAAAATACATAGAGTTCAGAACAAATAAGAACATTAATAACCTTTTTATTTCAAAAGAGAAATTTCTTTTTAAAATCAACAAATGACTACAATTGGTGAATTGAAAGGTGGGGCTAAATATTGAGATGTTAACATCAAACGAATATACATGCATTAATTTGCAATAAAATTAAAGGGATCATTCGATTAAAAGAAAATAAGATTAGAAATGAACTAAGACATGCTCAAGATGCTGTACATGAATATTACTTGAAAGTATCTCAACTTGGTCCCAAAATTAATAAAGGTACTTGATACATGAGACGATGTTGAGAAAAGGCGATGAACTGTATAAATCAAAAATTGAAAATACGTTTATATGGTTCTAAAAGTTTGGCAGTGTCAGAATTCATGTTTTCTTTTGTCATCCAAAATGGTCCGACAGTAATAGGGTTTAACTTGGAAACTTTTTTGCTACGAGCTTTGAGAAGATCTTCTTCTTTAATTAAGGTTACGTGTTTCTTAGGAACTTCTTCTTCGTCTTCATCTTCTTCTTCCAATACTTCTTCATCACCGGATAAATGACCGTGAGGCACAAGGAAATCATCCATTTCAAAATCATCGGCACCATTTCTCGAAGTATCTGAACCGGAGGAAACAATTGATTCTCCTTCTTCTTCTCCGTCCCATTCTTCTTCACTATCTACATCATAATCGAGAAATTGCGTATCCCTAGCCCAAGGTTTACGTCCACAAATAACCTTACTCCGCTTCCGCCATGTTCCATAATATGGTGGCCTTATATCAGATAGATCGAAGTATTTGGCTTTATAAGTAGCTTTTGGAGAAGGTTCGTCGATAATACAAGCAGATGACATTTTCTCTTCTTTTTTTGCTTCTGCGAGGAATCTGTGAGGTTGAACTTGACCCGTTTTAAGTTGATTAATGTAAAGTTCTTCACAATTATAATCTTGAGCAGCAATTGAATCCTCGAAATATTCAGGATCAAAACGTTCTTTTGCAACACTGGGAACATAATCAGCGAGCGCTTGATTAGGCTGTAACTGGAATGGCTTGAATATCGAATTATTGAGTGATTCTTGCTCAGAAAATTTTTTTGGTGTATTTTCTGATCCAGTTGACACTCGTTTGAAGAAATTGAGAAAAGATTCAGAAACACGAGCCTTTTTTCGTTCTTCGGCTTCAGTTTGTTTTCTTTTTTCTTCCAACGCTTTCAGACGTTCTTCTTCTTTCTTTTTCCTTTCTTCTTCTCTTTTGCGTTTTTCTTCCTCTTTTTCCTCCTCTTTCTTTTTACGCTCTTCTTCCTTTTTGCGCTTATCCTCCTCCTTTCGTTTTCGTTCTTCTTCTTTTTCCTCTTCGCGTTTTTTGCGCTCTTCTTCTCTACGTCTCTTTTCTTCTTCTTTCTCCTCTTCTTTCTTTTTCTTTTCTTCCTCGCGTTTTTTGCGTTCCTCTTCGCGACGTCTTTTCTCTTCTTCCTTTTTTTCTTCTAGCTTTTTCTTCTCTTCTTCGCGTTTCTTTCGTTCTTCTTCTCTGCGTTTTCTTTCTTCCTCTTTTTTACGTTTCTCCTCTTCTTTGGCTTCTAGTCGCTTCTTGCGCTCCTCTTCTCTTTTACGCCTTTCTTCATCAGTCGCTTTCCTTGCAGATCTACGACCAGACCGGTTTTCTCCATCACCAGAATCAGGAGAATCTTGATCCCTAGTAGATGAAATCAATGAAGTTTTAGAAACAAATTTTAACATTCACGGATAACAAGAAAATAAATTTACTTACTCAGATTTATTAGCTTCAGGGGTCACACACGGTGAAGGTGGTTTAATCCTTTCTAACGGTATAACAGGATCACAAGCAACCCATTCTTCATCAAGATTAGCCATAATTTCCGAATAAAATTGATTAGGTAAGTTTTAAACTAATAAATAATAAAAAATTAACACAGAAGAAGATAAACCTAACACTTAAACTTCCGTTGTTGATTTAAAGAGATTCCCGCCTCACGTAAACAAAGCTTATTTACAGATAAAATTACCTAAGAATAGAGTGGTTGATGTTGCTGGCATCTGTAGGTAACCAAATGCACTAAGAAATTTTTTTTTTATTTTGAACGATTCAGAGTCTTGTTTTTTATTTAAGCTTGTTTCATCTTAATTTTGGGTGAGTCACCGTCATGATTATTTGGAATTAGTTGCACTATTCTGTTTACGAGTCAACCTTTTTTGACCGGTTTATTATTGTAAGACATCGTGTTCACCTATTATTTTTAAAACTGTTTATAAATATTGTCTCCTCTGATATTGTATTTTCTGCTCTCCTATTCATTTCCCTAGTCTGATTTTGTATCATTTGTTCTTCATTTTATTGTTCATCTTATTTGCTCTTTTACTAATTTTTTTATTCATTAACCGATTAACAAGTATTACCAGTGTCTTACATCAAAAAGAAAACAAAATTTATTATGTCAGCAAGTACTGGACCTCTATTTGCATGTACTCGGTGCAACTCACGGCATCCATTTGAAGAGTTATCATCCGGTCAACAACTGTGTAAGGTAGGTAACATCTCTTCAACCGGATAAATCTCTATCTTATGTCAGCAATAATCTGAATTACATGAATGATTCGGTATAACAATAAGCTGTTGCTTGTGAATATGATTTTAAATTATAATTTTTCTTTTCTTTCATTTTGATATCAATCATATAATGAGAGAGATTCCCGATAATTTTGATCCTCTGAAATTTCATAAACAAATGTCTCTTTAATTTATATCAATGATTCTAGGAATGCCGTGGAGCCTTGGTTAAGTGTACCTACTGTCGAACAGAATTTCAACAAGAAAGTAAATCGAATTTAAACACCATTTGCAAAAAATGTGAACAAAATGTTAAATTATATGGAAAGGTATGTCAATGTTTTCATTTAAATTCAGCTAACTAGTGATTTTTTTGAAGCCTTCATATTACATCTACAACAATTGATGATATTTTCTTTTTCTTCTGCGTCTTTAAAAATCAAATTGTTCAGCCCTCTGCGTGTGAATATTGTAATATTATAGCTGCTTTCATTGGTAATAAGTGCCAACGATGTACGAACTCAGAGAAAAAATATGGCCAACCTTTAGCCTGTGAGCAATGTAAACAAAGATGTGCTTTTGATCGTAAAGATCCTGAAAGCAGAAAAAAAGTAGATGGTAAATTATTATGCTGGCTGTGTACTTTATCCTACAAAAGAGCTCTTGCCAAAGCCAAGCAGAATGACACTTCAATCCGTCACACTTCCATATCTGTTCACAAAAGTGGTAGCCGATCATCGTCATCAAGTAGACAAAAGTAAGCTATTTACATTTATGTTACATGATAGGAATGTTAATTTGATACTAAATCCTGTTTTAAATTACTCTTTTATCAGAGGTGAATCCCGATCACATCATCATCATAGATCACATCATAATAGTTCTTCGAATCTAATGGTTCCTCCTGGTTCATCGTCTTCGAGTAAAAAACCTCGACTAGAAATAGGAGTAAAAACATCAAATGGAAGCTTAAAGATACCATCAATGACAACTACAACTACAGTCGCCGAAAGCACTATGATGGATTTAACTAATAGCGATCATGTCGTTGCAGTTACGCAATTAAGAGAGCAAATGGCCTCTTTGCAAAAACAATTGTCCAAAAAAGATCAAGAACTCTTAGAAAAGGATAAAAAAGTGAGTAATTTAAACAAAGATTAGCGAATATTGTATCATCTTAATCATAAATTATTGCATTGATTTACTTTTCAGATTGCAGAATTAAGATCTCAACTGAGTAGAGAGGAACGTGAATGGAGAGAAAAATTAACACAATGCCAAAAAGGAAGCTCTGAGAAGACCACACAACTTCAACAAAAGATTTCGCAGCTTTTGAAACAGAATGCTTCGTTATCTAAGGCTACCAAGAAAACTATAACCAATAATAATACACCTAGTGACAGTCCTCTTCTATGAGAATAATATATAAATGATTTAGACATTTCTAAATGCATAGGAAAATTGACAAAAAAAAATAACTAGTTGTGGTTAAGGTTGAAGTTGAGGTCTCTTAATTATCTCTTTCTTTACTTTCTTTGCGTCAACATCATTCCCTTTCCAAGCGGCGACAAATGATTGAACAAACCTAATTGGTATGGATTTTTCGTCTCAAAATATTTCGATTGGTGTATACACAAACCAAAAGAACAGCTTGACTTGTTTCTGTTTCTTATTGTCTGGAACAAACATTGTTGAAAAATTAACTCTCCGATAAGGCGAACATAATTTGGTTATCACTAAGCAAGATGAACGCGTTATCATCACCATCAGAGACAAGTTAATCTTTTGACTGATTAAAATTATTTTGAATATTCATTAATCGATGTAACAAAAAATCACTACCTATTAGGAAATATAAATTATTCATAGTTCATTAAAACTTGGTGAGAAAGATTCACTTAAAATCAAAATGACGCTCTATCAGATCGATTCAGTGAAATGTTGCAAAAGTTGTGAGAACCAAACTCAGCAAACGCTTTCATTGAAACGGAAAACAAGAGTAAATATGTAAATAATCTTTACAACAACATCCTTGATTGATTAAAAATTGAACTTTTAATGAATAATAACCTGTTTCAAAATATCTCGGGAAAATCGCAAAGAAATAAATTTTAACTAATTGAATCGGAATTCTGAACAGTAAAATAATTTCATTATAATTTAGTAATGATTAAATCAATGCAAAAAATAGTGAAGCTAACATGAGAACACAATTAAATTGACTATCTATTTACTTTACAGAATCGATGAATTATTCGTTGGTTCAGCATATTTCAATCAATTGTGAAAGTATTGGAAAAAGAACGTAGAAATTGTGAAATCAAATTTGATTATACTTGATATTGATATAACTGACGATCAACAGTGACAACTCTGGCAGAAGTGACAGAATCAATAAAAATAAAATCAGGTTTATGGAAATTATATATCAAGAATCTGCTCTAAATGTTAAGATTTTTGTCTACAAATGACTTGAATAGATTTTTTAGTTGAACGTAAATCAAAACAGACAATCATAGATTAATCAACTCGATAAAGGTTGGACTATATTTTACAAACCAACTTGATCTAATATCTGAATTGAAATGAAGCTGAATATGAAACTCCTAAGACTTCCTGAGTATGAAACAATTTAATTATTCTTTTAATTAAAAGTTTACATGACAAGAAAACCCGGAGAACAAAATTTTAACATGTTTTGTATTAAATTGGAAATTTTTTGTATTTAATACCTGAATCAAATTATTTTGGATCATTGAATTTGAATAACTGTTTTACCTCTTAAATGACCATCTTGAACATTAATATAAGCTTTGGGTAATTGATCAAAGTTGAAAGTTTTTTGGACGATTGGTTTAATTCTTTCTTCCTCGACCAATTTCTTTAAAATTAGAAGGCCACTTAGACTAGGATGGTAGAAAGCCCATCTGACAGTTCGTCCTTCGGTTATTCCATTGATTGTATCACGAGATGCTTGGAGTAAATTGTACGTCAGACCCAGAAGAAGACCTTTCTCGTCAATGGTTCGAAGTAATGGAGATGATACGGTGACATAAGAACATGTTAACTTTTTTTTTAAACATTTAAATGCATCAGGATCGATAGACGAGCGATCACTCCGTTTAGCAAAGTCAAAAACATAATCAAACGATTGCGCAGATCCAGATAATTCATTTGATCGATAGTCTATGGTTTGGTCAACATCGAAAAGCTCTTGAATCCAAGGGACGGCATCTGAAGAGCATGTTGTTGCTACATAGGCTCCCCAATGTTTCAATATCTGAATGGCAATGGTTCCAACACCGCCAGATCCTCCAAGGACTAATATTCTGGAGTGTTGATAATGAGTTAAAATAAATAAAAAACAATGTAACCACACATATAAACACACAACTTAACAGAAGAAAAAAGTTATGTGTATCACCTTTTACCAACACAGTTTGATTCACTTAAGCCTCCGAAAGTTTTTATAGCAGCAAGAGCAGTTAGTGCAGCATACGGCAAAGACGCGGCCTCAACAAAGTCCAAGTTTCTAGGTTTCTTCGTCATCTAAGGAGACACAAGAAATTACCTGATATATGAAGAGAATATTGGCCTAATTTAATCATCAGGAGTAAGGTATTGGTTAAGAGGAGAACTATAGGTTGAAGTTTCATGAGTAGATATTCATTATTGCATTCAATGAAAAATTAACAACAGTTTAATCAATCACAAATCCTAAGTTAGATGATCCATGGATTAATTTTTTGATTCTACATTCAGGTAAAATGAAGATACAAGGTGTATCAATGGGACAAATGAATAAAAAACAAACCTGTGAATCCTTAGCAATTGCATATTGGCCATGAGTTCCTTGACTGTAGGGAGGAATTGCTCCCCAAACTTCATCACCAATATCAACTGATGTAACCTGAGATCCTTTATCGACCACAATACCACTAAAATCACGACCTAATGTCAATGGGAAGCGGTCATAAGAAATGACAGGAGCCTTGCATTGAGTGGCAAAATCAATCTTTTCCAATAACTCATTACCATATCCTTTACACATTAAGACATCTAAAGGGTTTACACTGGAAGCTTTAACAGAGACCAACACTTCATCTGGGGATCGAATGGTTGGTGTAGTAACATTAGATCGAAATTTAAGACAATCCGATAAATCATTGGAGAAACCATCAATTTGCCAAACACAATGAGTTGAAAGATAACATTTAAATAAATTGTTTCGAATTGATTGGGTAGACAGTAAATTAGGAAGCAATGTTTTGTTGAAAACAAACGCCATTTTTTCTCCGTAAAGGATTATTTATTAAGGAAAGATTTCATTTCATTGCCTAACAACAAAGGTAAATCTTACTGCGATTGTGTAGACATCTCATCGATCTAATATTTAATTATGGAATCAAGCGGACTTTTTAAAAGACCGTTTTGGCAAAACTTATTCAAAATTATTATTACAGCGCAATTAAGTATTAATTTTGATGGATTCAACTATCAACGGTTCGTGTCTGATGTTCGAGGAGTCTAACACATGCTTAGTAAATCAGCCATGAATAGAATCCTCGCGTACGAATTGACTCTTTAAATAAAACAATTTTTATGACTCCAGTGATTTAACCATGATAATGATTCCCGACTCTGAATCATTTTTCAATTATGCTCAAAATTATTCAACTTCATATCCATCAGAGTCATTACAAATGCCAACCAGTCAAAATGAACAAAATTTTAGTCCATTAGCTATTTTTTTATTAGTAGTTGCCAGTTTGGATACAATTGCATTGACGGCCGTTTATATTTATTATTTTCATATTTTAGAGACTAAATTTCCAACAACACTGGCTGTTCAACCAGCACCATTAACCAGTGAAATTGAAGAGACACAAAAGAGTGAGGAAAAGTCAGTCGATCAAGAGCAGCCCACATTTCAAAGCGAAAAAGTGCATTCATTTTCATCATCTGAATCAGTTGTTGCTGATTTAAGGCCTTTTAATGCATCTGTGATTGGCAATTATCGCCCAAGATCAACAATTTTACCATCAAAATATTCAAATCGGTTTGGTAAACGTATTTGATTGAATTTGTGCCATTCCAGCTCAAACAATCGAGACTAGAAGACATTTTCTTTCAAGGATATAGACTATCTTTTGATTAACTTGTTCCCTTAATTAACCTGTCAACAAATTCAACATAAATTAAAAAGATGAGAAAGAAGAATTGTAATTATTATGGCCTTTTTTAATTATTACTATGATAAAAAGGAATTTGCAAAAAAAGGAAAATTTTAAAATATCCGCTCTTATCAATTCCTTAAGGATTAAATTTATAAATGATGAATTACGATTTTAAAAATTAGATTTTAAATTGAACGATTAATTACAGCTGATAATCTAATTTCTGCTAGTTATTGGTGGGGTTACACGCATCATTTTGTTACAAGTTTACAAGAATAAAGTTACTAAGATTTTGAGAAGAATTTCTCTACTTTTGAAAAGTCGCGCTATTTGTTGAGCTCCCTTTTATTTGCTTGTTGTGGTTGTTTATTCAGTCTTCCAGCATTTATGGACTGGCTTAAAAAGATGGCTTATGATTATCGGAATTCGCGATTATCAACTAGATCATCATCACTATCATCATCATTTAACAAACAGTCCAAGGAGACACCGCTTTTGACCATGAATAATCCATATTGTACTAAACCGTGTTCAGTGACTCTTCACAAGTTATCATCTGAGTTTATTTCTGATGCTTTGAATGGCAGAATCAAGTGGAAAGGATTGTTCAAAGGCAGAGGAGCCAAAAACCAACTTGATTTGGAATCCTATGTTAGAAAGAAACTTGCTGCAAAGGGAAATAGCTATGAGATAAGAAAGCCATCCCCAGAGCCAGAGCCAGAAGATTCGGAGCACTCCAATGATGGGACAATATGTGATGGTGACGATGACGAGGAATACACTACTCCTGTTAGACAATTGAGAGTAAGAAAACCAAAAAAACTACTTAAATGCAAAGATTGTAATTTCACCACAGCCGAGCCAGATAATCTACTCCTACATTCAGCTGCCCATAAAAGCAATTGTGAAGAATGTAATTTAACATTCGAAAATAAGTTTAAATATCAACTCCATGTCTATGAAACCCATAACCCGCCTGTTGAGCTTAAAAATCACATTGTTTATGGGTGTAAAGTATGTCAACATTTTTTTGATATTGAAGAAGATGCTCACAATCACCTTGCCTCTCATGCAGATATTGTTGAAGGTGGTAAATATGCATGTGCTTTATGCAGAGCAACTTATGCCAAAGAAAACAGTTTGACCACTCACCTGTCTAGTAAGCATATATTTTATAAGTGTACTTTTTGTGAATTTCTTGGCTCTTCTTTTGATATTTTGGAAAGGTAAGTTAGTTTTTATCATAGAAAATCCCTTTATCTAACTAATTTTTTATCTTCTCTATCTTGGTTTACAGACATTCTCTTAATACACATGCTGCCTATGGTAAACCCTATCCATGTAGTCTTTGTGATTTTCGCAGTTCTAACTTTGGTGCGTTAGGGCTCCACCGTAAAACGAATCATGCTCTATTAGCCGATCCACAAGGTGAAAGATGCCGGTTGTGCTATATTTTGATTGAGCCAGATCGAGAAGCTATATTAGAACATCTCATAAGTCATGTAGATTGTTGTCTAATATCATGTACTAGTTGTGATTTCATGTAAGTTTCAATTTGAGTATTGCAATCGATTCGGTGAATCTTTTCATTACTAGCTAAAAAGTTAACTTTTCCTCTTCCGTCTCTTTTTTCTAAACAGGTGCAACTCTTTTCAGCTGATGAGAAACCATGGTTTAGATTTTCATGGTACACAGGATCTCGATGCTTTCGCTCAGCTAATTGATTTGAATATCTTGAACAAAGCCATAAAGGGGTCTTTAGATGCACATTTTGGAACTGCATCGAACAAAAAAAGTGCAAGGACTAAACCTACCTTTACTGAAACTAATATGGCAATTGCTGGCTTGAACTCCAGTGGCTTTATGGGTCTTGATCCTATAATTGATTCGCCAGTCAAAGTTATTCCTATGGAAAGCAGTGTTCTTAATATTCAAGGAGTAATGGCTGATCAAGACCCATTCTTAGGTGGTTTTGCTGCGCCTTTAGATCCTATGATTTCTTTTAGTAGCTCAGCTAATGAGGCTGAAATTAACGAATCACTGCATCACGCAAATAGTAGTTTTATATTGCAAGATCTGTCGAAAGAACAAAATCACACGATTAGCTCAGAACAAGCAGAGGAAGAAGATGATGAAGACCATTCTGATCCTCAGACTAGTATCACTGTTCATCCATGTTGCGACCCTCTTGGAATGGCATTTGACTCAGCTGTTAATCAACCTCAAGTTCCAATACCATCTGAGGGCATCCTTTCGGTAGATCCAGAGACTGGTCAGTTGTATTTACAAGGTATGTGCGATATTTATATCTAAATAGCAAGAAAAAATTTAAATTATTCAAGATAGTTTAATCTTATATTAATCATAATTCGTCTACTATAATGATTTAGGTTTACCAGTTTACGATGAAAAAGGACAAGCAATTTACGTTGCCATTCACGAATCTGCTCAACCATCTCATGACGGAGACTCTCCATCAAAAAATATAAAGGATGTGCAAACTGTTATTGAAGAATCAGCTGAACCTGTGCCAATGGAAAAAATGCTTAATACGTGATGCTCTCTTGCTACAAATGCTAATTTTCTATTCTCTTCAAGATTCACTTTCTCATTTAATGTTTGTTAAATTTTTCACTCTTTTTCTACAAAATTTTCATTTTACTTACTTTCTGCCCCAAAAAGGAACCCTATTTTTCTTCATCTATCCTCAAAAAGATTTTCTGTTAATTTTAAATGTACAAATCTAAGTCTGACTGTATTAAAATACCTATGGTTAACTTTAACAAATAATACAACTTTTACAATAGTATTTGTACTGTCTCACGATTGTGATCAATAAATTAAAAAGATTTTTTTCTCAAGTTCATGTTCTTAAAATAAGTAGCACTAACGACATGATCATTTTCATTGAAAAATATGTGCATCAGATAAAGGTGAACAAATGAGCTTTTTATTTATATTTTAGACAATTAGACAAGAAATGAGAAGAAAAGGAGAAAATCAATTGAAATAATAGGGTTTCTTAATGTTGATACCATAATCAGATACAGCAGGTATTAAATCTTCCATGGTTAGTGTATAGCGCTTGTCTTTAGTGTTTTTCTTAGATGCTGACCGCATTTTACAATGTTGTAAGGCATCGTTAACAATATCTGAAATAAATTTTTGGGCTGACAGGGAAATCAGTCTAATAATGCGCTTGTCTGACGTTTCAAAACCAGCAGTGTTCAAATAATGGGTCGTAACTGCATCAGGAATCTGTCAAAGAATAAAACATATGATTATAGTTAGATTTATTTAATTTCTTAGTTAATTGAGATTATAACTCACAGTAGGAGTATAGTCTTCAAGTTGGAGAAGGAAATCCGCTAAAGATTTAAATTCACGTTCAGGCGATTTAGGATCTTCTTCTATCTCCTCTTGTGGACCATCATCATCACCATTATCATCCATATCTTCATTATTTAAACTGTTATTGGTGATTAAATTAGAATTTGTGTTGTCCTCTATGTTCTCAGAATTCACATTGTTTGAACTCTCATTGGTATTAATATGATCATTACTATTTGTATCGTTATTTTCACCTCCATTACTATTAGAGGAAGAAGCTGTAGTAGCTGCAGTAGGATTGGTGTTTGTGTTGACATTTACATTGTTTTCATTGTTTTCGTTATTGTTCTCCGCCACAACAGGATTAGTTTCATTTGCCTCAACAATCATTGGTTCTTCATTGGTAGAAGCCATGGTAAAATACGAAATAATCAACTATTAAAGATAAAAAGGTAAAATTAGAAAAACAAAACTTCAATCTGATGCTTTCAAGTTGAAAGATGAAGACAAAATAAACATTGTTACTTGGTTACCATATATTCATGCTTCTTTAGTTGAGATAGCAAGTTAAAAAGGCGCTCAAGAAGACCAAATTCGAATCATAACCTCAAGCTAAAGTGCCAAACAGCAAATTAAATAAGATAGTAGAATAATCAAAGCTAAATTAAGAAGCAAAATTGTTTGAAAAATCACTAGCAATTCTGAAATAGCTAAATAAAATGGTGAGAGTAATTCCAGACTACAGTGATGCAGTAAGCTATAGTAAAACTAACCGAACAAAATATTGAGCTAGGAAATCTTTAACGATTACTACTTCTATTGAAAATTAAAACAATGTACGTACCTTTTAATCGTTGATAAATTAAAACCAGTTGGAAAAGATTAAAAACAACTTCAGAACCTATCTTGGACTCAAATTACTGAACTTCAGATGTAAATAAATAAATTTAAAGCTAGAAGCGATAGATGACACTACTTCCAACTGGAATGACTTGCAACTTGCATGAGATCAAAATTGTTTCTTGTCTCTCTGCAAATTTAAACTTATTGGTTAGATTTTTCTTTAATTAATTGACATTTTAGCTGTTATTAAGTTTAATTATGGGCTCAGCAAGATATGACCGAGCTATCACCGTCTTTTCACCCGATGGTCATCTTTTTCAAGTCGAATATGCCCAAGAAGCTGTGAAAAAAGGTTCAACAGCGGTAAGTTTTTCTTTTCATCATTCTTTTTGTCTTTACTCATACATTTTCTCCTCCTTCTCTCTCTTCTCTCCCGTTTTCTCTCCCTTTTTCTTAATCTATGGCTCGATTTTAATCCAACATTTCCGTTTCCTTCATTTGCAGGTTGGTGTCAGAGGCGACAACGTTGTTGTGCTTGCGGTAGAGAAGAAATCTGTTGCTAAACTCCAGGAAGAAAGAACTGTTCGTAAAATATGTCTGATAGACAGCCATTGTGTTATGGCATTTGCCGGTAAGTCCATTTTCTTTTTATTTGACCCATCTTGATAAAATCAATGATGATACATTGAGCTTAAATGATTTAGTGATTACCAATGAAATCCAACCCTGAAACTTTTCCTTTCTTGCCTTGTGAAATTGGTTTTTGGTTTTGTTTTCTCACTTCTGTATGTTTTTTTTTATTTAATAGGTTTAACTGCAGATGCCAGAATTTTAATAGATCGAGCGAGGATTGAATGTCAATCTCACAAATTGACTGTTGAAGATCCGGTGACCATTGAATACATCACTCGTTTCATTGCTCAGCTTAAACAAAAGTATACCCAATCTAATGGTCGTCGACCTTTTGGTATATCATGTTTAATTGCTGGTTTCGATGATGATGGCTCTCCTCGTTTGTTCCAAACAGACCCGTCTGGTAAGTTTCGGTCACATGTTGCTTGGAATATCCTTTCTGCTGCATCATTGTGTTTTGTAAATCTAGTATCAGAATCTTTGGTTTAATTTCTATGATGAGAAATACAGACCTGTAATGAGTCACACAATGATAAAAATTCAATCTCTGAGACTTTGAACCCTTAGACTTCTGATCCCCAATCTTCAGTTTTCTTTATGCAATTCTAATTTTCTATTCATTTTTTCTGCATTTTAGGTGTTTATCATGAATGGAAAGCTAACGCAACTGGTAGAAATGGAAAAACTGTGAAAGAATATCTGGAAAAAAATTATAGTAAAGAAATTTCTGCTGATGATGATAAAACAATCAAGTTGGCCTTACGTGCTCTTATGGAAGTTGTTCAAGGTAAAAATTTGGAAGTGGCCATTCTAAGGCGAAATCAACCCCTCATGACCCTAGATGAGGAAACTCTTAATAAATACATTGTTGAAATCGATAAAGAAAAGGCCGAAGAGGTTGAAAGCAAAAAGAAGATAAAGAAATGATTTTGTAAATTACTTAAATGAGAAAATTTTCTTAATAAAAGCTGACTTGGTCATATGTAATCTTATACTATTCGATGTCAACTTCTTTGTCTTACTATCAACGTACTGTGAGGTCATAAACATGTGATAAAATACAAGTTAATAAGATTGTTCATTAGATTAAATAACAGCTCTAAAAATAGAGGATAATTTGATGTTAAAGTTTGAACTTACAAATCAAGCATATTATCACTTTCGACATGTTCTTCGTGTGCTTAAAGAGTAGTGGACAGAAGTTGGATCTGACAATTTTTTCATTTTAAATATTTTGAACAATTCTAATGATTAATGATTTAAAAAATTGATGTACATCTAGGCTCAAAAAGCTGTCAATTTTAATTCAATTTACACAATTTATATGAATTTTATAGTTTATATATTTCATTAGAACGAGTAATGCATAAATGAGAGTCTCTGGTTGTCTCCTTCTTTGCTCCTATGCGAAGATAAAGTATTGCTTTTTAAAGATATCAGATGTTTTATGTCTCTTAGTTTTGTCAAATTTTGTTTTCATTTATTTTAGCCACTTTAGTTATTTGTTTTCAGCTCATTTCATTTTAATTTGTATTTCAATTATTTTTTACTTCATCAGTTATTTTTAATCATAACTGAATATGGCGTCTACACCTTTGAATCTCCCAGAAATACCTCCCGTTTTAAAACCTTTATTGGGAATTCTTAAATCAGCCGGTGATCATGAAAAGGTTGATCCAATTGTGACTTATTGGTGCCGTCTTTATGCTTTCCAATTGGGTCTTTCCATCGATAAGAAATCTCCAGAATGTCTCAATTTTTTAACCACAATTATGGCCTGGTTGGAAAAGGTTTGTATCTAACTAAAACCCTATTTGACAGCTGTTCATCTAACCAATCAAACCTGTTAAAATAATTGCTATACAAATGTCCTATTCTTTATCTTATAGGAGAAGCTTGTGCACAAGGATAATGAAGCTATGAGTAACGAGCTCGTGGCTCAGGCACATATTGAGAACCATGCAATGAATTTATTCACTCGAGCTGATGCAGAAGACAGGTCTTCAAAAGCTGGAAGGTAGGACTGAAATACAGATTTATTATCATTTTGTCTCTTTTGTTAATGCATAGCTCATAAGAAAGGTAGTTCACCCAGTTCTCTGTTCTCTGTTTATCTAGTGATTAGCTGAGCTAAACAAAATTTTAATTTTCTCTATTTTAGAAATACTGTCAAACTTTATTTCACCGCTTCTCAGTTATTTGATACTTTGAATGTTTTTGGTGAAGTGAGCGAAGAAGTTTCTCAAAAGTCAAAATATGCTAAATGGAGAGCTGCTTATATAACTCGTTGTATCAGAAACGGAGAAACTCCATTACCACCGGAAGAAGAAGGTGATGGTGATGGCAGTAGTAAAGCTTACACTGGAGAAAATCCTGATCCATCTACTCAAAATAACAGCACAGTTCAAGATATAAAACCTAACAATCTTGACTTTTCTCCTCAAGTTCCTAATGTTTCTTCAAATTATCCGAGTCCATATCCTGGCTATTATCCTCCACCTGGAACGCCTTCTCAACCTCCATACACACCTCCAACTCAACCTATTCCTCCTCAAGGACCATCGGCATCTTCATACGGTTTACCTGGACCTGCACCGACTGCTCAACCTTCATCCACAGCAACTGGTTTGTATAAACAAAATTAAAAGAGTATACAAAAATTATCAATACTAAAATTGTTCTATGTTTCATTATCTTCTAGGTGCATCTCGTAATTTAGATCCAGAAGCTTTAATGAAAGCCCAGAAGTATTGCAAATATGCTGGAAGTGCTCTCCAGTTCGAAGATGTAAACACTGCTGTGATGAATTTAGAAAAGGCTTTAGCTTTATTAAAAACTACTCAGAACTAAACCAGTGTGAAGAACTCGATATTTGTATCCGACTGATAACGATTTGTTAACGATAAAACTGAATCAGCTTCAAAGAATCCAATTTTATTAGAGAATTACATCCATGGGAACTGTTAATGAAAAAGAGCAAAATGAAATTGAGAAAGCGAAAGATTGCTGGTTAAATCTTCAGCTAGCCGACTTGTCATAATCGTGAGTTGGAGAAGTTGATTAAAAATATAAGCTTTTACAACCTTAATTACGCTTCAGTTTTATTATAATTTATAATTCGTTTTGTCAGTTAAGAGTTCAGCCACATTCTTGTAAATTCATTGCAATTGGTAATCATTCCACACTAAAGTGTGCAAAATTCATTTCCAGCATTTTATCGAGCGTCGAGCATTAAACTGGTTAGCAACAAAGTTAACATGAATTAAATTTATTTTTTTGCGGTACGACCCTCCATCGGGGTTCGACCTGGGATTAATATGCAATTATGAAAACGATAAGGATCAAGAATCTAAAAAGATAACACCGATCTCGAAAATTTGAAGCGCTTGACAATGAGAAGTCGATGTAATCAGATGATGATCCTTCCATGTTGTTCAAAACAAAGCCACAGAAATAGCAAGAGCAAGGTTTTTTACAATTGAATTCAATTTTTAAACAATATTTTCCCTTCTTTTAAAGTTAGATTTATCTTCAATCCTTTTTTGGCGGCGAATTCAACGGTTAATAGTAATCCAAGAACTTGTCAAATAAGTAATAATTATGTTATATACCGAATCTCCATCTCGAACATTATGATCACTTTCTTTTCTTATTCCCACCTTGATTTTTATTCGTGGTTATCGCAAAAAAAAGATCTTAACTAGACTTAATCCAGCACGGATAAGGTAGATAATCTAAAATGTCAGTTTTTATTAACTGTCTCTTCTTTTTGTCATTATGCTTTATATCATTCATGCCGGATCACGATTCGCTGGAAAATCAAACTGTCATATTTGATTGAGAGTTTTTTGTAAGTTTAAGTACAAATGAAGGTGTTACTCTGATACTTTCAGCTTCCAGAGGATTAGTTTTGTATTTGTTTACTATTTATCATAGTTTCAATGCGGTCAAAAGATCGTCGTAATAAATTCATGGCAAATTATTGTATTGGAAAATAGACATTATCACGTCTTTGAAGTCTAATTGTATGTTAAATTAATAATAAAACTTTGCTATTGACTGTCAACCATAAATGGAGAAACTTCATTACTACCGGAAGAAGGAAGTGATGGTGATGGTAATAGTAAAGCTGCTGCTTGAGAAAATTCTGAACCATCTACTCAAAATAACACCGCAGTTCAAAATACACATAACCCAAAAATCTTGACTCTTCTCCTCAAGTTCCTAATGTTTCTTCAAATTATCCGAGTCCATATCCTGGCTTTTGTCCTATGACGTAACTGCTGTGAGGAATTCAGAAAAGACTTACGCTTAATTAAATACTGGCCAGATCTAAACCAGTGTAAAGAACTTGATATTATCATCTGTATGGTAGCAGTATAATTGAATCATCTTTAAAGAATCCAATTTTATTAGAGAATTACATACATGGGAACTGTTAATGAAAGAGAGCAAAAATGAAATTGAGAAAGCGAAAGATTGCTGGTTACATCTACAAATTTAGCTGGCTTGTGAACGTCGGATTATTGGGTTAAGAAGCACTAATTCGCTGTCTGCAGTCATCAAGGGAAGTTGATTGTCTCGATAATAATTGATCAGATGAGTGACACTATCAAAAGTACATGCTTTAGTCCGAACCTGTAAAAAAAGAAAAGAAAACAATAAAATTTGCTCTGAAGAGAATACCTTTTCAAATATAAAAAACAGTTAGTTTTTATAACTCACCACGCCTTCCGGATCAACTAGAGTGAAATGTTTCCTTAATCCTCCCTGCATTCCAGTCAAAACATATTTACCCGGAGAGTGAAGCGATTCACGAACAAGAAAATCACCATCATTAACAACAAGCATTTCACTTTCTCTTCTGCCGATGGCCCCATGAAACCAGACAGCTTGTGCTAAATCCTCATTTGTATTAGTAGTAGAGGATATTGAAGATTTGAGATCATTGATTGAATCACTTGTTTCAAGCTTTGAGGAGCTTGAACCATTAATGGGCGAGGTTGATGATAATAATGAGCTAGGCTCGAGGTCAGTTGATAAATTTTCCAGCGCTCCACAAAAAGGTTGCATGTCAAATGGATCTTTTATCGCAAATGGAAGTGATGACGATGACGATTCTTTTATTGACGAATTAAGTTTAGATAGCTCTTCAGGATTGCAATTCACATATTCTGGTTCAGTTTTACGATTAAATGATGATGTTCGAGAACAAGGGCTAGGATTGGCTGATGTTGTTTTAAGCTTCGATAATGGAGATGAAAAAGATGATGCGATGGCATTATTTAATGTTAAAGCTTCACTTGGCAGCACTTGGAGGTCAGAAGTCAAGTCTATTAAATTCGGTGTTGGATCAGATGTTGAGGGTTGTTGTGCATTGAATTTACCTACAGAGCTTCTCCCTAAAGAGTGAACTCTCATGAATTTATCATCAATTCGGCGATCATTTTTCCTTTCAGGTAAGTCTGGAGGCACCTTTCCTGGCATATCATTGTAATAATCACGGTCATCTCCTCCTATTGCTCCTTCCAAGGTACCATGATTGATTAAACTATTGAATTGCGTTCTATGTTCAAATCTTTCTTGGATACTTTTATGCGGTTGTTTTGCAAGAAACTCTTTGAATCTTAGCTCAAAAGCGTGTCCAATAGTTGATATGACATCTTGTGCTTTTCCTCCACCACATTCTAAAACGAAACAAGCACGCACAAATTCATGATCCTTTGCAACATAAGCTACAAAGTCAAGTGTATCAGCATCTCCGCCGGATGCAAAAGATATATTTGGCATGTCATGTTTAGCGATGACCTCTCCCGTTTCCATCACAGATAGTTTTAAATAAGAGCTGGTAATCTCCAAATTTACATTCGATCCAGCATTATCCATATTCGGACGTTCAGCTAACATTTTGAATATCCTTTTATCTGGACGACGTTTCTTGTCAACTGTTTTAAGGCCACTTGCTTCACAGACTCGATTGATGCATTCTTTAGCCACTTTACTTCGAGTATCAAAATCTAAGCTTTTCATCGGTGTATAAATTTCCAAACAACCAACATATTTCAAGGAAAAAAACCTCCAATCATGCACACCACTAGTACTTGTCATCATTAAAAGATATAAATTAAAACAAAAACACAAATATAAATAACAAACACAGAACCTTTAATGTTACTAAACAAAAATCAATTTTGTGCAAATAGAGGAAAACTGCTTTAGAAATAGTAAACCTTGCTATTTTCACCGCAATTTTACATGTGATTGAGAGATGAAACAAGTTTCGTTTATTTATTGTTTACAATTGCTGCAACTGTCAAATTGAGTAAGCAGCCAATTCCATGGAAATTATTAAAGCTAAAATGTCTTTTTGTCCTAAGATAAGATTATAAATCGAGATTTCACATATGCACCGGGCATAATTTCAATGTAAATATTGTTTATTTTATTCATTTACATGGAATTTCTGACTGGATGTGAAATCCGAGGAAGTCATTAGTCATGAATCATGATGTTTGTTAATGTTTTGAGTATTATTTGCTTTTATAACTTATTGCATCAAGATTGGAAAAACTTCATTGCCGCTAGAAGAAGAAGGCAATGGTAAAGCTTATGGAGAAAATTCTGATCTATCTACTCAAAATAACAGCACAGTTCGCGATATAAAACCTAACAATCTTGACTTTTCTCCTCAAGTTCCTAATGTCTCTTCAAATTATCCGAGTCCATATCCTGGCTATTATCCTCCGCCTGGAACGCCTTCTCAACCTCCATACACACCTCCAACTCAACCTATTCCTCCTCAAGGACCATCGGCATCTTCATACGGTTTACCAGGACCTGCACCAACTGCTCAACCTTCATCCACAGCAACTGGTTTGTATAAACAAAATTGGAAGAGAATACAAAAATTATGAATACTAAAATTGTTCTATGTTTCATTATCTTCTAGGTCCATCTCGTAATTTAGATCCAGAAGCTTTAATGAAAGCCCAGAAGTATTGCAAATATGCTGGAAGTGCTCTCCAGTTCGAAGATGTAAACACCGCAGTGACAAATCTAGAAAGCAATTCAGATTCGTTGACATCACAAAGTAATATTTTAAACAAAAGATGTCAATAAAATTTCATTAAAATTTGAGTATTTTCCTGCAAATCTTTTCCTGCAAATCTAGTACTGCATTAAAAAATTGGCGGAAAGCGAATAAATATTATGGGATTCAATAAAAAATTGCATCTAATAAAGTTTCGTCTGTTGTTCAATGTTATAAAATTTTAAATTTCATTCTGGCAAGTAAATGACTTATTGCATTATTCTGATAAAATTTCAGAATAAATCATTTTTTGAATATTTCTCAAAAAAAAACAGAATGTTATTAATTTTTAGTATATGGTCCCTCTTTCCCTCTCTTTTCTTTCAATCCCATCAAAATTGTGATGCAAAATTTAAATCATCTATAATTGTCAAATTACAGGGAATAATGCCTATCAGTTTAAATAGCAAACAATCGTAATATTGTACACCTATAGAGGCAAAGTGATTGAATTATTGCAAGGTAAGATTGGTTAATATTATGTTGACATAATTTCATTTGAGTTTTTTTGACTGCTATTGTTTTTTAGAACCAAGATTTCATTGTATTGCATCAAGCAATTGTAATTTCTTTTTGTTTATCAATGTTGTTTTGTGTTTATTTGATTTAAATATTTTGATAATTTTCCGATTCTCAGCATATTCTATCAATGATAACAATTTTATAATTAATTGTGGTAATTTTACTAATCTTTTGTCATGCTAATCTTGTTGGTCATTCCCTTTTAGTGAAATTTTACGATTTCAAGTTACAATAAGGAAAGATACAAGGAAAGAATCTTATAAAAAAACAACATCGCTGTTCTGTTTCTCATTTTCTTGGTATCGATTTCTACCTTTTTTTTGTTGATATTTCTTTTTGTGATTTGAAGTCAACATTATGAGTTATCTTTAAACTCGCATTGTTTGGCCGAGGTGAAATACTATGGAGGATACATCGTTTGTATGTAGTTTGGTTACCGGTCTCTTTGTTATGCTCATTGTTGCAGATGTTGGATTGTGTGATTTAAACGCTTCTTAATGGGCTTTGCCTTAATAGAGTTTGATACAAATTTATTATACGATAATACTCATACCTACAAATAATTGAAATTATCTTACTCTTCAAACGGACTTGAACTTTTGCAAAAACGAGTCGCAATCAACATTATTTACATCTGTTAATTAAAAATGTAAGATTTACTTTTATGCTTGTCAAAAAAATCATATACTAATCTCTGAACATTTCGCTTCTTTTTTCTCTCATAGATAATATTTCAATTTCTATTTTGGAACCTCAAAGCCTTTTAGCATTCGTTTTAATTACTTTTAATAGACATTTACAATTAACATAGTATCATGGATACGAGTGGTGATGAACACACCAACGGAGCAGACTTAGAGAGAGCTGATGACTCAGATGATAATGGTATTGCAACTGAAGATTCCGTTCCATCAACATCGCAAAAAAGCCAAGTAGGAAGAAAATCCTTATCAGGTCAAATTTGCTCACTTAAAACATTAATAGACGATCAAATCCTTGATCCCGGTAATAATGTGCTCACAATGGACTATTTCGGGGCCAAATTTGACGCTGATCTATTACCTAATGGAAATATTAGATGGTCTCAATCGGAACAAATATTTTCAACACCTAGTGCCTGGTTTAACCATTGTAAAAAACTTGTTAACCCAGAGAGTACCAACAGTAAACCTGGGTCTGCTTGGTCATCCATTAGGTATAGAAGAAAGAGACTCGATTCATACAAACTTCGATGGTATCGGAAGCAGAAAAAGATTGTCACCTCGGCCAACATATACGACTCAGCTATGGCTTACTCAAAGGCAGCATCAGATTACTTAACTCATTCACAGTCCATTTCGCCTGATTCCTCGTCCACACCTTTAACTTTTTTACCTGAAAACTATCCCATAAAGGAGAAAAATGTTGTCGAACATCATACTCTTGCCAGTAAACTTATTCGACAAGATACTAGTGTCATGGTTAAATGTATCCCATTTAGTGCCCTGGAAAGAATTCAGCCGTTTGCTTTAACTTTATCTACCAATGCTCTTCTTACTATTGATTTCCACTGTCATTTAACTACTGGTGAAGTTGTTGGCTACCTTGGTGGCTCTTGGGACATCACTAGCCATAACTTATCTATTCTTCAAGCATTTCCATGTAAAACGAGACTAGGTGATAAAGAAAGATCATTAAAAGTTACAGAAGAAATAAGAAAAAATTTAGAACAAAAAAAGCTTAGTATTGTTGGTTGGTACCATAGTCATCCAAAGACAGCTCCTCAACCAACCATTCGGGATATTGAAGCTCAAATGGAGTATCAAATAGCCATGAAAGGAGAGAATGATTCTACTTATATTCCCTGCATTGGTCTTATTTGTTCACCTTATGATGATGATAATCCTAGGTTAACTTCAAGGTATCAAGCTTTTTGGGTGATGCCTCCAAATGAATTCAAACCCCTTGAGTATGGAAGACCTATGCAGATGACCTACAGTATAACCAGAGACTCATTTTTAACTCAAGACTTATTATTGGACATGGTAAGTGGTAATTTTTGAACCCACGTATCAAAATCTATCTGAATCAATCAAAAATTTCATTCCAAAACTATCAGGTCAAATCTATTGAATCTGATTTATTTTAATCACTTAGAACGGTGAAGGTACAGCCCTAGTTCGTTAATTATTTGTTTGACTCCAAGCCTTAATTTTTTTTGATTGATTCTCAATTATTTCAAATTTTTTCATATATCAGAAATTGAATGATTGTATTTCAGGTAATCAAGAATCTTTCCTGCATTGCTGAATGCCGAGTTTCAATTTTTCATCATATTTTTGCTTATTTTTTCAAATTTTTGATATGTGCTCTAAAAATCGTCATTTTTAAATATTAATTCATTATTTTGATACTTTTTTTCAGCGTTTATTAGCTCATTATTACATCGAAGGTCCTGATGCTATTAAATTCGAAGAAGACTATCGTAAAGATAAAACGTATTGGCATAAACTTCAGTCATCCTTGAAACCTTTCTTACCAAGAGATCTTACCACGACTGTGAACCAAACTCAAGCTCAGACTCAAGTCCAACAACAAGCATTGTCTCATTTTTGGGCTTTTTTAAAAGGACTCATAATCCCTTGAACTCTCTGAAAGTGAAAAAAATTGAATCTATCCATTCAAAAAACTCTCTAAATATATTTATTCATATAAGCATTAACCAATTTAAAGATTCTTGATCTCAGCAATAACAAACCTGAAGGAAAATCTTATACATATAAAGTGAACAAACTATAATATGTATATTTTGACACTCAACTAGATCTTACAAATGTAAACGCACAGTAACACATCTTTTTCAATATTTAAACATGACACTTTCCAATTATCATTGGCTCCAAGTATCAGAATTGCAATCTCCATCGCGGTATCTGACATTGTATAAGTTGTACTGGAAAACATGTCTTTTTACCAAAATCGATAATAAAACCATGAAAGTTTACATCGAAATCATTTTTTTCACCAATTAATATTTCTTCATTAAATCCGAAATGATCTCAAAAAAGGTTTACATTTATTCATGTTTAGATAGTTTAAAATTTTGATGATTTATCATCGCTATCGATGATTTCTGCTCCCATCGGTCGTAACTTTGCTTTAGCTAAATAATTCAAAATTTTACAACAAAAACATCTGAGAAAACTTCAATTCTTCGATATGAAATGACAATTTACATTTGGAGTTTAAAATGGATTATAAACAAATTTTAACAGTTTAGCAAAAATAAAAATGCTATGAACTCGATGATTTGTAAGTAGAGTTTACTTTTGCTCCTTTACATCATATTTAACTTTATCAGTAATCAATATTGAAGTTTATTTATTCTTGTGATTTATCGATTTTGATAAATATTATTTGCCTCTTTTCACTGTTTTAGGTTAATGAACTGATTGACTTCTTCAACTACTGAATTTTCAATGATAACGAGCCGAAGAGGAGCATCAGATTCGGTTTGTTTTTGATTCTCTAAATGGCTTTAAAAATGTCCATACCAGCAATTACTCGATGGATCTGAATCCTCTGTAACCGTAGCCATTATGTCCTCTGTCAGCAAAGTAAACAAAGTTTTTGACTGTCTTGGAAACAACATTACAAAATATTAAGTCCGCTGAGACCATTGGAGGCTACAAAGAACTAGGGAACAAAAAGCAATTCTTCCAATCATGCATTTAAATTTAACTAATAAGAATTTTGCTGTGAGATTTCGGATAACACATTGATGGATTCACTGTTAGCATTTGATTTTGATCATTTTAATACATTCTTTTTATGTAGAAAGACTTATGTTTAGACCGAAATTCAAGAATGATGACATTGAGCTAATGGAACAGCCTATTTGTAGCCTGAAAACTGATCTTATTTTAGTGATCCAACAAAGAAAAGTAATGATCAAAAAGATAGAGAAGGTTTATATAACGGGATCTGGTTATTTTTACATCAAACTCAGTTCTCAATTCCTGCGAAGATGAGTTCGGATAGGATGAAAAGAAGAAAAATGATGATAATGATGTGATTAATTTTGAACCAATCTTTGAAAAATGTCTTAATAAAGTAAAGTTTCAAAATCACGAGTTACACCTTCTAACTGTTTACCAATTCAGTAAAACATTAAGAGCAGCGTTTATTGTCCTACAATCTTAACCACCCAGTTATGATCATTGAGATGACTATAATCATTAATTATTAAATCGGCTTTGTTGTCTAAACACAATGTCAACAAAATAAACGAACTCGAATAATGTATTTTTAATCGTCATTTTAGATAATAAATGTTAGGCTCGTCTTTTAAAGTTAGCAATTAGAAAATATATTCATGCAACATTTAAATAAAAGTTTGAGAAAGTAACAGATAAGAAGATCATCAGTATCTTATTACACTTGTATTCATCATATCCATTTTTATCACCTTACGAAGATCATGAAGCAAGTCTGGTTAAAAATACAATTCATCAGAAAATTAAATTATACCCAATTTTTGGAATCTTTGCGCATTGAAACAATTTCAAGTTATAATATTAAAGTCACTCATTTAATGAGGTAACTTAATTTTCTTTGCTTTGTAATGCCGATTTGAAATGCCGCTTTAAAATGAAATTTATCAAGATATATGTCCCATTTTGTGAAAGTTGAAATGTTCAACTTGAGCTTACAGGCTGAATTTATCAGACACATGCCATGGACACTAATTTCAGTTGCGTAAATGTACTGGGTGTTCAAAAATTGTTTTGGAACTTTTTTTTTGGATTCTAAGCAAAAATATGAATGCCATTTGATTTTTATTTTTATTTTCTTGATTTCTAGATCAAAGGTAAATTTTCAAGCGATTTAAACACAAAAAATTTTACAAAAAAAATTCGGCGATTTGCATGCTAATATAATGCATATTTTTTCAAATAGCATTACTCAACCAGAAAAAGCCTCAAAAAGCATCGCATTATCGTCAAAAGACATGAAATCCCTCTAGAAAGCAAAAACTAATCAACTTCATCGAATAAATCAACGATTGAGTTTATGGAGGGAAAGCGCTATTGAGGCTATCAAAGAGTGATTTTCTCTGTGTGGATCCGTATGCAAGGGCTTAGAATTTTGAACATGGTTTCAGATAATTACCTTTTCGTTATGGATCAACTATAAACCAAAATTAGGATTTAGAAATAAAATTCTCAAAAGATATTTAAAAAAAAAGTTCCCGAACAATTTCTGAACACCCTGTACATAAACTTGATAAAATCAAGTAAATTGATTCAATACTTCGAAAATGATAGTTCATTGATTAATTTTTTGAATATATAAATTAAATGTAGTCTTGATGGTATGAATTGCTATCAAATTTTAAAAATAAAAAGTCAATTTATTAGATCTTATTACATTCCATTACATGTTTTTATATTGTTTTCCGTTATTGTTATCAGTTACCAATTAGAGTGAACTCTCTCAAAATGCGATTCGAGGAGATAACTTTAAAATTATTCCTATACGGAGATTAAGTGGAACTCAGTTTCGAAAGGGCTAAAAGCGATGAGGGGCTCGACTGTTACCTTGGTCGGATCTCATTTAAAGAGGTTCGATTGGATGTAAAAGATTTTTAGTCACTTGCATGATTACAAATACACTTTTACACAAAAATGATAAACCTTTTGGATAAAGTGTCATCGATTAAACAGGATTCAAAAATAGTAGCATTTCGTTAAGATCGGTCGTCATCACTACAATGACAAATGGAATTATCGATTGGATAAATAAATAATCGTAAGAAAGAGGAAGAAAAATAACATCTCTATTGCTTTTAAATAAATGACCCATTCCTTTTTGGTCAATTGAAATAACTTCAGCACTTATTTGTCTTGGTAAAAAAGTCTAGATAAGTCGAAGAACTACATTAGATGCAATCGAACCAGAAAACACTCCCAGACCCAGAGCAGCAGATATGATAAATCCGGTCTTTTCTTGTAATTCAGGTTTAACTGCCAAAGGCGCTTGGAACATGCTTACAGTTAGTCCATAACCATTAGAGAGACCCAGAAGCATAACCAATATGGCATAGATATATTCAGATTCAAATAAAACAGGAAGATGATTTCTTGGATGAATGTTGCAAACCATAAGTCCAAAAACGAGGATTAAGCGACTAACAGCCAATATAATCAAAAAAATTGGCTTTGACTGAGGGAAGGGGAACCATTTACCGATTAGACGCCCAAGTAGATCATTTATATTGAACAGAAGAAAACAAAAAATGGGTAAAAATAGTTCCTCTGATACTATGACTGAGTCTTTATTCTTTGGAGCAACCAGGACCAAAAGCGGTGGATAAACGATAAGAGTTATACTCAAGATCAGAAAAACAGCCAGTAGATGAGGCCAAATAGCACGACAAATTGCAATTAGATCTGATCGTCGAGCAATTGATCGTTCAGAAATATTATCAATAGATAATGTAAACATTCCTCGTTTACGATAGAATCTATAATAAGGCTGTAGAAAAGTTAAAACAAAGAAATAGTTAAACTTCGAATAAAATTGTAAATCTTGAACTTTTGATAGGAATGAAGCGCAATTACTACTAACCGTTTTACGGGCGATGAGATAAGCAACAAATGCAATTATTAATAACATATCAGCACAAATAAAATAGTACATGGCTGAAGATCGAGGATCAGCATGTGCCCTCAATGAAATAATTTGACAGATTACAGCGAAAATGCCAGCTATAGCTTGGCCCAATACAACGGCTTGAATGCAATTAGACGGGAAAGAAGAAACTACCCCAGAAATGCTAGAAGCAAGAATACCAGTGCATAACCCGAGAATCAAAACACTGACAATGATTATCCAGAAAAATGCATTTTGCCCTGTTAAAGAAGAGTGGATGGGAGAGAAAGGAACATCCTGTTACTACATGGTTATAATGCATTGTTCTTGAAAAAAACAAAATGCTGTAATTTTATATTTAATTGACTTAGAGTAATTTATTATTACCCTGAATGTCATTTGATATTTAGAAAAGCATTATCATTGGGAAATCAAACGACTGTCACGGGTAAATACTCACAATTATCACTGTCAACTTTAACTAGAACCGTTGAAAGGATCATAAGAATCATTATAATCAGCATAGAAGTAACACTTCTAATGGTAGCTGTAATCCTATAAGATAGATGAAAAAATTAATAAGAGATAGACAGCAGATAAATAAAAGGTTTAAAGTTCAATACTAACTTATGACCATAGAATATCATGAATAGAACAACCAAAATATTTGGAACATTATTAGCCATTGATAAATAGCTGTTAAAATAAACTTGAAGTTGGGTGGAACCTGAAGATGAGTCATTAACATTACGAAACTTGTATTTCCAACACTAAGAAATAATTAAAAGAGATATAGAATAAGTAAATGAGTTGACACACGAATCGCAATATTTGCCAAAACAATTGAATAAAATATAGAAGTAACTCACATCAGTTGCGGTAATGAAAATATTCCAAGGTATACAACAAATTAATCCAAGAAGTCCAGAGATTATTTCAATCATCCGGTACCTAAAAAAGGAACATTTGAGTTGAGATTACATATTTATACACTGAATAGATCATAAGTTATTACTAAAAATTTACTTACTTGTCATGGAGGATAGGATTTTGAGGAGCTTGTGAGTCAATAAGAGAATCATCACTGGAATCAGAATTGGACTCATCATTTTCTGTTTGTAAAGTATTGTCTTCTTCAATAGCATCTGTCTCGTCAACAGGTAAACGATTGTAACCTTCTCCAGCTAACATATTGTTGATTACTAAATGACTGGTGATCAATAGAAGTGTAGAACATTACGAAAATGCAGAAATTAGTCAAAGCTTAATGATTACCCAATAAAGATAATCTCATAAAAAACAAAGTGTTTATAAACATTATAACGATTTCAACACAGTGCATTGTAAAACTGCTTAATGGATTTCAAGTGTAGCTCTATGTGCACGGAGCTCCATCTTTTATCTTCAACTATAGTAATCATTGCATACAAAAAGTATCGCAAAGTAATTGGCGACAAAATCTTAGATTGTTAATAATCTTGGTCAATTTGATTGTGATGTCTTTCATAAACTTGAATGAGTGACTGTATTATTAACTTAAAGTTGCTTTCAATATGCAATGTTACCAAAAATAAGGCATAACTTAATGAACAATATGAATTGGACAAAACTGTCATCGACAATATTTATTGAACGTTCCCTTTATTAGGGACCATTGAAAAGGAAGCACATCAACTCATTCATGATGTTTAGTAAACATTATTTACTTTATTTTTAAAATTATTTTGGCTATTTCTTTGCTTTCTTTTTGTTTTCCCATAATCGCTTCATCTAATTTTATATTAATGTGATTATTCTTCCATTTCTATTTACGTCCTATCAATTGTTAACCACTTTGGAATAGCTGAAGTCCTGATATTAATTTAAAGGTAAAATTGAGCTTATTCTGTCTTATTAACCTCATGCTCACATTCAGTAAATATTGTTTATTTGATTATGTTTTTATGTATTGATTTTATTGTATTAATCTCTGGGTTTTATTTTTGATTCTCCCTTCACTTAGATGGTCAAAGACAAGACACTCATGAAAAGTTCAATTAGAAGAAATCGAAATCTATCGAAAAATCTGATGGCTATGAAATTCATGCAACGAACAAAAATAAAGAATGAAGGAGAAGCTAATGATGTCGAGATTGGTGATGCAAAGTTCGAGAGTCGAGGTGAAGACAATTATGTGATAGAAGAAAGCTTCGAGATAATTGAAAACTTGCGCTTTGGAAGGATGTCTTTCAAATATTAATTAAACAAATCTATAGGATCTTTTGTTCTCATATTGCTAAAAAATTTTGTACATAAATCCCATCAAGAGTTGTGATTAAATGAAAAAAGAAAAATCAATTTAGATCCAGTTTGTTCGCTTTTTTGTATTTCTTTATTAATTATTTTTCAGGAAATTGATAAAATAATAGACATATAAAGTGAAAATGATTCTGATTTGCATGGAGAAAATGTTTACAATAATTTTTTATCATAATTTCATTTAATGATTTCGGTGAGTGATTTTAGTATGCTTAATGTTATGAGAGAGTTAATGAAAGATGGTGTTGAAATTGTATGAGACATGAAAATGGTGATGAGAAGACAAGGTTTGATTAAAAGTTAAAAAATTGGATGATGTTAGTTTGTTATAGATTAGTATTTTACACATAAAAGCATCTCTACATAAACATTGCGATTTGCTTTGGCCAATTTAACTGAGTTTGTAAGGAAGAATAAGGAAATAATAATCGTGCCATAATAGCAGAACGAAGTTGGAATAAGTGGAAAAATTAATGTAACAATATAATATGTTACGTTCTATTGCAATTGTGCATTTTTGAATGAGCGGCATCAGCAAACATCAGATTGTTGACACTTGATTAGACCGGGTCGGTGTTAAAGATAAATCATTGGAGCAGAGAAAAGGTCCGCAATAAACAGTTCAACAATTTTCTCTTACGACAAAGATTTTCCAACAAAATTGATTGATTAATTCATCAAAAAATGAAAAACCAAACAATAACTCGGTCATAGATTTTGAATTATTTTGTTTTCTTATTCTCCATACATCCTCTGTCATGAATACTTTTTGCCGATTTTATGACGTATTTAAGGTCAAAACTTAAATATATATATATACTTGTATTTATATTTATATTCATCCATTTCGTCTGTTTTTTGTAGATTTTCCATGCAATATACGTAATAAAATTCATGCTGAATAAGGGAATCTCCGGCGAAAAAGGAAAGAGGGCCAATGGAAACGAACAGGATGAAAATGGTTCGGTTTTTGGAAATAATATTTACATGGCACAAGCCGCTAAAGCCTCATCATAACGATAACCTTTTGTTATTAAAATCTCTCCATATGGAACCGATATGTCTTGCGTCAGTTCAACTGCTTGTTGCTTTTTAAGAACGAGAAGGGAGAAGAATTTCTGTGCAACCTGGAGAAAGAAAATTGAAAATGAAAATTTAGCATTCTTGCATTTTTTATGGTTAATTTGATTACTTACTTGTTTACGTCGATTATGAGACACTAGTCTACCAAATGTAACATCACCATCCTCAAGTTGTTTGGACATTAAACGCAAAAGAACATTTGTTCGCTTATTTCTCATTCGTTCTTCATATTGCTCAGCAGTTTCATCAGGCATCATTTCTTCAGGCTGTAATTGAAATTAATGTTGAGTTGTAGTAAACAAAAATAATTTTTTATAGTTTCAACCGCTGCTAGAATCATTGAAATTAGTGCAGCTTAAGAATAAAAGATAAACTTACCGGTCCTACAGACATAGGTTGCTCGTATTGATCGAAAGGTTCATCTTCATCGAAATCGTGTTGAGGGATTGAAAAATTACTTGACCGAGCAAGAGAAATACTAGGTGCACTCATTGCTCTGTCCGGACTTTGGATGGAACCTTCTCTCAGCTCAGAGAGGCCTGTATCGTTGATATGATCAGAAATGTTATTTGGTACTTTTTCGGGGGGAGGCTCATGTGATACAGCTTTTGATCTTCGCTCTTTTTTCTCTGTTTCTCGTTCGTCAGCAGTTTTTCGCTTCTTCTTGACAGGAGATTTGTGTTCTGGTGGTTCTCGTCGAGGAGTTCGTGGGGTTTTTGGTGGTTGAATTTCTTTAAGAGGAGAAATTGGAGGAACAATAGGTTCATAAATTTCCTCAGGTTGATTTTGTTGAATTTGCTCATGCATTTCTCTGATCTCTTCTTGGGGTTGTGGTTCTTCCATATGCTCTGGGATCATATCTTCAGGTAATTCTTCTTCAACAGAGATGCGAGTAGTAACAAGATGTCGAGTATAGTACTATAAAAGAAAATAATGTCAAATTTGAATAAGAAAGAACGATGTCAAATGAACATAAATAACTGATAAAAATTTGTAAAACTTACGACTAATAAAACTTTTGATGGAATGGGTTTTTCTGAAAGAGCGAATAGTTTTTCACTACCACCAGTTCTCTTCCAGTGCATTAATTTCTTGGTCGGAGGGGCAATGTCAAGAGTTGTAACAATATCAGATGTATCAGAAAGTTGAGATTTCATCTCCTCACCAGATAAAGTTTTAACTTCGTCAATAATAATTCCAAGCTTCTTTCGTCTTTTGCGTTTTCTCTCAAAACCTGAACCTTCTAATGGTTCCAAAACCATCGACTCTTGTTGTGTTTCGGGTCTTCGGAATATATTTTGTTCAGCTCTAATTGCCTCAAGATCTTCAGGTCCTTGTAGATCGTCAATTCCTTGTTTATCTTCATTAGGAACAGGATTTTCATCGATTATGGGAGGAATATCCTGCATTTCTTGATCTTGATTCATCATTGGAGGTGGTGAACCAGGAGAAGAAGGGCCAGATGGAGCGATGGATGGTGGTGCTCCATATGACATACTAGATCTATCACTTCTATCACTCATTCTGGATAAAGGTCTTTCTGGTTCTTCTCCCTTTTCCCTTTCTTCAGCAGCATCAGCCTCTGCTTGCATCTGTTGTTGGGCTTCAGGAGGAACAGGTAAGGCAAACATATCGTCGACATCAGTCAAGCCTACAGGGCCACCAAAACCATCATCGACAGTAGGTCGATCAAATATATCTAGGGGATGTGATGTTTGTTTTTGACTTATCTCTTGTGTAGAAGTATCGCTGATCTTAGAAGTACTAGCCACTTGAATAGAACTGAACTCATTCCATTCTTTTCCCTCACCAAAGAGAGGGACGTCAACAGGCATACTAGCAATATCTTCAACTAAGGTAATACTACGAATATTAGTATTAGTTTGCAAAGGTTCAATTTGAACAGGAGGTTCAGCAAGTAAATCAAAATCATTGACAAAGTCTAACATTTCAGGAAGAGTAATAGCAGAAATTGCAGCCTCTGTTTTACCATCAGGTAGGTCAACAGCTCCAGGCCTGAAAGCAGACTTGATCTTGAAAGCTGCATCTTGACAATCTTGTAAAAGATATAATGTTTTTCTAGCATAAATACGCACAATACCAAGCAGAAGATGTGATGAAGTACGGAGAGATAATTTGACACGAGGTTGAAGGATAGAATCAACTGATTCAACAATATTAGTCTCCAATATTTGTGCTTTGGTTATCTTTTTGTCCCAATGAGCAGCCAACCAAACCCGAGCAAGGGGACCCTTTTTACCGAGCACAAAAACTGAATAAAACATTTTCACTCAACACTCAGGTTGAACACAATCACTCCGGTTAAATAAAAACAAAACAATAATAAATAATGAAAAAAGATTCCACAGAAAAATTAATAAATACAAACAGTTAACAATCTTGTCATGATAGGTTTCTGTTATAACTTACAGTACAATCTTCTTAATCTAACCAATCAGGGCGCTCCAAAAAAGCGCCATCTATACAGTCTAAATGTCTAAAGGCGGCAAAAAACCCGCGATAATCTACAAACGATGTTTACTCTTTGAACCGCGCCAATTTTTCCAAGCGAATGCTATTAACTGTTCTGACAAACAATCTGGCGCCAGATTTTTTATTGATTGATTCAAAAACCATTTGACCTAAATAGGTGAATTTGCTTATCTTTCTCAGGATAACTCAGTAAATCTTCAGGGCAATCACTCCATTACATAACAATATTATTTATTTGATCGAGTTTGATTATTTTGATAATTTTTTTTATTGTTCAGTCTGATAAATTAATTAATTTTCTTTGTTTCAAGTTTCCAAAGCCACTTCATCGTTTGGGAAAATAAAGATTGATCCAATTTTGTGGAAAATATCGGTGAATATCTTTGTTTTCTGATATGGTTATCTGGTGTGAACTGTGGATTAACAAGAGCGAAAAAATTAAAAGGTTAAAACATTAATTTTAATAGTTAATCAAATGCATTTACAAGTTGATTTTTATCCCAATTCATGGAGAAATAATTTCTTAAAGAATTTCACAGAACTGGTAACATTTGGTAGACATATGCATCTTTACCTTTCTTTTTGATAGCCAAATAAATTAGACTGAGGGAAACAAGAACAGAGATGACAATAAAAGTTAATAGATTCAATGAAAGGGTAACTAGATCTTCTTCGCAATGAATGCCTTCAAGGCCACATTCGCTTCTCCAATTTTCAGGCAGGTAAATAGCAATTTGTTTGAAAAACTGGTCAATATCACAGAATTTTTTATCATCACAAGCTGATAAATTTAGATAATGAGGATTTTTAGAATAGGTATCATTGAGGTAAAGAAGGGAAAGTTTGAAGCGATTGGTGCTAGTTTCTTGATACAACTCGAAAAGTACACTTGATCCATATGGTGGACTTAGTTTGTCAAAAACTTTCAGAGTGCTCAATAGAATAGCTAATTGAGAATCGTGAGTAGAATAAAAGAAAATCTTCTTAGCAACGCCATTATCTAGTAAAGATGTATCGTAAGGTTTGATCGATAGCTTCATGGTTGTAGTAAAACGAGATTTCAAGTCTTTCAATAGTTCACCAGCTCGAAGTCGTTGAATTAAATAAGTTGAATAATCTAATGTAAAAGTAAGATCAGAAATTTTTTGCAGCCGCAACATAACTTCGGGTGTTGCCCAAGAAGGAATGAGATAATTGTTCTCCGCTTGAATTTTCAGTGTATCATGGACCCTTTGAGCTGAGATTAAATCAGTTATGTTGCTTTGAGTGTTCTTGGCGAGATAATCAAATAAATCGAGAAATTCAACTTCGTGTTTCCTGTATTCTGGAGATTTTTTTACTCTTTCTTCTTCCTTCTCTGAAACAGGGCAGGTACATGATGGGTTGAGCATGTTGTCATACACTCTAGGTGCAGTGTGAATGGGAAATGGCAGCCAATTCAATTTATTATTCCAGATCCATCGCCCAGAGGGAGGAAAAGCACCAGCGAGTACAAGAGCAGCACTTTCCAGACATCGCTCAGCATCTGAACTACGTACATCGACTTCACGAAGATTTGATGGCCAAAATTTACCATAACGTTCTTTAAAATACTGGCCCAAAGCAAACATTCTGGCTTTCCCAGCAGTGGTTAATTCACCCCATCCATCAGGCCAAAAAGACGCATTTGCATACTTATCAGCTGGAAAACTGGAAAGTGGAGTTCGATCCCCATGTCTGTGAACAATCGCAACACTTTTGAGGACTAGGTCAGCATTTACTTGATGAGAAACTGACCGAAAATCATCCACTATAAAAATGATTAACATAAATGCAAAATTTGGTTTCATGATTACATAAAAAATACAATAGAATTAAATTTACAATTTGAAGATTGTAGTTGATGTGCTTCAAATGTTGAATGAATGATTAAAACAGTCACCAAAATGCTGAAGTTAAGCCATCACAGATTAACTTATTAAATTATAATTGATTTAGACAGATCTCATCGGTAGAACAAATAAATGCAATGATCATCGACCAATCAAGGAGAAACACGGATTAAATAGACAGGTAATGGTTTTGGATGCGACTCAATATCAAAATGCAAGATTAATGTGAATACTTAGATCACAGAATATGTTGTATTAAATTATCAACTGGATGAAATCATAAATAAACTGTAAATAAGATAAAGAGACAGAGAGAAATACAGTCAGAGCATTAGCGACGTTGGCAACAATGTTATTAATGAAGATGGTAAATAACCTTATGGTAAGAATATTTAAGAAGATATAAGATTTATGATAATTTAAAAAAACATACCATATTAATATTCTGAAGGTATTCAATTCTAAGAACGTGTCCACGTCTTCAGATCGATGTTTCACCAAAAAGAAGTGAATCAACTATAATTAACAAAAAAAGTAACAAGAAAGACATTAACAAAGAGTCTTGAAAAACCATTTCAGCTGTTCAATCACTCTCTTCAATCGATCTTGTTACAGTTACTGAATCATCGATAATCGAACCTTAACTGACCAAAATTAAGTGAATATAATATTTGAAGATTAATTAACAAATTGAATCTCGATTTGATTTCATTTGATGATCGATACTAACTTTGATTTGTAAATCTTACACAATTTAAGATATTTGACTCTATGTCAAAATACTTGACTACTGTATCAATCCAAAAATCTATACAATAAAAATTTTTCCCTGAGATTTTGAAGTTCAACCCTCTTCTGGTTTATTGAAATCAATTTCTTAGCTCATGAATTTCAACAGGTTGTCACTAAATTAAAATAACTGCGTCATTCTGTTTAACATTGATCTAAATGAACCTGAAAGCAGTTAGTTTTGAGACATCAACCAGCATTGTATTGGATGAAGGTTGACTTTTACATTTCAAGCTGACTACATAATTTTTAAATCACCCAATTTTTTAAAGTTAAATTTTGACTCGATCACTTTTATCAAGCATTGAGAAAGTTGAAATCATTAGATGCTAACAGGCGCAATTTGTTGATTAGAAGGAAAACGTTAAAGAAATTTACTCTTAATTCATGCTGAATAATCAATATTGATGATAATATTTTGGTTGATTGTTACAAATTCAAGTTAAAATAGCAAGAGGCTCAAAACAAATAAGCAGAGTTTAATATTTTGATTCCAAGTGCTAACTGACCGTAAACCAAATCAGATAAAGATGAACAGGTCAGGGTGACATGCACTTGATCAGACAAACAATCTGATAAGAATTTGAGATGTTTACCAAAAACTGGATCAGTGAAACTGTCATTTAATTAGCATAAACAATAAAATTAATGAATAAATAAACACAACAAATCTTGTTTCAATCATTTCAATGAGTAAGCTTTAAGCCATACAATGAATATTTTTTATGCTTTTTATCCAAACTCAGAAAATAATCAACAGTTCATCTTTTAACTCTTCATTTATTGTGCAAGTGAATATTTGAAAAAATATTAAAAATGGTTCTTCAACAAGTTACCAAAATTCAATCGGATTTAATTAAACAATCAGAGATAATTGGCCTAGATCATGTTACCTTTTATGTTTCGAACGCCAAATACACAGCCGCTTATTTTGTGCGTTTCCTCGGCTTTAGGCTGATTGGATACAAAGGCTTGGAAACTGGAAGTCGATCCATATGTTCCTATGTTGTCACCCAAGGAGATATCATTTTGGTTTTAAGTTCAACTTACGAATATGGTTCTGGTGAATTGTGGACTATTGTATCATCACGAGGTGATTTGGTTAAAGATATAGCTTTCACTGTTGATAACTTGGACTGTTATTTGGCCAAACTAGCTTCAAAAGGGATAAATGCTGTCAAAGGCCCTTGGACAGAAAGCGATCAACATGGATCAATTAGGATGGCAGTTATATCACCATTTGGATCAATTACTCACACTTTGGTTGAAAGAAGCCGTTATTCGGGATCTTTCCTGCCTTCCTATTCTGCACCATTAGAGTCAGAGAGTTTCAATGGATTCCACGAGGTTGCTCCGGAATTTAATGTTTCCTTTGAAGTGATTGACCATTTTGTTCCTGTGCTGGAGATTGGACAATTAGATGAGACTTTTGATTTCTATTCCAAATTGGGTCTGAAAACATTTTATTCTGTGGATGACTTTGACGTCAAAACTGAAACTAGTAGATTGAAAATGGTGGTTGTTGCCAATGAATCAAAAGATGTTATCATCAATCTGGTTGAGCCATCAGCTGACGACAAAGTTTCTCAGTTACACGAGTTTCTCAAATACAATAACGGATCTGGTATTCAACATATTGCCTTACGAACAGATAATATTGTAGCAACAGTAACAGGCTTAAGAGCTCGAGGTATTCAATTTCTTGATATTCCGGCTGATTATTATGTGAAACTTCGGAAAAGACTGGAATCGTCTAAAATTACAATCAAGGAATCTATTGATACTCTGGAAAAACTGCACATTTTGTGTGATTTCAATGAAAATGGCTATATTCTTCAATTATTCACCAAACCATTGTTTGATCGACCTACGACCTATCTAGAGATAATTCAGAGAAATAACCATTCTGGCTTTGGAGCTGGAAATGTACAAGCTTTGTATGAGGCAGTTGAAAGGTTACAAAAGCAGCGAGGCAACTTGTGAATCAACTCGAACCATCTTTGATTAATTTATCAACAATTAATTTTTGATAACTCTTGTATTTGTTTTTATAAATGGAGCAACCAGTACTTAGATCAAGTTTTTTATTTGCTAAATAATTAATTTTAAACTATGGAGTTAAAGAAGACGAAATAAAACTAAATTAATTTCTTTGAAAATTCATTTATACGTTAATTTATTTCTCGATTGTTCGGTCCAATAGAATGGTGTGTTTCATTAATCCTGGATAATTTTATAAAATTATCAGTCACTATTATTATCGAATGACTTCCAAGCGATCTCAGACTGTTAAGGCTTTTCAGGCTCATTTCTTAGATCAGTATCCAATTCGATTTTTGGTTTGCTACCAGATATACCTGAAGTTGACCTGAAACTTATAAATGAATATTTCAATTTCTGAATTATCTTTTCACTAATATGAAGCCTCATGACACTCATGTGTGGTCAGTAAGATTTAGTTTTAACATTTTTACTTTTGCTGATTAAAAGAGTCAAACAGCATTATTTGATATGAGATACACAACAATGCGTAGTCCAACAATGCAATTTGAACTGTTAAATACTTAGCTAGACTGTGATAATAAATTAATCAACGAAGAATAAAATTGTTCATAAGAAAAATGTTTCCGTTCTTAACAGACCTAGATGATTGGTTAGATTCGATATTCACTTCTAACCCAAAAATCAGTGACATATTTAACAACTGTGAAAGATTCAGCCATATCGATAAACATAAACTTGCCAAGGGTTTACTATTTGCTTTTGCTTTGTATATGACTTTTGGTGCCTTTGCTCAATTAATCTGCAACGTTGTTGGTTATGTTTATCCAGCAATAGAATCTTTAGAAGCTTTAGAAACGCCAGGAAATGAAGACGACCGTAAATGGTTAACATATTGGGTCGTTTTTGCCGCCTTTTCAGTCATTGAATTTTATTCGGATAAAATATTTCACGTGTTTCCAGTCTACTTTTTGGCCAAGCTTATTTTCCTAGTATGGGCATTTTGGCCATCTCCGAATAATGGTTCAATTCAGATTTATAATAAATTCATTCGACCCTTTTATCTGAAGAAAAGGAGTCCAGGTAAGTTTTGTTGTTCATTATCAGTATAAGTATTAGTGGCCATCAAGAAAACAGCTTGAAACATTTTTTTTTCATTTCATCAGTAGCGACCAATATTATGGATCTAAAAACAACAAGTCTACAAGTTGCATCAAAATCAACCCAAAAGGACGATAAGAATGCAATTATTGGGAAGAAAAGGTCACTTACATTATTCAAAAAGAGAAGCAAAGATTCACAATTGTCAGTGCAAAGTAAAAGTGATTTAGATAAAGTTCAAGTTGAGAACGAGGATGATGAAAACGAAGATCAAGTCTAACTGGAAATCAGACGCATCAGATGATTTTACACTTGTAAATATGGAAAATTGTTACTAAGGATATTAAAAAGATAATTTTATTTTAATTCCTATTGGATCCATTCAGAGTTTGTTAAACAAAATCAATTTTAGTTTTACAAATTAGAGAGTTTTCAAATATCTGGGTTGTCGGGTTTGTCATCGACTTCCAAAACTCGTGGACCATATAAAAGTAGATAAGCACAATGCCAATCACCTGAAAATTAATTGATCAAAAATAAATATAAATGTTGTAAATTATCGAAATATGAACACAAAGCTGATTCAGTGATTTAGAAAAATCTGAAAGATTCTTACCTCCACCTGAGAGTCTCAAAATATCATCAGTAGTTACTTGAGTAACATTATCATCATCACATTGGAACCATTCGTCTACATAAAAAAAATAAAATACATCAATTTCATTCAAGTTACTGCAAATAGACAGTTTCAAGTTTTGAAATATAAAATTCTATATAAAAGTCATATCACCTTTATTGCGCTTTATCCAAGCTAAATAATGACCACTGGCAATGTTTCTTCCTTTATGAGTTAGCACAGCCTGGAGTTCATAATAACCACTATTATTGGAACCAATATCATCTTTGAAATAATATGGATATTGATATTTTGGCTTTTCATCCTTTTTATCTCCTTTTTTGTCATCCTTTTTTCTATCAGCGTTCTGGCTTTCAGCAAGTAATTTATCTTCTTGTGCTTTGAATTTATTTCTCATTGGAAGTAACTTTTCTTGCAATTCAGGAGTACACATTTCAAAAACATCCAAAGTTAAACCAAATTTGATTTCTTTTAAGATTTTGGCCTCTCGTCCTTTGTATTCAAATCTCATAATTTGAATGGTAAGATAAGCAGGTAGACGAGCCAAAAGACTTTTTTTAGTGAAAAGACAATCTCTCTGGAGGGTAGGAGAAAATTTAGTTAATGTTTCTTCTAGAATGGAATATTTTAAGCCAGATTGTAGGTATTTGACTTCGTGGTTAGAAATAAAACAACTAAGGTGTAAGAACTTTTCCACCGTTTTGGTTTCCTCTTCAATCTCAGATTCTGCAAAATATAAAAGAAAGCATGAAAAAATTTTTCAATATAAAGATGCCAGAAAAATATTACCTGTATTTTTCATAGTGACCGCAAAATTTCCTTCAAAATATTGTTCAATGAAGTTTTGATTTTTGCTGGCTCTAGCTTCGGTTATATTATCACCAGTTCCTTGTTTATCAGATGTTTTAAGATCTTGTTGTAAAGACCTCATCAGACTTGTCCAGCATTCTGCTGCGTCATGTTGAATGAGATTACCATCAGGAGATTTCTCAGCAAACCTCGGAAATGCCATGTGGAATACGGTCAAGAAAACCATGGGAGCAACAACTGATCTTGATTCCATGGTACCAAAGAGATCACGCAAGGAAGCGGTGACATTTGGAGCAAAGCTGCCACTATCATGGCTATTGACAAACCTGAAAAAATTACGATAAACATTAAGTAAGCAATTTATGAGACTCAATTCTTGAACAGAACTTACTTAGTTATTGCTTCCTTAAGCTCGGGTATGGTCTTCAAACATTGGACTGTGGCATTTAGATAACAAGTATTACCTAAATTGGTCAAACCAGAAGGAAGATCAAGAGCCGTGGTTAGTTCATTTTCGCTCATATCTTCAATAAATTTGGGTTTTTCAATCGGTTCCTCAGGAATTTTGTCAGCGGTTCCCATCATCAAGAGAGTGATTCCCTTATAATAAACAAAATACGATTAAACAAATTATAACAAGGTACATTTATGAAAATATCAAAGTAAATCTTGTTTTAAATTTGAACATACATCCTTTATTTGATATGCATCCCATGATGCACCTGAAATTACTTTTCCCTTGAACATGAGTTTTTGCCTTTCAATCGGCACCGAGGTGAGCGCAAACACTTGAGCCTTAAAGACAGCAGTTTCCAAATCGGTGTCCAAATCAATTGCATCGTAAACTTCTTTACCCCATTTCACTTTAACTTTATTTGGAGAAAACAGATTATATAATATTCAAAGAGATAAAATATGTAAATGATGAAAAAGATATTCATAGACACAAATGGTGATTAGCTTGAAATGAAAAATTGGTCAAAATAAAAATGGATTTAAACCATGGAGTTAAACCGAGGAAAAGCTTGAAACGCTTACCTTTGTAAACAGGCATCTTTCTCAACAAATTTTAATGAATGTCGTGTAAAATCACAAGCAAATCAACTTAATTAAACTAATCCTAAGTGAAATGATAAAATTAAATAACAAATGTGTAAGAACTTTATTTATTGGGTAAGGTTTATTTATCCTTTGTGGTTATTGCGCAGTGGTTATTCTAATAGAGCGCGAATTTTATAATTATATTTCTGCAAATAAAATATTATTTTAGACAATTAAATATTGACATTGACTTTAAATCATATAATTAGACAAGAAATAAATTAATCATCAAGCGATTAGTATATCAAAACAATAATGGGTCTAATATATTTTGTTTTTACCAAATATTGAGCTTTATGTGGATGAAGCTCAACACAAGGCAAAATAATAGTCACCCATAGTTATGATTATCCCAGCAAATTTAAATATGCTCATCAGATTTAAAGTCATGGTTAAAACATGGCAGTTTTATCAATTATTTTGCTTATCATGATTCAGGTCAATTGAGGAAGTTGAGACGGTAGTCAAAAGAGACAAAATATGAATGACTAGCTTGATTATTAAGTCACCGGGTTCCACATAATTTCTATTCCTACTCACGACTTGGTAATTATAAGAACATTGACCCATGAAACCTGTTGAGTGGTCATCATCATATTTGTCATCATGCACATCACTGAATAGTCCCAAAATTGCAGATCATTTCCTTAGCCGTCGAAGTTTATTTAAGCTCAACAATTAGAGTTTAAGGTTGAAGATATCGGCTCACAGTCAGAGTGGAAATGTGTTTCAAAAATGTTAACGGCTATTTCTTTAGCAGTTGTGTTTTAACCCTTAATTTGATTTTTATTTCATTTGTGCTATCTGATAGTTCACCTAGTAATGTTACCCTCACGGATGACAATGGGACACTTCTTAACCTTGATTTTTCCGACATAGAGTATTATCCAGTCTCAAATTCATTGTCTTTTTATTCATCACCTTTATTCAACAACAAACAAACAAATGGAAGTGAATCCTCATCAATTGGTTCAGATAGTGAATTTAACCAAGAGTCGACAATTGTTTTATATTTGATTGATACAGTTAAATTTGATTCGGTTGATGAAGAGCGACCAAGAACTCTTGCCAATGCTAAATACATAGGAAGCCTTAGGAGACGCTATTCAACAGCTGATCTATCCAAGTATCTATTGACTTACAATGGCCGTAAAGTTTCTCGTGATCGTGAATTTAACAATTATCAAATCGAGAGGTTGATTGGTCAAGATAAGGAGAAAAAGATTTTGGCCTCGCTAAATGTCCAAAAGAAAGCTCCAATTGGTAGGAAGATTATTAGATTGGCATTAGCCCAGTCTTACAATCGAGGTAAACAGAGGACAATTTGGCTGACATACGATGCTATCTGGAAAGGCTCACCTTTGAAACATCTTGGTCAAGCTAGGACACTTGAAGGCTGGGCAATGATGTGGACTGATCCACAATAAATTTCCAAATCCTCTTACATCTTAAAATTTCAATTACTGTGAATAATTCATAACAAAACGTTTCTATTTCCGAATTTTTGATACAAGCACAAAACAAATGCAATAGAAGAAAAATTTTGGTTCAACCAAATAAATTCAAAATAAACGAATTACATTGATTCCTCATTTTCATTTCAATACAATGAGAAGTATAAAATATTTGGCATGAAAGTAACTCAACAGATTTGTAATATACTTACAGATACAATGAATTTTGTTGTAAATGCAGCTGAATTAAAGATAATTTTGGTTTATTTGGAACTGAAAATAAGGTCAATATTATTGGTTAATTAAAAATCTGTTGAATAACCTGACTTGTTGAAGGTGAATCTTGGTTGAGCACGAAAAAAAACAAAAAATTTGTCTTCATGATACATGACAAACTGCTGTCAGTTTTAATTGTTGTCAATTGTCTGTTGATACATCATATGTGTCAAAACAGCTTAATGTTGCCATGATTTTCATCATTAATTTTAATTAATGGAGAAGGAAAACTGGAATGATAAAATAGCATCTGAAGAGAGAGATTATATTGAAAACAATAGAGTTAATACACAATGAATGAGACAATTAATCTCTCTGGTAGTGAATAAAGTCCTAACCAGCATGCAACTGTAATTTGATATTAAATTAACTGTAGATCAATTTCCTGATTAGTTTTAGAGTTGATGTTTTTAATTTTTTCAATCTTAACTAAATGCCTAAACTGAGTAAATCAATATGTCCTAAATTACTGATTCCCCTAAAATTTTGGAAATATCATTCAAAAAGTAAAATCAAATCCAATATGGATAAAGAGTTTGCAGATTTTTTGGTTGATGTCGCAGCAAGTAACATTGATTCAACAACAATCATCATCAATGTAGACGAAATAGTGAAAAAAATTGTGCGTTGGTCCGAAAAAATGGCTGAAATAGACCCTTTCTACTTCGTCCAATGTAACCCTCATCCATTGATCATATCAATCATGTCAGCGTTCAACATATCCTTTAGCTGTTCATCAGTTGTAAGTACTTTAACCAGAATACTCGACTAAATAGTAAACCAATTTTGTCTTTACAGGCTGAAATTGAACGAGTTTTGTCCATTTCAGAAAAATCGCGAATCATCATTTCTAGTTTACACAAAACTCAAGATCTTTTGAAAAGCTCAAGCAAATACAACATCGAGTTTCTAGCAGCTGATTGTGACTTCGAGCTTCTCAAAATTAAATCAATGGCTCCTAAAGCAAATGTGTTGCTTCGACTTCAAATGCCTCGAAAACGAAGTGAAAAAATGGGCCTTGAAAGTCTACCAACCACCAAAGATTTAAAGTATGGACTATTTAGTCGAGCACAAATTGACAGAATGTTTCACATCGCGAAAGAGTCCAGCATTGAAATTACTGGAGTTACATTCAATGTTGGTACAAACTGTCAAGACCCTGAGCTATTTGATTTGGCAGTAGATGAGGCAATTAAATTGTTTGATATTGGACTGGCGAAGCAAGTTGATATGTGGCTATTGAACATCGGCGGTGGTTTTCCGAGCACTTTTATCAGTCAATCGGAAAACGATTACTTTTCAAAAATGTCTCGTGTCATTGAAAAGGCGCAGCGAAGGGAAAAGATCAAGATTATTGCTGAACCGGGAAGGTATTTTGTTGAGTCTTCTGTTTGGCTTATGGTTCGCATAATTGGTAAAAGAGTGATTGAAAGCATCAACGGTGATCAATATTGCCATTATCATGTAAACGAAAGCATCTTTGGTTTGCTTTCAGTTTATGCCAATAGAGAGTCACTGCCTCCACCTCATCCCTTTTATGATAAACAATCCCCACGCAATTATGTTAGTACAGTCATTTGGGGTAAAAATGGTTCCACCGATGATTTAATTATGTCTGACATTGTTTTACCCGAACTGGTAATTGGTGAATATTTAGCCTTTCAACAATGTGGTGCCTATCTGCCTCATACCAATTTAACGGGTTTACCAAACGATAAAGATTCTCAGCCAACAGCCAAATATTTCGCCTCACAAAAAACGCAATCGATTCTGAAAAATAAAGGAGTCATTTGGAGTGATTTAATGAAGAAATTGGAAAGTTATGATTGGGAAAGGAAGATTTTACTTACATGAACCAAATTTACTTTGATCATCTGAATATATGGACAATCAGACAAATGAATTAAGCTCAAATAAGTTAACTGTAGTTGTATAAATAACTAAATTCAATAAAAATATTGTATAAACTGAATTCTAGAAGTACTATGTATTGATTTAATGAATATTTTGCAAAGTTTAACCATCAAAGATGTTTAAAGTAAGCTAGAAAGACATATTTGTCATTATTTGCACAAATAGTTATTTTATTATGTGAAAACAGGTCAAGAATTAATTCCATCCGAATTAAAACTCTTTTAGTTTGTAGAGAAATGCAAACTGCGTCCAATCGAGTAACCAAAAAGTTTCTCTTATCAATATTTTTCGTGAAAAGCGAGTTCGAAGTTGAAACTTTGATCGCATTTTGTGCCATTATGGAAGCAGATTTTTTTATAAAACTCAGTTTGCTGGTGTAACTTTTAATGTCCAACCATGCAATGTAAATATTTTAAGAAATAAAAGTTTCTATCTTCTGTGAAACAGGTCGATTCGATTTTCATCTAAATCGACTTCTTTCTGTGACCGTTAGAGTTAGAAAGCTCAAACCTATTATAAAATGCATAAAAATTGGTTGTACACATCATTGATAAAATACTAACTTCAAGTTATGAATAGTTTCCTAGATTTTGGCTTTTGTTTCGCAAACTTTGACCCTCAATATTTCGAAAATAGTATCACCTACGGCCACCATTAATCGCACAAATATTAGATCTTATTATGGGCTATGTTATAATGCAATTTTTAACAGCCAAAATCAATTATAATTTTGTATATACTTAATTCTAGAAGCATTATGTATTGATTCAATGCATAATTTGAAAATAAACCATTAAAGTGTTTAAAGTAAGCTAGAAACACACAATTGTCATTTTTTATGCACAAATCATTATTTTATTAGGCGAAAATAAGGCAAGAATTAATTTCATCAGAATTTAAACTTTGTTAATTTGTAGAGCAATGCAAACTGCGTCCAATCGAGTAACTAAAATTTTTCTCTGATATACAGTTCTCGAGAAAATTGAGTTCGAAGTTGAAACTTTGATCGCATTTTGTGCCATTATGAAACCAGATTATTTCATAAAACTCATTTTCCTTGTGTAACTGGAAATGATCAACCATAAATTTTAATTATTTCGGGAAATAAAAGTTTCTGTTCAAAATAAAATAGATCACTTCGATTTTAAGTTAAACCGACTTTATTTTGTGACCCTAAGAATAAGAGGATTGAAACTTGGTATCGGTCCCTGAAAATTGGTCATACACAACATGGACTATGTAATTTTTAAAATTTACAATAAGTTCTCTAGATTTCGGGTATTGGGCGGAAAAATTTGAGCCTCAGTATTTCGAGAATTAAACCACCTACAATCGCCATTCTTTAATTTGACACTTGATTGCATTATGAGTGCTGATGACTTCATATCGAATTAGATCTGAACTAATCCGTTTAATAATGAAATCATTAGCACATAAGATTTAAGTTTGACTAATTATTTATTTTCATAAATAGAGTCTCAAACATGAAAACATAAGTAATAGTTTGCAATAACCTTTTTCCGGATGATTTTGCTTGAACGAAAATTTCAGCAAGTCATAGCTCAGTATAATGTCTAATTTTTGGCCGAAGAATGATAATTGTAGGGAATGCCATTCTTGAAATATTGAGGGTTAAAGTTTTTAGGTTAATGGGCAAAATTAAGAGAACTATTACTAAATTGTGCAAAATATTCAGTCCATCATGCGTGCCAACAGCTTTCCTAGCGGGATAATTAGCTACAGCTCTCGGACACTAACGGTCACAGAATAAAGTCGGTTTACCTGAAAATCGAAGTAATCTATTTTATTTTGAACTGAAAATTTTATTTCCCGGAATAAGTACAATTTGTGGTTGATCATTTCCAGTGACACAAGGAAAATGAGTTTTATGAAATAATCTGCTTCCATAAGCGTACAAAATGCGGCCAAAGTTTCAACTTCGAACTCAATTTTCTCGATAACTGTGCATCAGAGAAACTTTTTAGTTGCTCGATTGGACGCAGTTTGCATTGTCCTACAAACTAACAGAGATTAAATTAGATGACATTAATTCTCACCCTGTTTTCACCTAATAAAATAATGATTTTTGCATAAAAAATGACAATTGTGTGTTTCTTGCTTGCTTCAAACACTTTAATGGTTTATTTTCAAATTATGCATTGAATCAATACATAATGCTTCTAGAATTAAGTATATACAAAATTATAATTGATTTTGGCTGTTAAAAATTGCATTATAACATAGCCCATAATAAGATCTAATATTTGTGCGATTAATGGTGGCCGTAGGTGATACTATTTTCGAAATATTGAGGGTCAAAGTTTGCGAAACAAAAGCCAAAATCTAGGAAACTATTCATAACTTGAAGTTAGTATTTTATCAATGATGTGTACAACTTATTTTTATGCATTTTATAGTAAGTTTGGGCTCTCTAACACTAACGGTCACATAAAGAAGTCGATTTAACGCAAAATCGAAGTGACCTGTTTTACAGAAAATAGAAACTTTTATTTCTCAAAACATGTACATTTTATGGTTGATCATTTCCAGTTACACAAGGGAAATAAGTTTCAAGGAATAATCTGCTTCCATATACGTACAAAATGCGATCGAGTTTTCAACTTCGAACTCGATTTTCTTGCAAACTGTCTTTCAGATAAACTTTTAAATCGCACAAAAGTGTTCAGTTTGCATATCTATACAAACCAACAGAGTTCACATTTGAATTAAATAATTTTTTATCCTGTTTTGGCTACTTTAAAGCTCGCCTTTCCTTTGATATTAATTTTGTCTTTCTTGGTCACTGAACTGGACTTTTAGTTATTTTCAACATGTCATCATTAGACTATGGACGCCATAAATCCATATACTACGGCTGGTCCAAGCGAAGTGATCTTAACCTGAACTTGACTCGAAACTAACAGAAAATTACAACGCTGCTTTAATGATCAAATATTACTCGTTCAAAAAATCCCACGGATAATGAAACAGGATGAGGATAAGTTGATACGAGAATCTTTACATGTTTCAGTTATAAGGAATTGTATTGCCTGACACATTTGTCAACACTTGAGTTTATTTTTAATGTTAATCAGCTGAGGTTAAATCATGTTGAACATGAAAACAGTTTTAAATCAAATAGGACATCAATTGAATTACTTGATAGCTTTTTAAGCAGCCAATTTTGAGCAAACATTATCACAACCGTTAAAGTGTATGAAATACATTTTGCGATTCATTAGACTTCAGTCATTATTTCAATTTTATCCTTTACTTTGTATTATCATTACATCATGAAAGGAGTAAAGCAAAAATTAAAAAAAACACCAATTTTTCAATTCAAAATGCATCAATAATATAATGAACAGCATAATCATCAACAACAATAGTAATGATGAAAATGTTGATAATGATGATGACTCCGAATCACTTTTCGCTACTTGATTAGTATGCGTTTTCAACCTTTTCCCCGTTATATTTCATTATCATTATAATTTTGTCTGACTTCTTTCTTGCTTCAATTCTTTCCCTGATTGTAATTTAAGTTTAATGAGCCTGAAAGTTCTCACTTTAATGTACTCGCTAGTCAACAATTGTAGTCGTCAGTAGTTCAGGTAAATCTTGGTCTGTTCAGTTTAATTCATTTTCAACATTTCAAACCTCTTCTACTGTTGCCAGCAATAGTTGACTTTTTTCTGGTTACATTTCAATTTGTGGATAACCAAGTGAACCAATGATGATTACTCCATTGAAAAGTGATTTAATTGATGAAAAAGTTTCAAGTAAATATAAAAGATTGCGAACCGAAGCTGTCTGTGAACCTGCTATCATTGAAGGATTTTCATTCAAAGAGAAACCTTCTTGGTATGATGAAAATAAGTTCAAACGAGCCCAAAATTGGGCTTATCACCATTTTGTAAGGTGAGTTTCTTGATTTTGCTTTAGCGATTTACATTTAGGGCGAGTTCAAATTTTCATCTATCAAAATTTCTTAACAAAATACAGAATATTTCGATTTTTCCTTTAAAAGTTGTTTCATTTTTACCTGACTTACAAATTAAACCCATTTTCAACCTTTTAATGATTTCAACTGCTGTAAAATATTTATTATGCAAAAACAAGGTAAAAATGGACTTTAATTTAATTTAAACTCTGTGAGTTTGTAAGGACATAAAAACTGCGTCCATTTGTTCAATTAAAAAGTGTCTCTGATCAATAGTATTCGAGAAATTAGAGTTCGAAGTTAAAACTTTGATCGCATTTTATGCCATTATGGAAGCAGATTTTTACATAAATTTCCTTTTTCTGGTGTAACTGGAAATGATCAACCATAAATTGTACTTATTTTCGGGGAATAAAATTTTCTGTTCAAAATATAATAGATTAGTTCGATTTTCAAGTAAACCGACTTTATTCTGTGACCGTTAGAGTCCGAGAGCTGTAGCTAATTATCCCGCTAGGAAAGCTGTTGGCACGCATGATGGACTGAATATTTTTCACAATTTAGTAATAGTTCTCTTAATTTTGCCCATTAACCTAAAAACTTTAACCCTCAATATTTCAAGAATGGCATTCCCTACAATTATCATTCTTCTGCCAAAAATTAGACATTATACTAAGCTATGACTTGCTGAAATCTTAGATCATGCAAGATCATACGGAAAAAGGTTATTGCAAACTATTACTTATGTTTTCATGTTTGAGACTTTATTTATGAAAATGAATAATTAGTCAAACCCATATGTGCTATAATGATTTCATTATTGAACGAATTAGCTCAGATTTAATTCGGTGTGAATTCATATTATATCATAACTCATAATGCAATCTAGTGTCAAGTCAAAGAATGGTGATTGTAAGTGATTTAATTCTCGAAATACTGAGGCTCAAATTTTTCCGCTCAATACCTGTAATCTAGAGATCTGATTGTAAATTTGCAAAATTACAGAGTCCATGATGTGTGTGACCAATTTTCATGGACCGATACCAAGTTTCAATCCTCTTACTCTTACGGTCACAGAAAGAAATCGGTTTAAGTGAAAATCGAACTTATCTATTTCAAGTTGAACTGAGAAGTTTATTTCCCGAAATAAGTACAATTTATGGTTGATCATTTCCAGTTACACAAGGGAAATAAGTTTTATGAAAAAATCTGCTTCCATAATGGCACAAAATGCGATCAAAGTTTCGACTTCGAACTCAATTTTCTCAAGAACTGTGCATCAGAGAAACTTTTTAGTTGCTCGATTGGACGCAGTTTGCATTTCTTCACAAACTAACAGAGTTTAAATTCGGATGAAATTAATTCCCACCTTATTTTAACCTAATAAAATAATGATTTGTGCATAAAAATGACAATTGTGTCTTTCTAGCTTACTTTAAACACTTTAATGGTTAAACTTGCAAACTATGCATTCAATCAATACACAATCCTTCTAGAATTAAGTTTATACAAAATTGTAATTGAATTCAGCCGTTGAAAATTGCATTATGTCATAGCCCATAATAAGATCGAATGTTTGTGCGATGAATGGTGATCGTATGTGATACCATTTTTGAAATAATGAGGGTCAAAGTTTGCGAACCAAAAGCCAAAATCTAGGAAACTGTTCATAACTTGAAGGAAGTATTTCATCTATGATGTGGGCAACTTATTTTCATGCATTTTATAGTAAGTTTGGACTCTCTAACACTAACGGCCACATAAAGAAGTCGATTTAATTGAAAATCCTATTGACCTGTTTTACAGAAAAAAGAAACTTTTATTTCTCAAAACATGTACATTTTATGGTAAATTATCAAAAGTTACATCAGGAAAATAAGTTTCAAGAAAAAATCTTCTTCCATAAAGGTAGAAAGACCGTTCAAAGTTTAAAGTTCGAACTCGTTTTTCTCGATAACTGTCGTGCAAAGAAACTTTCAAACCACACAGACTGATTAAGTTTGCATTTCTCTTCAAACCAACAGAGTTCATATTTAATGAAATAAACTTTTACTTCGTTTTTACCCATTTTTGTCAAGTTTGACAATGTGACAATTGGGTTAAGTCTTTGCTTTAGCAAACCATTTCAAAGCTCTGCTTTCTCTTCGATATTAATTTTGTCTTTACTTTTACAGTGTTTTTCTTGGTCATTTAACCGGACTTTTAGTCGTTTTCAATATGCCATCGATGATACCACCAGTTGCTAAAACAAAAAGCCATTCAACAGCCGCAAAGCTTTTTAATCGTTACTTGGATACATTTAGACATGTTAAAATTTGGTAATAATCAAGTCCCTTTTTTAATCCAAAGCCTTGAATATGTTGTATGACTACTGGTTCAAAAGCTTTTCCAACGCACTTTGACTAACAGAAGCTTCCTAGAAGCTTTAGATTCAAAGATGGCTCAACCGGGTTGAGTAATTCACAGATTTTCAACAGGGTTGAAACAAAGGCTTTAACCAAAGTCAAGAGTTCAGTTCTCACGAATAGTCCTAGACTATTAATCACAATTGTAATACCTAGTATCACGAAGTAGTTTAACCAACCTAGTTGGTAAGGCAGAGTATTCCGGGAATACTCTCCAGCTATTCAGATTCCGAGAATCTAGATGAAATGAAGGACTTCACAATGATTGTCTAATTAACACAGTTTAATCTAATCAAAGCACTAATGTCACTTAAAAGTATTGATCAATTTAAAGGCTATTTATACAAGTAATTTACGGAAATCAAAATTAAGGATGTTATACAAAAAATAGAAAAGAAAAGGAAATACTGTATTTCCAGAGCAACAGCTCTCTTTAGCAACCCGGTTGCTAGTAACAGTTATCACAGAGCGCGAACATCAAATAGCACAACATTCCCCCCGACTGAAACTAGACCACCGGTCCATTAGCACCAAGCGTTACTTCCATTGATTGGCCATCCACAACCCGTTCACCGGGTGGAAAGGCAATCCAAAACGTTGGCCTATGACCCACTTGATGTTGTCTCAGAGTTTGGTGAGTTCCTAACACTGTGTAGTCAACTCGAATGATGGAACCCAGTTCCGTGTTGAAGTGACGCTCGATCCTGGATCTCAGCTCACTTGCTCTCATACCAAGGTCTAAATCGGTGAACCTTCTCGAGCGATTACCATATCGTACAATGACATGTGGTGATCCTCGGTACTGATTAGCACAGCGAATGTGGTTCATCATTCCTCTAGGTCTTGTATCCTGGCGAGCCTGGGCTAGTTCTTCACGAACCGCATCTCGTTCCATCATTAAATCGATCACTTGAGTGGATAGATTCTCGTTCCTCTCATTGAGGCTACGAATCCTGGATTCGAGCTCTCTAACATGTTCTCGACAATTATGTCCACGTTTAGGGACTCCACAATTCTCACAAGGAGCATTCGACTCCGGATTGTGTTCACAATTTGCGATGTGATTTCCTAAATCACCATAATTAACAATAACGTTGCAAGATTCATATTTACACCGTACTTGCAAACGATTTAGAGTTGCCAAATTCCTACGACCACCTTCCAAAGGTAAAGGTCCAATACCATTTCGCAGCAACTCATTCCTATTACACCGAAAAGGGCAATACTGATTGGCAGAGGCTTCCAGGAAGCGTGCAAAACAACTCGAGCAAAAGATCGTTGGGCAACCTGGTTGCGGTGAGGTTACATGAACCAACGGATCAACAGCTACATTCAGACAAGTTAGGCATTTGTAATCCTCAAACTCTTGAGGGTTAACCATTTGACGATGCGTCAGAACATTATCGTCGTCCACTAACTGCCATTCCTGAACAGGCGGTCCAGGTCGATTATCAGGACCAACAACCACGTTTGCACCAGCAACTACAAAAGGTTGTCTGGGTTGACCATCAGGGTCCCATCTCTGTGCCTCGAATATGATTTCAGGCAAATCACCACCATCGGCATCCTCCAAAGGCTCCCAATCAATATTCATTTTTATCACAATTTTCGGTGGTTGAACCCGGTTCAACAAACACAATAGATTCCGAGAATCTAACAAGAAGTATTCCGAGAATACAAGATGTATATCCAATATACAATAACACAAAAGTTCCAAGAGCTACTCAGTAGCCAAAAAGATCTCCAAGATCAAGAACGATGTTGAAGGTGTTCCCAGAACACAAATCTTAACAAGAGCAAAAGTACATCAACTTGATTAAAGCAATACAATTGCAACTAAAGCAAAATTAAACAATTAAACAAATTTCCAAATGAAATTAATAGATGAAGTTAGTAGAATAATTGTTCCCAGAACAATGAGGTTAACTTCCACTTCCAGTTGCGAGGGAAACAAATGTCAATGGTTACCGAGTAACCAAATGCAATGACCAAATGCACCTCCAAATTCAAAATTTACCAAATTAATTTATCAAAATACCCAAAACGAAAATAAATTAATTTAAACAGAAACAAGCATAATTAATTAAACCCAAGCATTTCCAGCAGTTCATCATCTGCCTCCTCATTCCTGGAATGAGTTCCATGATATGGCCGCAGCCTAGAAACATGAACAATTTCTTTCTTGACTGGCCCTTTTAGGTTAATCAATTCATAATTGACTGGATTTATCTTCTTAATTATTTTATAAGGTCCCTTGAACCTATCAATAAACTTCTTGTTTCTTCCTTTAACCAATAAAGGCTGTTTTACCAGAACAAGCGAATGCAAATCAAACTCTGTTTCCTTATGCGTTCGGTCGTACAACTCCTTTGACTTCGATTGAGACCTTTCAATGTTCGATCGAATCAATTCTCGAGCTTTTACCAAAGCATCTTCTCTCGTGGAAACTCGATTCCATTCAATTGGCAATCCAATCTTGGATTCCCAGGGAAGCCTGGCTTCCACACCATGAGCTAAATAAAATGGTGAATACTTAGTAACCCTATGAGGCGTCACATTGTATGCAAAAACAACTTCTTTCAGGAATTTATCCCACTCATTCGGATTGTTTCCACTGTAAATGCACAAAGTTGTACCCAAATAGGAATTAAATCGTTCAGTTTGTCCATCACTTTGAGGATGATAAGCTGATGTAGGCAAATGTCTAATGCCAAAACTTTTCAGAAAAGTTTCAAACTCCTCGGACATTAGGTTTGTCCCTCGATCAGTTATCAGAGTTCCTGGAACTCCAAATCTAAGTATCCAATCACTGAACAAAACTTCAACAATTTGTTCACTTTCAGTTGATTTCACTGCAGTTGCTACGGCGAACTTAGTTAATCGATCGTTGATCACCACAACATATTTGAAACCAGTTTTCGACATCGGTAGCTCCATAATATCCAAGCTTATGTCACAAAATACATTCTTTGGACATCTTATCGGAATCATTAATCCTTGGCTAGCTGCAGGATAAGGCTTTCTTCTCTGGCACTTATCACATTTTCGAATCATATTGGAAAGATCTTTGCACATTCCTGGCCAATAAGCTCGACACTTGAGTTTTTCCAAACATTTGTTCATACCCAAATGACCTTCATTATGAGCTTCGCTCATCACAAGAATTCTCAATTCTTTAGGAATAACAGGCACAAGTTCTTTTCCTCTTTTAAAGAACAAAATCTGATTCAGAATCAGAAACTTCTTTTTCAATCTGCTTTTTGCTCTCTTCGTTAACTCACTAGAGTTCAAAAGATCCCGGATCTTTAAGCAATAAGCATCTTTCAATTGCACATCCTTGAACTTCGCAACAGGTTCAATGTAACAAATTGAAATATCATTCTGATTCAATCTTCCTGGAAGATTAATCTCAACTTCATCATCATTACTGATCTCCTTTAGCGGATAGCGTGAAATGCAATCAGCATCTCCATGCAATCGTCCACTACGATACTTGACAACAAAATTAAACTCTTGCAATTTGATTGCCCACCGCATCAATCTCGGCGTCAGTCTTTTCGATGATGTGAACCAACATAACCCACAATGGTCTGTAACAACAGTAAATATGCGTCCAAACAAATAATGGCGTAACCTTTGTAAAGCCCAAACTATGGCTAAACACTCCTTTTCCGTCACTCCATAATTCTTCTCAGCGGGGTTCAAAGTACGGGAAATATAGCAGACAGGCTTTAAATTACCATCACTTTGACTTTGATATAAGACAGCTCCAATACCGTAATCGCAAGCATCGGTATGGATCTCGACTTTACCATCATTTTGAAAACATGCTAAAACAGGCTTACAAGTTATGACTCTTTTCAACTCCTCGTAAACTTTTCTTTCCCTTTCAGTCCAACTGAAAATAGCATTTTTCTTCAACATAATTGTTAACGGTCTAGCTAAATCACTAAATTTAGGAATAAATCTCCTAAAATAGCTACACAATCCAAGAAACTTTCTTATGTCTTTACAACTTTCAGGTTCCGGGAACCTCAGAACAGTTTCAATGTTACTTTGACTCGGAGAAATTCCAGCAGCACTAATATGATATCCTAGATAATCAATACTTTCACGGTTGAAGGAACATTTCTCTTTTCTTAGCTTTACATCAAACTTTCTCAAGCGTTCCAATACTTTTCTTAAGTTTAAATCATGCTCTTCCTCTGACTTACCAAAAATTAGTATGTCATCAAAGTAAATATAACATGAAATATAATTAAGTCCAGCGAGAACCCGGTTCATCGTTCGGACAGCAGTCGCAGGTGCATTCTTTAAACCAAAAGGCATTCTAGTAAACTCGTACAATCCTTGAGGAATCACAAATGCAGTCTTGCACTGATCTTCAGGTTTCATAGGAATATGCCAATACATAGCTGCAACGTCTAAAGATGAAAATCTTATACAACCTTCCAAGGCATCTAAAGCATCTTCAACTTTAGGGATAGGATACGGGTCCAAAGCAGTAATCGCATTCAGTTTGCGATAATCAACGCAAAACCGAGTTTGACCATTCTTCTTTCCAACAAGTACAATCGGACTTGCCCAAGAACTTTCGCTTGGAATCGCTATTCCATCCTTCAGCATATCGTTCAGCAATTTACCAATAGCTAGCTTTTCTGATACAGCAATCGGGTAATACTTCTGGTAAATCGGCGGATGATTACCTGTATCAATCGAATGAACTGCATCCGGGATGCAACCAACATCTCCTGGCGATCTACTGAAAACATCTTCAAATTCAGCAAGATCTACAACAGCAGCAGAAATAACCGAGTTATTCCCTGCACTTGAGTTCCTGGAACTCACAACAGAATTGATTGTTCGCCTTGTCTTCACGACCTCTCCATGAGGCTTAATCAATCTCACACTTTTATTCCCATAAGTTATCATAACATTATGGCGAGTGCAAAAGTCACTTCCCAACAACACATCTTGGGTTAACTTTTTCAGCACAATCAAACGAATTGGTATAACATGAAAATCTGCAACCAATTTACATTCAGTCCATCCATGCGGAACGTCCACGTTCGTATTTGCCATAGTCAATGGACCAAAACTCCATGCCTTCAAATCCAAACCACATCGAATCCTAAATGAGTCGCTGATTAGTGATACTCGGGCTCCTGTATCCACTAATGCTCTGCTTCTAACTCCATTTATTTCAATTGGCAATGTCGGCAATGACACATTTTCGAGAAATGAAGCCAACGTCAAGGGTAAATCTGATGAATGAATACCAATCTCACTGGTTATCATCTGCCAATCATCTCTGAAACTCCTTAATGCTTCATCCTCATTCCGTACTCCCTGAGTACCTGATGTTCCTGGAACATCTCTTCCATTTTCCAATGTTCCCTGAACACTAGCGTTTGACACTCTCTGAGCATCTGATGTTCCTCGAACATCTCCAACAATAGCTGAAGCAACAACAGCAGCACCTCGTTGGTTCTTCAATTGTAAAGAATTAGCCTTTACTTTAGCAGCATCATAAACTTCAGGACAATGTTTCATGAAATGTCCAGATTTCATACAATTATAACAAATAACTGTAGAAGGATCTTTTCTCTTGAACACTTTGTTCGCTTTATCATGCGGCTTGTCTTGCTTCTCTTCTTTACTCTTTTGGCTAGGCTTTGACTCATTCGACTTTGAGTCAACCTTTCGACCTTTTTCAATGATAGCATCATTGACTGAAATCAAATGTTCGAGAACTTCTAAAGTTCTACGACCAATCAAAGACGATGTGAAAGTACTCCTCATTGCAGGTTCCAAACCTCTGAGTGTATGAGTAATAATTTCACTCTCCGTCATATCTGGATTAAAGTCCATACACAATGCTAAGACAGAATGCCAATAGGCAGATAATCTCTCAGTCTTTTGATGAACCCGGTTCATCAACTTTTGATATATCGCATGCCTATCCTCGTCCTTAACATAGGTTGCTAGAAACAGTTGTTTAAACTGCATCCACGATTGACCTTTTCCAGCAGTCTTAAGTAGATAAATATACCAATACCAAGTCGATGCTTCATCTTTCATAGCTGCACCAACTCCTCGTATAAGTTCACCTTCAGTCCAGTAATTCAAAGCAGCAACTTCTTCGTACCTCCTTAACCAACTCGCGGCTTTCTCATGCTCACCATGAAATTGAGGCAACGGAACTGCTTTCATTAGAGCACCTCGAGCTCTTTCACCAGTTTCATTTGTAGAAAACTCATCCAGAAAGGAATGAATTCTCCTATTACCAGGTAACTGAGAATCAGATTCTCCAGTAGGATTCAGGGAATCCTCTAAACCTGTAGATTCTTTCGATGATGTTGGTGTTCCCTGAACACGCAACTTATTGCTCTCAAGCAATTTCTCTTTATCACTTCTCTGCTTTTCAGAAACTCGCAAGGCGTGAATCATATTCACATGATCATTCTGAGTTTTTCTAACATCAGCTAAATCTTTCATGAGAATTTCTAAATTCGTACCTTGAGATTGCAGAGCTGTCAAGACTTCTCCCAAAGTCTTTTGTGTCTCCTGCTGAGTCTTTTCCATATTAGCCAAAGACTTCTGAAAGACATTATTGTTGTGTTTCAGAGCCTCGATCGTTTCAGGCGATATGGTTGGCTTAGATTGTTGTTGCCTTTGTTGTTGAGGGACGAGCGGATCTTTATCATTCATTTTGAATTCCGGGAATTCTACTGAGTGTTACACTGTAACCAGAACAGACTTAGCACAGAACAATAGAATTCAGCAAACAATATCAGCAAACCAATAACGAATTCCACAAGCGTAAGTTCTAACAGCATAGGATTCCGAATCCAAAACACCAATCTCCCCCCACACAGAGACAAAAGCACCACCAAAAAAAACAAAACCACTACAATAGAGCACAGCTTAACACGAGAATCTCACAAATCGAAGGGCATCTCCACCAAATGTTGTATGACTACTGGTTCAAAAGCTTTTCCAACGCACTTTGACTAACAGAAGCTTCCTAGAAGCTTTAGATTCAAAGATGGCTCAACCGGGTTGAGTAATTCACAGATTTTCAACAGGGTTGAAACAAAGGCTTTAACCAAAGTCAAGAGTTCAGTTCTCACGAATAGTCCTAGACTATTAATCACAATTGTAATACCTAGTATCACGAAGTAGTTTAACCAACCTAGTTGGTAAGGCAGAGTATTCCGGGAATACTCTCCAGCTATTCAGATTCCGAGAATCTAGATGAAATGAAGGACTTCACAATGATTGTCTAATTAACACAGTTTAATCTAATCAAAGCACTAATGTCACTTAAAAGTATTGATCAATTTAAAGGCTATTTATACAAGTAATTTACGGAAATCAAAATTAAGGATGTTATACAAAAAATAGAAAAGAAAAGGAAATACTGTATTTCCAGAGCAACAGCTCTCTTTAGCAACCCGGTTGCTAGTAACAGTTATCACAGAGCGCGAACATCAAATAGCACAACAAATACAATTAAGGAAAATAATTAATCATAAAAATGTCCTTTTTGTCCATTTTAGGTACGAATCTGACCCTTTCAAAGAAGGCAGTGAAGCCAACAAGTCACTTCGTAAGATCAATACTTTGCACTGTAACATTGTCAAATCAATGAATGGATTGGTTCCTAAAGAGTCGAGTGAACCAATTTGGGTTACCCAATATGACATGGCTCTTATCCTTTGGTCAATCATGGCACCAATTGTTTTGTTTCCTCGTAAATGTGGAATCCATGAGATAACTCGATCTCAGATGGAAGATTTAATCCACTTTTGGGCTGTTCTTGCCTACACTTTAGGAATTAAAGATGAAAACAATATAATGTTGTCCGATTACGATGAAACTTTTGCCATTTGTGATATGATTTTGGCTAAAGATGTTCGTCCAGTTTCAAAGGAACGCAAATATCCATCTGATCATGGTTTTGAAGTATCAAAGGTATTGGCAGTTGCAATTCAACCTTTAGCTCCAATCGTTTCCCTTCAAGGTTTAATGCGCCAATGGTACAGAATTTTTGGAATCACTGCTTCAGTTCCAGTTGAACACAAGTTTGGCTACAAATCAATGGTAACTCTGGCTGATACTTTACTTAAATACACAGTATTCCGATGGATGTTTGCAGCCTTACTTAAATTCATGTTGATCCTGAGAACCTGGCAAAGAGCCAAGATAACGGCAACCATGAACACTCTTTATCCTGATGAAGTTCATCCCGATGTTGATCCGCATTCATTCACACCCAAAGAGTTGCTTGCATATTGATAAACTAAAAGTTTAACCAAGTAACCTAAAAGGTGAAACACATTTATTGTTAACCAGAAAATTGTCTCTTTTCCCATAGACATTAAAATGTTATTTTTTCAGATATTTTCATTTCTATTTTCGTTATTTCCCTGAAATCAAAGGAAAAAATCTTCACCAATCCATGAAATTACCTTAATTTAAGAGAATCAAAGATTCAATTGAGATTTCTATCGTCTTTCAAGACTTAACATTTCCATTTCTCCTTTAGTTTCAAGTCAATTACAGTTGTATGTTTAGTTTGCCGTGTCAATGCGATCGTGTTTGCTTTTGATTTCAGCTAATTTGAATATTCTGACTTTAAAAATAGAGCAAAGTGTTTATAATATTTTATATTTTCATGAAAATGAAAACACGATTAATCCTAAAACCTGACTTTTAAAAAGCATGTTTCAGATTGAACCCCAAAAAAGTGTCATTTCATCTCACCCAAAGTAAAACCTTAAGCCATCTTCAATTCAATCTATCAGTTAAGGTCAAACAAAAATGGTCAAAAGTCATCTCTAAGAATAAAGATTATATGAGATTAAATCTGATAGGATTTGAAATTCCCAGGATTTCTCCATTATGATGATGAAAAAATAATATTGATCAATATTGCTAAACCTTTGGTCGCCATTGAAATGAAATTCATCAAATAATCTCAATGATTAGTGGTCTACATTTTGTCAGCATCTATATCAACCTATTGCAGGTATGAATATCACAATAGACATAATTCAATGATAACATTATTATTGTCAAGTCAAGAGGTTTTCATTCAATTGATATTGCTAATTTTGGATAGCAGATGAGATCGATGAATCGTTCAATTGTAACCCAAACTTGTATCAAAAAGGGATTATTATTTTGTCAATTGAATACAGCCAATTGTGATTGTTCAAACACTTATCATTGTAACATTATGATCAAATTTAATCATCTCAATGTCAATCAATAGCAATTGGACAATTTCAATTTTTTGTTCCTTCAGTTGCTTATAAATCTAATTATGCAAGGAAAACATTCATTGAAAGTTATCATTATTTGCCTTCCCAGACAATATATTTTATCAAACGAAATATAATGAAAGCTAACATTTAATTTACCCAATTAAGGTTCAATATTAAATTAGGTTTGTTTAAATTGTCAATTTCATCTTTTTCCCATTTCTCTTGAATAACCTTAAAAAAGGTAAATAATGATTTTAACATGAAGAAGCTCATTTAAATAATATCGTTTTAAACAACCTTTTTTAATTGTCTTCATTAAGGTATAGCAATAGACGAGCATTAATTTTCAACTCTTTTAATAGTCAAAGATTGATCATGAATTGTTTAACCTTTCAAATGTATATTTACATATTTTTAAATGATAAATTTAGACTTGAATAATTTCTTGATGAAACCTATTTTCATGTTGGATGTTAGACTTGGTTATCATATGATATTTCAACAGCGGAATTGAATTTTGTAAATAAGTGTCTATTAAACTGTAACCGGACTTCCGATGATCTGAATGATTATCATTTTTTCATATTTCTGGGATTCACTTTTAACCTTATCTTGTTTAAGATGGGGAAGGATGGAGGCAACAATTCCAGTGGATGGGAAAAGATGATGATAATCATAATAGGATGAGAGTAAACAATGCTCTTGAGTAAGTTTCATTTGCGCACTTTAATCATTTGATTCACTTAAACTGGATCCTTATAAACTAGGCAAAACCCTATAATATAGTTAAATTTACAGCAACAATTTGGTCTCACAATTTGTTCATCTCAATCTAAACCAACGGTTTTTGTGCATTTCAAATACGATATCTGGTTAAGCTGGTCTAATACTTGATCCAACAACAAGTCCTATCAACTTTCCCTATCAACCTGCTTGTAACGCGTTTTCTGGTTACAAGTTATCTTGTCTTTTAATTGTTGTTTTATTAATTGTAATTTTGATTCCAAGTGAAAAACCAGTTTAATTATACAATCAGCTAATTATGTTGGTACAATTGAAGATGATTAAAGGAACAATACAATCTGCTGCTGTGCTTTTAGTTATTTCACTTTTCATTTTACTTCTTCTGACTCTGGATGCTTCAGCAAAGGTTGGTACTTATTTGGTTTTTTCATTTCAATTAATTCTCAATTGGTGTTGTTAATTGTTGCTTGCTAATTTGTTTATTGTTGACCACAATCTGTTAATTTCCCTTGGATAATCTGCTTGTTCAGTTGAATTGTCCGGTAATTAGTCTTTTCCTATGTTTTGACGACGTGCTTTTTTGTCTCTTTTGTGTAACAATAGGAGGACTCATCATATGGTAAAGAGCCTCTTGGTAATTATTTGCGGATGCCAATAAGAAGAGGTAAGTCTTGATTAATTAATTTCTTCTCAATTTTGGTTGTTAATTTAATTTCTTTATTGTCTATTATTGTTTCTCCTTTATTCCTGTTGCTTCCTTTGGTCCATTAATTGTAGCTGGATACATGAGACCATGGAAATTTTTGTATCGTTCACAAGATAATGATTATGATGCTGATCGTGAGATTGGTTGGCCATTTATACCTAAAAGATCTGGTGTTGATCCTTTATTTGGAGTAACTGTTGGTAAACGATCAATTGTTCAATTACCTCTAAATGATCAAGCTGACTATCAATCACAATAAGTCTTGGATAACCATCACAACCAAGCAAAACCCAAAACTCACCACCAATTTTCATCATAAATCACGACAATCTTCACTATTAAGGATACTCATAAGAAGGGAGTTATTAAGCAAACAAGCAGTTTAATCAAAATGTTATTCTCTCTCAATCAAAATGGACTATTTAATCATTTCAATTCACTTGTATTGGGTTAATCTGATCATAATGAAGACAAAAATCAATGCAATCTAAATAAAGGGAAAACAATTATGGTTTTTGTTTCAATCCAACCTTTGGTTAAAGTTTAATTTGAATAATTTTCATTCCACTTTCATTTCTGATCCAAATTTTGTTTTTAATCAAATTTCTGGCAAATTGGTTCATTTATTGTTGTATCAAATGATTGTATCATTGAAATAATTATTTTGCAAGTTATCCTTTGTCAATGTTTATCCAACTCATCAATTTTACATATTATTTTGAACATTTTCATTCATTTAAATAAAACAATGGGATTAAATCAAAGTCTACCAATCATTTCAATCAATGTTGAACAATTTAACAATCTCTTAATCTTACAACTTGCCAAAGTCAAGCATAAAATGAGGATTTACCTGTGAATATGCAGGACAATCAACAAAATTTCAAAATTCAATATCTCAAAGTAAACACAAGTAAAACCTTGAGTAAACTGGTAAATCCTGGTTCATTTGAATATTCTGAAACCCAAAAATGATCTCTATAATTGTATAACATCAATAATTCATGGGTTCAATGAGGTTTGACAATCTGATGTTCAATGTTTAATGTAAAGATTTAACTTGGACCAGAATACTATTAACCATTATCCTTATTCAATTTCTACCCTTTTCTCAATCATTCAATTGTCTTCTAAATATATCTTGAGCAATTTAAATTGTGTAGCCTGGTTGACAATGAGACAAGTTGAACAAAAAAAACACCAAATTAGTAAACAAATATTAGAGGAATCTTATTTTATTAGATTTTTTCACATTCATTGAAATATCACTTGAATCAACAGTTGAGTAAACAGTTGGTAATCAATTTAACCAAAAATAAAAGGTTCAACAGTTAAGTGATGAAAACAAGATTCAAATTTGAAAAGGCATCAAGAGCGTTAAGAGTTGTTCATTTTTCCTCTCCAAACTAGATTTACCTCATTTTTACCACTTTCCTGGTTAACCTATGATTAGGTTAAATTACATTTTACAAAATTTACATTCAATTTTCAAGCCTTCAGATATGAATCAAATACTTCAAGTCTCTGACGCAGTTAATGTTGACAAAAATGAAATCTCAAAAATGGGTACTTTGGGTTGTTAGTTGGGTTTAGGTTAGGTTTAGGTTAGATTAATCACACAATGGATTGTTTTTTTTGATTAAACACATTTATCACTATCAATGAACCAAACTGTTCAGCAACTGATAGTATCTAAATCAGCCTCGGGTCAATATAATTAAACAATAGCTGATGAAGCATTGCTCTATTAGATGGACACTTGTTTACATTTGCCTTTTTCTGGTATATTTGAAAAGCCAATCAATTCAGGCCGATTTAATGAGTTCAAATCAGCTTGCGTCAGCTGAAATTCATCAAATTGATGTTGGTCTAGACTCTGGACTCTGTGAATGAAAATTGTAAAGGATTCCAAAACATCGTACTTTGAATTGGGAAAGAACCAGTTGGTTTCAAAATTTAGCTCGATTGATATGATTTGGAATATATTTAATCGCACAAATGAATTTGCTCAATTAGTTAATGAGTCTATTGTTTGATAGATAACGAAGAAGCTAGAAAATTTAATTGTCGCAGGATTCCCCAAATAAGAAGTGAAGCTTTTAAATGTAAACTTGTTAACATGAGTGATTCAGTAAACTTTAACATTTCATTTGGTTTGACACATTTTAATGTTGACTATTTGCAAATTGAATGAATTGCCTAATAACTCATAAATTTTACTGGTAAATTGGCTAAATTTAGGTGTTTTTGGGTTGTCAATCAAAATGATTTGTAAAGTTTTTAATATTTCATAATTGATTTCAAATATATCATTATTATTTGTAATTCATTTGTTTAACAAAATTCTGCTGAACTGTTGTTCATTAGATAAATTTGTAAATTGCTGACAATCTCAAATTCATTTTGACGTTTCTTTTTCAAAAGAAACTTCCAGCTTTCCCTTGTACTGAGAAAATTATTTTTATCACTATTTGGATGCACATGAGGAAATTTCAGACTTCATACTTTCAATTCATTAACTCGCCAATGTCTAACCTTTGTCCATTTATTCTCAATGGTATCAAAAATTCGTAGATTAAATGGACATTTCACTTTAATTTTAACAATTTTCATCATATTCTTCATCTAAAATATTAATACCGTTTTGGTATCTTTCTGTCAAAATTTCTCCGCACTCAAAAGGTAAATTTTCTGTTAATCGCAAATGAAAGGTTTGGGCCTGAATGTCACCCCAAAAATATTCAAATTTTTAGAACCCGGTCCTGAAACTCAGGAAAAGCAGATGAAAAAGAGACTAAAATATACAGTAAAAAAGAAAGACAAAATGACACTTAACATTGTTGTACATTTGAATACGCAATATGTTCATATATGAAGTCAAAAAATCAAATTTTTGTGCAAGGAAAACTTTTACGCAATCTGAAAGTTATGGTTTAACTACATGTCCGAAAAACTATCAAAGCTTAATCAGAATTCAGGTTACTAAGAAAGGAATTTGCATAAAACTTTGAATTTTGAAAAATGCTATTCTATACATTGTATTAACATGAAAAACGATGCGCATCAATTTGCAAGACTAAACATTTTTGAACGTCTATCCATAGACATTCAATTTGAATTAATTTCGGTATTTTGATATCAAAATGAAACAAAAAAGTCTACAACACCGGGGGTTCCCAAGTGGTCTCCCTCCCAAGTACTAACCCGGCCCGAAACTGCTTAACTTCGGAGATCGGACGGGATCCGGTGTTTTCAGTCTGATGTGGTCGTGCATGCTTATTTTTGAGCTCTCCAGTATTTTGTATTTATTAGTGATTTATTAAATTGTTAATTAGTTGATTTATATATTTTTGAACTCGTGAAGTAATAGGGAATCTGGTGGTGTAAAGTAAATAAAGATTTTACTTACATTTCAATTAGTAAATTGTGTTTGAAATTTTCGGTCTCCACCCCCACTGTTTACATGTCATCTGTCAGCATGGAAACCCACATAGAGATGTGTGTGGCAACCGAATTGGTCAATACGATTGAAGGTGACCAACGTCTCCTTCCAGCAATGGCAAAGATGAACTTACCTAAGAATGGCCATGAACTTCTTCTTGCTGTCTCCAAACTCACAGCTTTGCTTGAAAAATTGGGTAAAGATTCGAAGATGGATCAAGCTGAAAAATTCCGTCAAGCCAAAAGAGTAGGGATCTGTATGGCAAAAATGGTTGAAGTTAGAGAAGATGAAGAAAAGGTCATCAGAAAGGCTGCTGATAGCATGATTGAAATGGTAAAAAACAGGATGACTGAGAAGAGATCCTATGCTCAAATTGTTCAAGATGGAATCAAAGTGAAACAAGTCAAGAAAAATGGCGCCAACAGAGAAAGAGTTATCTTCATCAAGTCAAAGAACAAAAGAGGTGAACTTCTTCCGAGCTCAACCTACAAACACAAAGTGGAGGAGGCTCTGATCAAGGGTAAAGCTACAGTTGAATTTAAGAAAGAGAATGAAACCTCGATAATGGTAATTGGTGTTACAAATGAGGACGCAAAAACCCTCGAAACTAAGATCAAAAAAGATTACAAAGACTTGGTGGTTGAAAAACCAAAAAGGAAACAACCAAGAATCATTATTCGAGGACTTGACGTTGGTGAGATATGCAATGGAAAGGAAATGAATGACGAGGAGCTTCTCAATGTTATCTGTGAAACAAACGAGTGGAAGAAAGAAGATGTCGATGAAGAGACTGTAAAGTTACTGAAAGCTTACCAGACAAAAACAAGAACCGGGAAAATCCTCAGAAACATCATCATTGCCATTCCAGATCGTATTCGTGACTCCTTGGATAAAACTGGTGGAAAAATTAAAGCTGGTTTTCGACTGGTAAAAGTTGAGGATACCTTCAACAATCGAATGTGTTTGAATTGTTTAGCTGATGATGGACATAAAAAGGTTACTTGTAAAGGCCATAAACGGTGTAAGCGATGTGGTGAACATGATCATGACGAAACGACCTGCAAAGCCTCTAAACCAACATGTTTTAGATGTAAAACAAATGGACATCCAAGCGATCATCACTGTATGTCTCGTCAATGTCCTGTGATCCAAAAAGAGATTGAAATTTCAATGGCGACTGCTGATTACAAGTACAAGACCTTATATTAATAATGGAAATATATCAAATTAATTTAGCAAATTCACAACTAGCAACAACAAACATCTTGGATCATATAAATCAATCAAAAAAGACAATCTTTCTACTGTCAGAACCAAATGAAAACACCTTACTTCAACTACAACTAAACAACTATCAAGTAATCAGTCATGGCAGAAGTGCAATCTTATCCAAACTACCGATAAAGAAACTATGGAACGCTGAAATGAAAGACACATGTGTTGGACTGATTGATGACCTTGTTATTGTTTCAGTTTACTTATCACCAAATCAGACTCAATTGTTGTATGAGAAAGAGATCAAGAAATTGAACACGATAATAAACAGAAATAAACACAAACACATCTGTATTGGTGGCGATGTAAATGCAATCAATCCACTCTGGTCTTATCGGTCGAACTACTCTCATGTTTCAAATGAAAATAAATCAAAAGTAAAAGGTGAAACATTAGCTAATTTGATCAAGACGAATAATCTGAACGTGACAGTCAGACCAAATGAAGACAACTTTACGTATGTAAAAAGAGACAATGAAAACATGAAATCATGGTTGGATATAATCGTCGTTGACTCCAACACTGCTAAGTACACTCAACACGTCAAGATCCTGGATTGGCCTGGTACTGATCATCGAGCGAATCTAATACGTATTGATGTGAAAAAATCACAATTGACTGAAATAGAAAGAAAAGTATTAAACAACAGGAGAATGTTGGAGAAGATTGACAACTGGATCCCACCATCAATTGACGGAAGCCCAATATCCAACATCAAAATCGACCAAATCTGTCAACAAATAATAGATGAAGTCCTAGAAATGAAAGAAGAATGTATGATAACAAGGAGAGAAAGAAAACTATGGTACAGCAATGAATTAAAGAGATACAAGCTCAGGCTAAAAATGCTCAAAAGAATTGGTATTACAAGAAAAAATGAACATTACAGAGCACTGGATAATGAATATAAGAGAAAGATAGCCATTGAGAAGAACAAGCAACTCAAAGAGATTATTGACAAGAATACAAACAATCCATGGAATGTGATTAACAAAATAATCAAGACAAACAACAACAACGAGGACGAAGATCATTGCTACTGGCTGACAACAGAAAAGTATCAAAAAGACTGTGAACAGAAAATGTCGACATTATCCGACACCCCAGCAAAATTGACAACGAAATACATTAACAACAATCAATATCGGTTGGAAAAGCATATTGACCGAGAAGACCTCATCAAAACTCTATCATCAGTCAAAAATGTTGCTGCTGGAATTGAAGAGGTTAAAAGCAATCTTTTGAAAATATTAATGAAGAAAAACATTGATTATTTTACCCTGCTTTACAACCAAATCATTTCATCTCAACATTTCCCAACACCATGGAAAATTGGAAGAGGAGTGATGATTCCAAAGGCGAGTGGAGACAAGGCCAGGTTAATCCACATCCAATGTTTTTATGGTAAAATACTGGAAAAAATAATATCAAAACAGTTGATAAATCAAACACCCGAAGACATTTGGCAACATCAATTTGCTTATCAAACTGGAAAATCGAGGGACGATGCAATAGAAACACTCACTGAACATTTACCTGAAAGATATTCAAACAAGAGAATAGTGGCCGGACTCTTTGCAGTCGATGTCAAAGGAGCCTTTGATAACATATCGAGAACAGCAATTTTTGAGACCATTGAAACATTTAATTTACATGAAAATTACAAGCAACTTATCAAAAGCTTTCTGACTGAGAGACACACGGTAATTACTTACCTGGGAAGAAAAGGATGGAGAGAAGAAAAGGATGGAGTTCCTCAGGGTTCGGTACTTGGACCAATACTGTACATCATTGGTTCTTCTCGTCCAATTCAACAAGCTATAAACTCAATCGAACGAAGTGGCTTAACAAACATTCAACCAGCAATATATGCCGACGATATTTCCTTCATTGTAACAGCTTGGTCGAGAAAGAAGATGGAACAAGTATCTAAACAAGTGATAACAAATTTGAATAAAAATTTGAAATCTATCAAGCTTGAACTGGAACCGCAAAAAACTCAATTCATGCTGCTCAGAGGATACAACAAAAATGGTTCAAAAGTTACACTCGATGAGCTTCAACTAACTGAAAAAGACAATATCAAAATCCTTGGCTACATGTTTGGAAAAAACAATCAAAAAATTCATCATTGGAACTATATCAAGTCAAAAATCAAGAGTATTTATGACAATGTAGCATTGAATCAAAATAGACTAGCAAAACTTCCGGACAAATGGAAGAAATTAATAATTTATTCATTTGTTTACTCACAAATCGGAGGTTTACCTAAATCAACATTTCAAGACTTGACTGTAAAAACATACAGAGAACTAGCCTTACGTCTGACATCAAAGGTAATCAAAAAGATATGGCACCAGAATCCATCATTGGCCAACATTACATCTCTGGCGATCGCGAAAATTGAACCTCCATGGGAATTTATACTACGAATAATAACTAAACAAGCGGAAAAAAGCGAAGCAACAAAAACAAAGCTTTTAAGTTTTGTCAACCAGCATCAAAACGCTTCCACACAAGAACAAAATATAACATCAATAGAAAAACAATTAGCTGAAATAAGCTCAAAATGGATTGAGGAATACAGCAATGGCTTGGACTGGGTTGATTCGAACCGATCCGAAATCTTTTCAGTCGTCAAGAAGTTTGGACGCAGGTATATGAGCAGCTGGAAAGCTTTAAGTTTTATGGCCGGCTCATATTACTACCTCAGTCAAGACGAAAATGGTGATAAAGAAGAATGTTGGTGCAAAAATGAACTCAAAACACCGAGCCATTGGATATTGTCATGTCCAATTACAGAGGAAACAAGGCTGAGACATTTTGGTAAACATTTACTGTCAAAAGAAGACATCAAACAGTTAATCAAAAAGCAAGGAAGAGAAGCCAAGCCACTGGAAACGTACATCTGGAATGTAATGAATCTGATAACGAAAAAATTTAACGACAAATAGTGTGAACAAGCTATTTCAAGCGAGTCAATTTCACTAACAGATCTCTGAATAATGAATATAATCAATCATTTAATTCATTGACTGATCAAGTGACCACTCATAATGAAAAAGTTAATGAAGATAAAAGTCTAGAATAATTAGAAAAAGACGTTTTTTACTCATAAAAACGATCTGGATAGAGGCAAATTTTAAATAGAAAAGATATTTTAAATTAACACCAAAAATGGAGACCGGTGCAAGTGTCAGGAAGAGCCATAGTCAATAAGACATTTCGAGGCAATCAACCTGACATCACTTAGTGTCTTCATCTCAAAAAAGACCTCGAAACATTGCAATCTCTGAATTTAAAAAAACGTCTCATTGACTTGAACAATACAAAAATCTTCATTAACTTTCAACTAACAATCAAACTAACCCAACTAACATTGAAATGTAAAACTCAATACCGAAAAAACTCTTACAAAAGTTGTATTGATGCAGGCACCAGAAATGGTGTTGTAAATGCCTTTACGCGGGCGAAACTCCTGCATCTTGTTTACCCTGTAAGCGAAACCTTATATAATTATTTCAATAAACATGGTCGTAGACACAAGCAATGTTCAATACTGCAATATAAACATGAAGACTTATTTCAACAGCCAATTTCAAATTTTTTTTCAGTAAGCTCAGATCCGTAATTTTAGCAAGAAAAGGTGCATAGAAAACTTTTCAATAAAATGACTCGAATTAACGAATTTCTAGGTTGACTTTGTAGGTTTGTATGGACATAAAAACTGGATAAAATAACATAAAATCCATTAAAAAGTGTTATTCTGGTTTATATTAATACCAGACTGTTGAACGCATTTTTACGCCTATTCGTGCTTATATTTTTAGAACTGTTGAGCTAAAGGCTTCATATTTTAACTGTGATCTGCTCAATATTGAAGTGTATAAAATTTCGAATTTCAAGATAATCCAAGGTTCTTTAAGTAAGAAAGTATGGATTTTAAATGTTTTTCCAATTATTTTTAAGGCATTACAATCAATCGACGCTTGAACTTCCACGAGTTAATTTTTCGTTATCTTATGCTTTAATTTACTGGAAATTCTCTCACCGATTTCGGTTAATTTGAAAAATGAAAAATCTAAGTTATTAAATAAAAATCGCGGCCCTTAAACATTTTTCCCTTTCTGTGTTTTCTTGTTGAAATAAAATTATTGAATTTATTTAAGAAGTTAAATTTTTCGTATTTGGCGCTTCTAGATTCTGTTGTTTTGCTTGCTGTTTTGGTCATGTTTCCAAAATGTTTCCAACCAAATCTTGCATTTAGTTTTTCAATGAGTTTTATTTTGTCTTTTATAATTTAATTTGATGACGATTTCGGTTTTTCAATCATTACCATCATGACTTGGGTCCGTCTTCTACTTTTTTTTACATTTTGTTTGAGTTGTTGTACATGCATTGAGCCAGTATCTACAGGTGTCTATTTTGGAGTTACTGCTGCCTCAGCTTCTATCTATGCTGCAACATCTTTTATGTATTGTGTTGTATCTGAATGTTGTAATCAGGAAAAGTCAGCAATTATTGCCAAAAATTGGATTAAATACGATGCTGAAGATAAACTGAGAAATGATTTTAAAAAAAAACTTCACGGCCAACATTTAGTTGAATCTATAGTGATTAAAGCTATAACCAAGCATATGAAAGATTCGCAGCCTCGAAAAGCTCTTGTGTTTTCTTTTCATGGTTGGACTGGCGGTGGAAAAAACTTCGTATCTTACTTAATCGCTCGTAATCTCTACCACGAAGGTTTGAAAAGTAAATTTGTACATGTTATCAGCGCGACAGAAAAATTCCCCGATCCAACCAAATCGAATGAATACAAGGTATGTTTTACTATCTTTTCAGTGCTTGAAAAGATTCAACAGTTTTATTTGTATTTCCAAATTCTCATTTTTTTCTATCTTTTACTCATTAGATTCAACTTATGAAATTTGTTAAAGAACAATTATCACAATGTGGCAGACAGTTGTTCATTTTCGACGAAATAGACAAAGTACCTGGCGGAGTCATTGATGCACTTGCACCGTTTTTAGAATATTCAGTGGTTTCCAAAGAACAGAACAAAGCTATATTTATCTTTTTAAGGTAACACTTGATACTCTACAGAACTAACGATTCCTTTAATACTGTAAGAAATCAGCATTAACTAAAATCTCTCTATTTTTTATCACCAGTAACACTGGAGGAGGCGAAATAGCCCGCGTTACCTACAGTTTTTATTACAATGGCATGAATCGTGAGGACATTGGTCTTCAAGATATTGAATCCCTTATTGATTTACATGCATTTAATGAAGAGGGAGGATTGAAGAAAAGCTCGTTAATTCACAAAAATTTAATCGACTTTTTTATTCCATTTCTTCCTTTGGAAAAAATACATGTACAAAGTTGTATAGTTGATTATCTACAAGAAAAGTACAATATAACAAGAGATGTTAATGATAAATTTGTGGTTAAGGTAAGTTAATTTTATCAGCTGGTATTTTAAATTGTCTGATTAACACGTTCTTCATTCTTCTTTCTCTAGATTGCCAACCAGCTCGATTATTTTCCTCAGGATTCAAAAGTGTATTCAAAATCTGGTTGCAAGAAAGTAGCCCGTAAAGTTGATCAAGCAGTGGATTGAAGAGTAATCTGTACTCGAGCATTTTTCAACAATTCGTTTGCCATTTTAACTCTTTGTACAAATTAATCTATTTTAAACCAATTCTCATCACTGTAAACACTTTTGATCATGTCTTGATCACGTCCGACAAAATTGGCTCTGTGATATGATTACTATTTTTTTCTAATCTGCTGTTTACCCGTATTACGGCTGTTAATATAATATGGAATTGGAATCTAGTCCATGGAATCCAGTTAATCTCTGAATATAAAGTATCATTTATGATATAAAATCGCGATGCTCTTATTTCTATTTTCACAAAGTGACATCTCAAATTTATTCAATCTACCGGTCATCTTGAATTTAATTTGAATTTCTGGTAACGTGTTCATGATTAATATAAAGTAATTGCGGGAACGACACCGGCAATCGCATTAAAGATCACTATCTTGAATCTATTCGTGACATAATTAATGAGGAAATTACAGTTTTGGAATCATTAATGCAACTTGTCATCATTTTCAAATCAAATTGATTGGTTTTGTCAGGATCACGTTTGGTTAGAATCAAGTTTTGATTGATGCTTTAATTAACATTTGTTTTGTTTTTTTGTCTTCTTTCGTTACTAAATGTACCCAAGCCATCAGAATCACATTAGATAATATATTTATAAATTATAATTCACTTATATTTTAATATGCAATCAAAAAAACATAACAATTAAAGCAATTCTCTTGGCTTGTCCACCTTGGCTGAACCTGAATTGACCTATTTAATCTCAAATGATTAACAAAATAATTATCCAAAGAAATTATTAGCTTGATTGGCTTCTTGATAACTCGATTATTGCTAATTGTTTAAAAAAGATAGTAAAATTAGATATTCTAATCCTTCCAGTTGATAATTGTCAAATATAACATGATTATCGTATAATAGACATAATCATTGAACGGAAAAAAATATGCATAAATTTTCTCGTTTCCTTCATAACAGTTGTATTTTTAATTGCTTAATTCATTTTTACATTTAATTCGCAGAATGATAAGATTGATAATAATATTCATTTAATACTAAAATTAAACTGCAAAAACTATCAACCAAGCCTTTAGCAACGGAATTGGAGAGTTTTGAATATTTAATCAAAGATTCCAATCTGACGCAAAAATGTCTGCTCAATGAAAATTTTTATTAAATTGCTATTTTTACAAAGAAAAAAAGATTAAATTGAATGATTTAAATAGTCAAGAAAAGTACAAATGGTTTTGATGGAGAAATTTTTGATTGATTTCAGTTGATTATCAAATTCTCCAGCGAGAAACAAAAACATTAACAGAATCAATGTGATTTTTGAGGTAAAAAAGATATGAACAAATGGAGACAAATTTCGTTCAAATTTCCACAATGAACATTTGATTTACAAACACAATCGATGAGAAAGTCTAGTCAATAAATTTTCTATTCTGGTGGAAACTTGAATGGAGATTAAATGAAAGGTGAAGTAAAGTGAGAATCAAATGAGTCCAAATTGATAGAAACATAATATTTTTGCAAATAGGACTAGCAGCAATTTCAATCAACCTTCCTATTAACTCCAGATAATCAGATTCAATGAAATAGTGAGATACAAGAATGAGCTTCAAAATTGAACCCAAACTATTAGCGTTGTTGAAAGATGCATTTGATCCAGAGTCAATCAAGCTAAATCCAATTGAATAGAGTCAAAATTTGCCAATCTTTGTCCATTTCCATTGTTTTAAACGTAAAAATAGGTGTCAATGTGAAACTGGTTGTACATTTGAAGTGATGGACTCGAACTGACTGATGAAGGTAAAGAATCGTCTTTATAGTCGCAAAAAGATAAGTTACGTGAAGAAGATGATGAAGTTGAACTGCGATTCCAATTCACCTAGAAAATAGACAAAAAAGGTAATTAGTAAAACAGTTAAAAGATGTGAAGAGAGCATAATGTCATTAATGAATTTTCAAATAATTAACTATCATCAAAACAAATACCAGTTATTAAAAGGGTCTAATGAAACGAGATAATAGAGCGCATCATTAAAGGTATATTTTGGTAAGTGGGAAACAATGGCAAGGAAATGATTCAATACTTGAATATGTGGTGAAACAATTTTATCATTATCAAGGTGAAAATAGTATCACACCAAAGATTAATGTATAAGATACTGCAGTAAAGAGGTACAGAGAACCTGAAGGGACAATGCCCACTGGAGGGCACCACAGACAAAATTTTGATCAAAATTAAATAGGAAAACTATTTTTAATTTTTTTTACAAAAAAAATGAAAGATTAAAATTAAAGGTAAATCACAGTAAAAATGCGACAACTAGCGCTTGAGGTGGGCATTGTCCCTTACTAACATCAGTACCTCTCAATTGCTGTATCTTATGCTTTAATCTTTGTATCACACCAAGTGAAAGATAAGTTGAAAAATGTCTTCAGATGTTATCAAAGTAGGAATAGCGCAAAAAATGGTTAACAAGTGAGACCAACAAGTGTCAACATCAAGGTAAATTATCCTTACAAAACATGTAAACAAAACTTGGCCCAGGGAAACAAATTTGGCAGTGAGAGAGGAAAAAAGGTTTCTATGTTTTTCCAGCTTCTTGTAACAATTAAAGACAATGAATAGGACAACTCAGGTAGCTGTTTGAATCTAACAAGTCTTGAAATTCAAGTTGAACAATGGAGAGAGAAAAAGATAAAGAAATTTGCTTCTCTTGACCGCTGGTTAGTTATGTTTCTAAATGATTACAAATATTCCCATAATGATATGTTTACAGGGAAGAGAAGAAACCAAAAGAAGAAGAAAAAAAGAAGTTATTTGATTGTACTTCATGGTAAATATTTGACAAACGAAAGATCAAAGACTGATAGTAGGAATAATGATAACAATAATGGGTTAATATGGCTAACAGTTAAAGTTAATAACCACGCGACATTAGAACTGACTGTAAACTTGTTTCTTTAACGCTCTGTAGATTAGCTCTGTTGGCCTCAAGATTCAACTTTCATTGTTTCCTGAATTCTCATGACAATCAAAGCTGCCTCCTAAGGGTTAGGCCTGAGAATCCTGTATTTCTTCTAACCCCTTCTCTTAGGACAATGCAAGGAATGGCCTAAGTATACACAGCTTGAGCATACTTTTGCCAAACATACCAACCATGCTTGACATTCATTGGCAGCAACATTTCAGTTAAACTGTAAACAGATTAACATATTTAGTTACACATTTACCGGGTCTTTTGCGAGTACATTGTGCATTTTCACAACAAATGAGTTTACACAAAAAAAAGGTAAACAGTTAAAGTGAAAAGGTAAAAAAAACTGAAAGGAGAAACAAATGAAAATACAAAAATCATCAATAAACTGTTAACCATTTTTACTTTCCCTGCTTACTATCGATAATGATGATTCCTCTTTCCCTTGGAGTGGCCTTTTTCATTGCTCTTTACGTATGCATCAACATGGGCTCAATTGGCAGAAAACAAAATTTTATGATACAAGCTAGTCCACAGGTAGAGAGAGGTAAGAAAAGTAATTTAGGAAGGTTAACTTATTCTTATTTTTCTAGTTTGGTTCCTTGCTTTTCCTTTTTTTCCCTCGCAAATCATCATTTAAATGGAAAGTGGAAATTACTTTCAACAATATATTTTTTCATCATTGGGAGAGTGCAATAGCAAAATTGTAAAGTAAAATGACAAGAAAAAAAAAGACTTGAAATGCTTTAAACAACAATCAAAATGATTCCCAAAAATCAAATGGTAGAAACGAGTCTTTTTTAGCGCTAAAATTTGACTACTTTTTCATTTTTCTGGTCAAATTTGCACGATAGATGATAAAGGTCAACCATCTTCAATGGAGACCAAAATTGGTAACAATTTGAAATATCAAAAACCATGGTCAGTCATTTAAGAGTAAATGTGTTTGTGTATTTAGAGTGACTTTTTATTAAACAACTTGAATGGTAGCAATGATTTTCATGATTGCTTTGACTTTTATGTTTTCTGTTATCACTATTATCATCTTCCGTTTCTTCAATAATTTCAGTATTTGTTATTGTTGGTAAAGAGTTATTTTCAAGATCATTTTATTTGATCGCAATCAAAGCATTAACTTGACTGTAAAATCAAGAAACTCTTCAACTGATAAACGGAACAAGTTGCGCTTAAGTTCAAGTTAAGCCAAAAAAGCAGCAGCCTTGCATACCAATGTTTAACAAGTTTACAAGTATATTTGATTATTAGTTTGATTATGTGAATGGTTATTTGAATGATTCTGTCAATGATTAACCTTGCGTGTTTATGCTATAATATCTTGAGCTTTGTATTTCCTCCGAACATCTAACAAACAAAATCAAAGCTGATCATCACTCAATTCAATGGCAACTTTCCTTTTAAAGCAAGTTAATGATTAGCATGAAAAATGAAAAGTAAACTTCAAATTGATGAAAAGCAAAATATTGATGGTGGATTAAGTAAACCAAATCGGTTAGCAAATTAACCAGATTAGCAAAGTTTAACATTTTAATTGAAAAAAATCAAGTTAAAGGGTGTTGCGTTTAATAAGACAAAATCAACAAATCAACTTGAAAAATGAGAAAATTGTTTCAATTTTCAATTTTGGTAAAAACTCGCAATTCAATTGAATCTGATCAAGAGTAATGAGTAACAAAAAAACGAAACAAACATTTGATTAAATAGCCAGTGAGTTTATACAATTTTGTTTATTCATCTATTAATACCAACAATTAAAAGTTGAATCGTGATTATCGCAAGCGGATCAATGAAATTGAATTGAATCTGATCAAGAGTAATGAGTGAAAAAAAACGAAACAAACATTTGATTAAATAGCCAGTGAGTTTATACAATTTTGTTTATTCATCTATTAATACCAACAATTAAAAGTTGAATCGTGATTATCGCAAGCGGATCAATGAAGGTTGATTAAAGAGTGAGATGCAAAATAGGCTTTGATATTGTGTGTGTGTGTTTCAATGATGGGCCTGATGATAGTGAACAAGTTAATTGGCCAATCATTGAAATGTTTAATTTTAATGAGATGCTTTTCACGATAATAGATAAATTGTTGAAGGTTGTTTAAACATTAATTTATGAATGACAAGGGGTAATAAGGATCCAGAGATGAACCCAAAAGATGAGCCAAGAGTTGCTATGATGGAAACAGTGAAAAATGTAAACCCACAAAGCTTGTTAAAAAATAATATAAATTGAGAAAAGTTCAACTATTAGTTAATGGTAATTGATATTGCCAACTAAATTTTCGTTGTGTTTTTAGTTAACTAGAATCATCAAGATGGATGCGTGATGAGACAAAATATCTAATCATCTTTTCTTCTACCTTGATAATCATCTTTTCATCTTTTCTCATCATGGGCTGATCAATTGGGCAAAGGTACAAAAGGTTCGCATATTTTGATCAATTAGGTGTTGGCATAGGCTGTGAACGGGCAACCAAAATGTTGAGCATTTCGTTGTTTAACAAGGGTAAGTTACCTGTAAGAATCATCACTTTGAGGTTAGAGAAAGTCTCACAGGTAAGACTGCCTCAGGGTAAGAAAGGTAACCTTGCAAAGATTGTAAAGATTGTAAGGAATGTAGAGAAAGCAGTAATAAATTCAAAGGTAAGGAGAAGTAAAAGATGAACAAGAAAAGATGAAAGGTTGAAACATTTCACTCTCAAACACTTGGTTTACTTAACTACCAGGTAAACACTGAAAAGATGTAATCTTTAGCAAAGTGATTAAACAATAGGAAAATGATTGTTTATCCAAATCATTATAATCAAGTAGCTTGTCACAAACGCACCTTGAAAGGGTTGCAAGTCTCAAAAAGGTTATTTATTCAATTCTGACAAAATTCATTTTAAATTCCAATGTTGGTAAGATTCAAAGTTTAATGTATACTTTTATATATTGATTCAATTAATGAAATTAAAAAGATTCAGTTATCATCAAAAGTTTCACATTTACTGGCCGCAAGGTATTCAATTGCCTCAAGAAAAAATCATCATAAACATGATAACAGCAAACAGTAATATTGTTGTAAAAGGAATGGAAATTCATGTCAACAATTGTGACTATTATTATCATTTCATTCATGAAACTCAATATGAACAACAACAAAAAATAAGAAACAAAAAATGGTGTCAAAAATAACAACATTAAATTGACCTGAACTTGAAAAGTATCATCATTTTGATGGTCATCATGATTGTTGAATTTTTTTACTTTTCTTTCATTAATGATCTTTGATCAATTGTATCGATTACTTTTAATTAATAGTTGCTTTATGTTTAACTATCATTTAATCATCATAATTTAAAGATAGACCGATAAACCTACAAAAATGATAACTTGATCAAGACGTTTCATTTTTGCTGAGAATGAGCTTAAGATTCAACTTGAAAAAAAGACAGGTAAGAGTGTCATCAAGTAGAGCAAAATTTTTCTCAGCAAGCAATCAACCATTGGTAATGATTAAAGGTAAATCATTAAATGAGAGAAAAGGTAAAATAGCGATTAACTGGAAAAAAAATCAAAGTTGCAAATCTTGAAACTGTATAAATATTTTTCTTCTCAATTGAAAAACACATTCAAGCTTTTCTTTCACCATTATTCTTATCCTGATTCATGGGAAAGGAAAGACTTTCACTTTTCATTCAAACTATTTTCTCATGATCATGATGAAACTTGGAACCTTTTTTCATCCTTTAAATATCAATGAAGAGATGTAACCAAAACATGTATAATTATCAAAGTGATTTGAGATGAAATGTTTTTTTGCTCAACTTTTATCTTATTATCGCAAAGTTAATCAACAGATATCAATAACCATTTATTAACAATTCAATAAGCAAGATAT